CTTCAGTTTGTATTCACTTTTGATAGATACGGGCGGGCATGTCAGCTGGCTAACCTTGGGAGATAAAGAATTTGTATTTAGAACACTAAATCAAACAATTTTTACGAGAATTTCGAAATAAAGTACTTAATCATGATCCTTCCGATCAACTGATTCAACCACTGACTGCGTTCGCCGAAACAAGAACTTTCGTGTGAACCAGATCAAGGTCAGTAGACAAACTAAGCGCGTCCGCCCGTGGAAGTTCGACGAGGCTGTTACAATCTAAAAACTTACCGCTACAGTTAGCGCTTAAACTTAAATAAGTTCGGAATTCGAATCCATGCGGTAAATATATTCTTATTATAAACTAATGACTAAATCATATTGAGCTGATCAACTAACTGACTAACTAAACTAACTAAATACTTCATAACAATTGTATCGTAGCTTGTGTTAGTTTAGCATTGTCCGCTTTGTAAAGATCGTGCGTTTCTGTCATTGGAATTATGATGATATTTAGGATTTTGTTGTCCATATTGTTGCGAAGGCGATCAATAAGATCAGTAACAGCAAGCTCGCAAGAGCGAGGTCGTATTCAGTAAGAAAGTCATAAAATGAATTGCGAACATGACGTTCTAGAATCTTAGAGAGAGTAGCAAGAACAGAAATCGGTCAATAATTAGAGCGGTCAAATAGAGAACCGTCTTTAAATAGAGGTAATACTTTAGCCTTTTTTCAAAGATCAGGAAAAGAACCTAATGAGTGGCTAAGGTTAAAAATTGTTGTTAGAGAAGACGCGATAGAAGGAGCCGACAATTTCATAAAATACCTACTAAGTCCATCTAGGTCTACGGCTTTTCCAGTAGGCAGATGACGAAGACTATTGAGAACAAAGACAGATGTAATTGGAAGTATGGTAAAAGAAGCTCCCAATGGAAGCTTGGACCTAACTAAGCCCTTCAGATAATCCCAGTTGGGAGTCGTACTTTCGTTTTTGTGAAGCACAACAGAGGAAGCAATATTGACAAAGTGAGCATTGAACAAGTTAGCAATATCAATGTGACTGTCATAAATTGTTCCATCAACCAATAGATTGCTTGGAAGATTGGAACACTGAGAAGGAGCTAAGTTGCGGATTATTTTCCATAAGTTGCAATTAATGGAGTTACGATAGAAATCACGATTAGCTTTCCTTATTAATTGGACAGCTTGAATGCGCGCCAGACGATACTCTCGCCAATGCAATTCGGTATTATACCGAATTGCTTGCCTATGTAAGTTTTTACGCTGTTTGATCGCAGAGCTTATTGTAGCAGAAAAACCATTCAGGTCGGTGTTGAATTTTAACTCGACGTGTCTTGAAAGGCATGTGCATGCCAAGTGCATTGTTAAATAAACAGTACCATTGTCCCAATGCTTTATTAGGATCATTAAACATTTCTAATGATCAAGGTTTTACCGGCAAATAATGAGCAAAACTAGAGAAAGATAGTTTTGTCGTGTCAAGAGCTTGGAAGAAAGAAAAAATTATAACTTCTCAAAAGAAATCGAGTCCCCGACCCTCGGAATTCAGCGCTTTGATGTTCCGATGCGCGGAATCCGAAGGTCTGAGTTTGAATTTCTCATGAGGACTCAGAATTTTTCTTTGTCTCTCTCTCGAGACAATACAAAAAACATCTTTCTCTACTTGACTACCGAACTCAAAATTTACCATCTTCCTTACTCGTAGTGCAAAACTTTTTTAATTAATAACCTAAACTTGCAATGTTTTGCCGCAAGGTTTTCTGCATATCTTTCACTCTGCTCTATGTTGCTTTTGTTGTTAGTACTTGACAAAATGCTAATATTTTAAAGGTATTTAAAGAAGGACTCAGCTCTTTCTTTTATGGTTTCTTGTTTGCCTTCTTTTCCATCGTTTAACTTACATACACCATGGTCGGACTCTGACATTTGGTTGTCGTATGATCAACAGGACGTAAGAGACAAGCATCTGTGAGCACAGGAGAGAATTCCACCACGAGTGAACAACGGCTTAATCACCTGGCTGATCAGAGGGAATCAAAAGACTCCATGAAACGCCCACAATAGACCTCGTTGCCATAGCAATAGTATGAAAAGAGAACGTAAACGAGGACAGTGCTTTTTGAGAACATGTGGGTATTCCGGAAACAACGTTTTATTACTTACATCATTTCCATCTCGTAGATGAAAAACTCTCTGAGACGAAGGATATTTTCCTCAGCAAAAAGGAACATATCTCATATTTCAGAGACCTGTAGCGGAAGAACATTGCAGAAGGTACCTGGTGGCAGCGAGAAAAAGACAGAACAACTTGGAAGAACCTGATTATAGAGCCTGAACTCTTCATGAAGCAGTCACTGTCGAGTCGATAGACTGCATACCATTGAAAGAACTGACAGCTGCCTTTTGATGGTAGACTGGCCAAAGTATATGTCTACATGGAAAGATTTCAAATGGAATTGTAGTGTGTTTTTCGAATCTTTTCCAAATCTAGAATAGACTCTGACGAGTTTGAATCTAAATTGTGAGGGGAAGTTAGAGAATTTGGTAAGGGGAAAAAGATTTTGGCTCGAGTTAGCACGAGGTTAGAGTTAGCCTTGGTTCGAGTAATCGGGATTCGACTGTATTCAACAAAAGGAAAAATGAAATATACAAAGTTGTGTTGTTTAACTTGAGCCTAAAAAAAATTGTTTTTTCACATTAGTTTATTAATATCACTATAATTCCAATGACAGAAACGCACGATATTTACAAAGCGGACAATGCTAAACTAACACAAGCTACGATACAATTGTTATGAAGTATTTAGTTAGTTTAGTTAGTCAGTTAGTTGATCAGCTCAGTATGATTTAGTCATTAGTTTTATAATAAGAATATATTTATCGCATGGATTAAAATTTCGAACTTATTTAGGTTTAAGTGCTAACTGTAGCGGTAAGTTTTTAGATTGTAAAAGCCTCGTCGAACTTCCACGGGCGGACGCGCTTAGTTTGTCTACTGACCTTGATCTGGTTCACACGAAAGTTCTTGTTTCGGCGAACGCAGTCAGTGGTTGAATCAGTTGATCGGAAGGATCATGATTAAGTACTTTATTTTGAAATTCTCAAAAAAATTGTTTGATTTAGTGTTCTAAATACAAATTCTTTATCTCAGCCAGCTGACATGCCCGCCCGTATCTATCAAAAGTGAATACAAACTGAAGCATATTTGTTATACTACTTATTACTCTACGTTAGTTATACAATACCACTGATAACATTGCGTTACTAACATAACAACTACAATTACATTATACCTCAAATCATGTTACTTCTGATAAGTTACGCTACTTAAATAGTTACCCTCTTTGCAGTACTTTATTTATGGAGGCTACTTACTCTAGATTTCAATCATTATATCAGGCAGCGTGAGAAAAAAACAGCAACTACAAAACAGAGGACATCTCAGACAACATTTACATCACAGCGCTTATTTTTTTAAAATACAATAATCAGCAAGCTAGTTTATTTACAATTTGTTTTCTTGTAAGAGCAGGTTATCGTTCTTCTTTGCTGTGTTTCAAATTAAAATAGTTTTTTTGGGTGTGACAGGTCTTATCAGAAAAGAAAGAAAGAAATATGAGAACTGGAAAACCCAGTCAGTGAGAAAGTGGTCAAACTCTTAAACCAAACCAATAATTGGTTGTGGCAGAGCTACTTGATGTACACCGGAAGTTAGGATTGTACACTTCATACCGACCAAAATTTTGCTCGCTATACCTGTCATTATCTTGAATGGACCCTGGTGCTCTACCAAATTCGCAATTATTTTGATAGCTTCGGTGGACTAAAATGTACCCATCGGATTGATACCAAACCGCGGTGCACTTTTCACAGCTGTGTCCATGGACATTGATGTAATCGACGAGTTCAAAAGTTTTATAACCCTCATAAGTCAACAAGTCGAAGTTTTTAAACTTTGCTCGAACGTAATCTCTATAGTCGACAACCCTCGCAGGATCGAAGCTGCAAGTTATTCGCCAGTATGTTGACTTAGATCTCAATCCTTTCATGCGATCTAATTGAAGCCTGTACGCCTCCCAGTTGGGAACCTCTGGGCTCATTGGCTCATTTGCAAACAAAGCCTGTCGGGTAAAAGGTTTGCCAACGTTCTGCGAGCTTTCTGACATAACTAGTGTCCAGGCCCAACCGGGTTCCGAGGTGAAGTCGCAGTAGACTTTAAACATATCACCGTTGTTGTCTTGGATACAGAAAAAGCCTGATAGAGGGTTAATGGTCGGCTGCCTTGCCTCTTTGCAGCTACGTGGTGCCTATTAAAATAAAAAAAAAAACAGAGTGTAGAAGGGTTAAACTTCTACAAGCTCTAATAAGTTCAAGCTTCAGTAAGCTTTTCAACATTGAAAGGTTGTTTTAGGAGTACTCCTCTCTTCCTCTCTCCCGTTCATTCTACTATTCTCTTCTTTGGTTTTGGTACTTAACTTTTGAAAATGCTGAGATTCTAAAGTTATTTAAAGAAGGATAAACAGAGATGGAAAACACAGCTAAGTTACCTTTCTTCGCCGTGCGAAAACATAACCAGCTCTTTCCACCAAGTTTTCCTGATCGCCCTCTTTTCCGCCGTTTAATTCACAAATGCCATAGTCGGACTCTGACATTTGGTAATTGTATGATGAACATGACGGAAGAGACAAGCATCTGTGAGCGCAGGAGAGAATTCCACCGCGAGTGAACAACGACTTGATTACCTGGCCGATCAGAACGCGGTTGTAGAAAAGAGAATCAAAAGATTCAATATACTGCTGAAAAGAACGTTCATGGGCATAGCAGTAATAGGAAAACAGAACAAAAAAAACGATAATCTTTTTGGAGAACATTTTGGATGAAGCTGCGATGTGACCAGATAAACGCTCAGAGCTTTATGGCATGTGCGATGACAAATTTGTGTTTAATGAAGCCTTTTACATGCGACAAAACATTATTATTTATTCGGTAGCCTCTTCACCTGTCCCAGTTGAGGAACTTGTTTACAAGAAACGCTCGTTTAGTTCAATGGAGAGGGTTACTTTACAATAGAAGTCTTTACATAAACAAACTTTGAGCAAACAATGGAAGATCATTATTGCAAAGCTAGGGTGTAACGAAAACAAACTTCCATTATCGACATTGAACTCCCGAACGAAAACCGCCAGCGGACAATGTTATAATATTCAGGAGTCTTTATCTCTGTTAAAGTGAGTCTCAACCTGCTGGAAAGTATCAAACAGGTTGATCGCAAAAGGTGAGTACAATTCCTTTCCAATCGCAGCGTCAAAGAAATCTAACGGAGAAGGAGTGAAGGACCCAAAATATTGAATAGTGATAATCTGAAATTCAAATACCAAATACTTCAAATTTGTAAACTTAGAATAAACTTTACAAGTCAGCTTAACCAGCTGTAGTGAGTACCTCTATGTCTTCTATTTTAATACTTTGTTATGCAAGTTCATGTTGCACCAAGGTTACGAACACACTTTGAGAACTCTAAGAGATGGTACTTTCTCCATAATTTAGTTTGTGGTGAAGTAATTTCCTTTTACTAATTCCATTACTTTGAGCAGGATTCGCTTTTGTTATATAAACGCTTTATACGCGTGACACGGACAAATTCTAAATCCTGTGGGATTTGCCTGGAACACCAACATGGCGACGGACTAAACGTTTCCAATTACGATAAACTTTGAACAAAGATATATATGTATACCTAAGGTTTGATATTTGGCATTCGGAATAACAAATTTGAAGATTTCATAAAGCATCATATCGCACTGCGAAAAAATTGAAGAAATGTAAAATGGTTTCCGTGTTTACATAGCCTGATGTAAACACGCGGGAGGTTGGGAGAACACGAGATAAGCGTAGGAAACCACGACGCGCGTGTTTACATCAGGCTATGTAAACACGGAAAAAAAATTTTACATTTCTTTATAAAATAACTAATGAAAGAGGAACGAAAACCGTGTTTACATACACTCATGTAAAATGGTTTTATGGCCAATCAGAACGCGCGTACGATTTGAATTATTTTATAAAAGATATTACCAGATTTTAGGGTCAAACAACATTTCCTAGAAAAGAAAATAGCAACGGGCCACCTTAAACCTTTATAGAATCATTGCTCTAGAGAATTCATAGCCGACGGAATGTGACTTGACTTGGTTAAACTTTTAAAGAAAAAAGGAATTATAGAAAAGAGAATCTGTTATTCTTGGAAAATTACCGTGTAAATGCAGATCCTCCGCAAATTTGCAAAGGTTTCAGTATAGTTCAGTTGGTTGAACACAGTTTTATGCGCAATCTCATAATGTCAAACATCATTACCAAATACATATGGGAAAACAAGCTTTTCTTAGTCATAGTCTGCAATTTATTTGCGACATACATGGGGTGTCATAAAAATTGTATTTCAGTTTAAATTTTTCCTCACTTTGGTCTTTGCTTAAAAGGAAAGTTAAAAATTTGTTTGAATTTCTGCGAGCTGTAGTGGGTCAAGACCGATATCCCATGGATTCTGGCGAGTGAGCGAGGCATTAGGTAATATAAATTGCGTAGTATTGGAACGGGCTCTAAACCTGAATTTACACTCAGCGATAGGCAACAAAGTCTTAATGTCGTACCCAGATCCTATCGTGCCATTGTAACTGATATGGCCACTTGGTCGTGAAAGGTCTGGGTACGAGACTAACAAAGTCGTAATTCCTCATCTATTATCCTCAAGTGTATGTAACTAGAATCCAAACTTGTGAATACCTCTGGTTGTCGAGGTCGTTGATTTCCTTTCCGAAAAAATGTAGCTTGACTTAGGTTAGATCCGAGATGTTATTTAGCGCAGCAGTCAATACCAGACTGGGAAGCATTTAACACTTCCCATATCATATACTCATCTCTACGCATTTCCTTTGGTACTGACACGGAGAATTTGTTTTCAAGTTAAATCTTCTCGGACCTCCTGATCTTCTGATCTTGATGAGCTGTTTAGCAGTATTGTTTTAAGGAAAAAATAGATGCTGGTCGCTCTTAGGCTTTCAAGAGTAAACGAATGTCAAACGAAAACATGATAAAAACTCAAAAAAATATATATTCTGAATCATGGCATAAAAATCGATGACTAATGCATTTTAAAATTTGGAAACCTTTTGTGCCAGCTGAAATAACCTTGCGTTGCAGCTCAGAAATCTTATAAATAAACTCCTAAAACATTTAAATACTTTACAGCAAAATCTTGAAAAAAAGGCTAATTCTGCCATCGGCACGAAATATTAGGTAGGCAGAGAAAGTTGTTGTTCGAAGAAATCTATAATTCTGTCGTTGTTATTGATTTTTTTAGTATTATGAATATATGGAAAACCAGGCCACATAATAGGTTCGTATAACCTCTGTGATTCAGTTTTGTCTTCCTGTCATGTTTATCGCTTCATCAGGATGTATAATGATTTCATAGTTTTTCTTGATTTTCAAAATAATCGCATTTAGAGGGCATACCATTAAAACCAATTTAATGACTACAGCCAATCAGAGGAGACGAAAATACCATGAGAAGTCGATCAGAATTCAGAGCGAAAATAAGCAAGCTGCTTGACGAAAAACACGATTGACCAAGTCGCGAATGATTATATAAGTTTGAATCTTTAAATCCGAGAATGAATGTAAGAATGGTGCGATTTTCCTGAACGGGAACCAAACAGAAGTATGGTCAAACCAATGCAATACCGGATTATTTTTGAATTTCAATTGAAATTGCTCCTAAACTTAAGGGTTATTTTCATGGAAGCAAACCACATGCACGGCATAATTCGTCGTTAATCATGGATAAATCAAGGGAAGTCTTATGCCTCTCGTAAAATTACAGTGAAACACACCTGGAAGAAGAATCTGGTAATTTACCGGTACTGTATGTTTCGAAATTGAAAGATCTTAATTAATCGTCTTCTTCATTACTTAAGTTAACCTGATCGTAAGTCTTGACAATGTTCGATGTAAGCTGTTGAAATTTAACTTCATGATGCACGGTAATTTATTCCCTTTCGACTTTTAAATGTTCTGTTTTTATTTTTTATCCAGTGGACGAGTCCATTATGCTAGACCCTTCTGCAAACAACATTATTTTTAGCCCTGGTAAGGTTTCAAAAAAAGCTGCACCGCGCGCCGATAAGATTGTTTATCACAAGGCAAGATAATTAGTCATAATAGTTTATATATTGTCGCACTCGCTTCCGTCACTCTGTAATTAAAAGAATCCTCTTTTACCCATCTGCATTTACTTATTTCACGGCGTTTGTTTTAACTCTACTAAAGAAATCGATCTGTTTTGGCGGTTATTGCACGGAGCAGACATGAAACTAGAAGTGCTACTTTTATTTTTCGTTGGTCGTATGTCGGGCCATGGCGCAGAGGACTTCTGTCTAGAGACCAAAAGCTCGATATTGCACGATCATGTTCTAGTTGGCCATGTGATTACCTCGTTGGTAACCCGTGGATTTCTCTCTTGTGCTCAAAGATGCCTGTCAATGTCGCCGTGTTCGTCATTCAATTATCAAACGTCAGCGGTAAGAGATGGCATTTGTGAGTTGAATAACAATGAAGATGGAGCGGTTCGTTCAAAGGTGACTCCGAAACATGGATTTGCCTTTGGCCAGATACAACGAAAAGAAGTAAGAATCTTAAATTACAGTGATCAACATAGATTGCAGCGAAAACAATATTCCTTGGGTCAGTTTTCACCTGCTTTAGTTTTCATTTCATTTTTTTTTCTGTAAACGAGATTTTACAGCATTATTTGCCATGTACAATAAATACATATATCGTGTTTCTTATTGACCTAGCTGAAAATATCGAGTTTATGAAATAAATTTCGTCGCTATCAAATCGTTCAATTTATTAAGTATTCAATAGAGCTGTTTTTTGTAAAATGTATTGAGGTAACAGAAGGGCAAAAAATATTGACCACGAAAACACAATCAGCCTGTTTCAGTGATTTTTGAACTTTTGATTTTTAGCCTTAAGAGTCATAGCAAAACTATAAGAGTTTGTATGGGAATATTTACGATCTTCATAACAGGAGTCTCTTATATAGTAAACCTAGGAATGGATTATTCACCAAAATGGGTTCTTCTCAACAAAGTAAGCGGTCAGATAACAAGCGATGCACTGTGGAAGTATGGTGAGGTATTTTCGTCGAGAATTTGATTGTATTTTTTTTATTCTCAAGAGCGGTCGTAAATATTCCCATACAAACACTTATAATGTCACCATGGCTATTATTTCCGTCGCAAATTGATCATTTCACAGCTAGAGCTTGAGCCGCCTGTGGTTAAACTTGTCAGTCAAAATCCCGATCAAGGACACATCACCTTGTCAAAAAGAAACGATAATATTTGAAGATATACAAATTTAACATAGTTTTCTTTTTTATTCGATGTCAATTGCTGTGTTCCATCGAAGTTTACTTTCGTTGTATGATCGTGTCAAATTCCACCACCATTACTCAAACACAATAAAGTGACAAACATCATTTTTCTAATTCGTGACTTTATTTTTAGTACAACTATTAAAAAATAAGGCCTACCACAGGCTAACAGAAAAATATCTCGTTTTCTAAACGCCTCTGTATAAAAATATATGGCGGATTTTTCAATCAAGAAACGTCAAACCTGGCATGTTATATCAAAATATCATGAAATATTAACAAAACACCTTTTGGTTCTATCTTTTTTTACCGTAAGAAACCGCACAGCTGTCTAGAAGCGGCGCACAGAGGTGCCCGCGCATCTGGTTTCTACTGTATCCAAGACGGTGACGGTCATCTCTATAAAATGTATTGCGACCTGGCCTCTGAACCCGGTTGGGCCTGGACATTGGTCACCTCACAAGGCTTAAGCAACAGGGAGGAACAGTTTGCGTCGGTAGGGCTACTTGTTGATTCTCCAAAGAATACAGAAATGGCCAATTGGCAAGCTTACAGACTACCATTAAGTAAAATGGCGAAATTAAAATCTCAGTCAACGCATTGGCGAATAACGTGTAGTTTCCCAACACTTGGTGTCGATTATAAAGATTATGTGAGGGCAGAATTTCAGAAATTCGATATTCTGACTTTTATGGCAGGCAGAGAGTGCAAAGAAGTGGAGTATATTGATGTTCGAGGGCATAATTGCTCACAATGCACCGTAGCCTGGGGACAGAAAAATAATCTTTTCTTGACACACCGCAGTGACGTCAACGAGTGCGGGCGCGGCTCCACTCCACATAGCATTGATGGGGAACAGACTTTCGGACGGTACAAAAAAGGGCGAAATCCAAAGTTTCGATGTACTTCAGCCAATTCATCCACTACTAACTATTGGTTTGGCCACAAATTAAATTTAAAGGATTCGTTTGATTGAGCGGATTTTAAAGTTTTAGTGTCATAAAGAGGAATGTTTTTAGATTCGTTAAATTTGACAGAAAGGCACACTATATATTAGATTCTCGCGTGCCAGTCTTCACCATTCCAGTATCACTTTTAAACCTTCAATCAATGCCCTTGGACCGGAATGTGACGGCAATATCCGCGAGGATCCCAGACAAATGGTGTTACCTTTTATGGGGGTCTGTCACCACGACTGGCCATCCTGACTGCACTGAGGAACGTGATTTACCAACAGCCGATGAGGCAATCACTAAAACTGTTTTACAGAGAACTCAAGGGGCTCGGTCATAGTGCTTTCAGAGGTACAGGTACTCTGGGCTACCACAGGTAATTGTCAGGCAAAGTTCTTTCAAATTAAAGTCAATGTTTTTTGGCAAAACAAAATTAACATAGGTCTTTCTGTTATGTTTTCTTCAAAGAAAATCCTCAATGAAACAAAACAAAGCCGTCTATTGACTGCAATTAGAGACAATTGATGAAACATTTTTCTACAAACAGTTCAAAACGGATTGTTTGTATCAGAGGAAGGCCAAGCACAATGAGCTGTTCATGAACGTTGCAAATGTTATGGCTTTCAATATTAATTTTTTCACTCGTGTCAGCACGCATGTGATGTCACGCGCTCCTCACAGTATTTTAAGGAAAAGTTATCTTCGTTAGGATCCACTCGTTACCAAATACCGTTATGGCTATTTCCTTCAAGGAGGATATCTATACTGTGATGCTGTTGAGTCGATCAGTAATATAAGTGATCTATAGTATTTCACAAAATACAGTGTTTTCTCTCTCTACAGATGTTTTTAAAGTTAATGTTCAGTCCTTGTAATTGCATCAACAACACAGACAAACAAATCAAAGATATAAATATATTAACGAGAACGATGTCCTGCTTTAGAACACAAAACCTCATGAAGTACAGAAGAGCGCAGGCTTAGATGGAGATAGGGCGCGGTGATTGGGCACTGTTGGATCACTTGGAAACCATTGATATGCAAGTGATCAACCTGCGGTACAGCACATGATTTACGGTCGCCATAGCCCTATTTAACTGAAAGGTAATTTAGTGTTAACAACTGAGCTGAAAACGTGAATTGACTACCGTAAAGTGTTTAAAGGCTGACGTTTCAAGCGTTAGCCCTTCGTCAATCGCTCTGGCAAAGGGCTAACGCTCGAAACGTCAGCCTTTAAACTGGTTACGGTGGTCAATTTACGTTTTCAACTCGGTTGTTAACACTAAATTACCTGTTACACTCTACCTGTTACCCTCCGACGCAGCACCACAGTTTCTTTAGAAATTCCCACCCTCCCCCCCCCATTTAATTGAACCTTAGAGAGATTAAAACTGTGTATCACGCATTCTGATCGCCTGGGTGTCCTTTTTGGGAAGGTCTGGGTCAGGAAAGAACAACGGAAATGCTTTAGAGAAGGAAAAATACCCGACCTTACCAATACGTTTAAACATCTCCTTCCTACCTGTAGAACATTAGTACAAGACCCTTTCCCCCACAAGATCTTGTTAGTAATTCTCCTTACTGTCTGCCATACAATTCTAGTGGTATGAGTTTGGAGAATTTGGCTTTGGATCACCTATGAATTCCCTTACTGATATCTTTCTTCATTCTCATCACTTGTCTACTTGATAGTGTTTTGATATTGTAAGAAGAAATTCTCTATTGGTCAGAGTTTAGGGAAGGTTTGGTTTATGAAGAAACAGTGAAAAATGCTTTGGAGAAGAAAGAGTTTTAACCCTTCACAATTAATAAGTTTAGTAGATCTCCTTCCAACCTGTTGGGCATTAATATTTAATTAAAAATCACGAGAGCTGGTTTCATTTCAAAATTCCACACCCTTTTTGTATTGATATTTAAGGAAAGGTTACCAAGCTCTCATCAGTTTATCAACTATCCAATCCACCAGACAGCCAAGTTTTTCAAAGAGAGAGAGATTATCACTTTTACCAAAGTATTAAGTATAAAACATGTCAGGGATGATTCTTTGGCACTGTGGCCATCACCTGCTATCCAAAATTGTTTAGTGTCAATTTTCTGGTCAGTGCCACCTAAAGATTTTGTCATTCCAGTCAATTCTCAGGTGTGACATTCAAATCCTGTTGAATTTGAAATCTGAATAAACCACAGAATTCATTTAAGTAGTACGACAAGACACAAGAAAAAAATAGCTGCTTTTTAAATATACTTTACACAAGAATATGTAGAATATTAATAAGCCTAAGCAGAGGTTAAACAAAGGTGGTTGCATTCAAAGTCTTTCAAACAAACACAACAGACAACTTTCAAAAAAAAATGTATTAATAATCCAAAACAGAAGCTGTTAGAAATGTGTGATAGCATTCCAATAGCCCCCCAAGTTGATAATGACAAACAACAAATTAATAAATGATCGTCTGCTAAACATTTCAAATAATTACAGCACATGGCAAAACAAAGTATCAAAGAATCAGACAGACAAAATGTACAGAACCAAAGTCTATGCATTTCAACTCTTTAAAAGCATCTCCCCATTTACAGAGCTTAGACCTTTTTGAACAATTTTTATTTTCAGCTGATCAATATTTTGAAAATTGCTCTTTGAATCCTATGCATGAAAAAGAACAATAATTTGAATGCAAAATGGTTACACTTTCTTTTTGCCTTGCACCATCCCCAACAAGGATTTAAGCTTTCTAAGGTTTTTCCCTGTTAAAGTGACTCTAAAACAACCTCAGAAACAGAATGAAACATCACCTTTCTGTATGATGTGACTGTCACTTCATTTCTTCATCCATGCTCAGCAATTCTGGATTTTTTTTCTGCATTTTCTCATGCACAAGGAAACAAAGAAGGCAAACGACAAGGCAGTCCATAATAATAAAATGTTTGCTTATCAACAGTGTGAAACAGTACCAGTTGGCAGCCTTCTATGCTGCCCTTTCCATCCTCAACTTATTGGTACATCATACAATTCAAGAAAAAGGTCAAAATGAATGAAGATGGATAATAATGGAAAATCTTGGTCTTCTTTAGGAAGGAAATCATCGTTGAAAAATGTCAAAAAAGGATGGAAAAATTATGAACAGAGGATGATAGTATATAGCAAATGAAATGCTGAAGTTCCATGTTGTAGTTTTAATCTAATGTGAAGAATTTTTAAGTCACTGACTATCTCCTGACCTTCTGCATCCAAGAAGTTATTGAAATCTAGACTACTTGTAAGTGATGAGTAATGCAATCTTTTCAACCTCAAATGTTTGCAAATGAGAAGTTCGCTGAGTGTTCCATTTGTTGGAAGTATATTGAAATCATCACTGTTTGTTGTCAGCATTGCAAGAATATTATTCTGATATACTGCTGGGCCCAGTTGCTTGAAAGCTGACAAGCACCAATCCAGGTTTCTTCATTCGTTAGGTCAAAAACCTTTCTCAGACAATTTTCTCTATTCTTTTAAAGAGCATCCAATCATCAAATTGTAGACAAAAAGAATTATAATGAATTCCCTTTCAAAGTTTTCAGATAAGAAATCAGATTTCACACTTACCATGGCTTATCATAACCATCCTTCCACAACCAAGCCCTGGAAATTTTTTCTTTAGTAGGGCAAAAATTCAGGGTTGGTGGATGAATTATAATGTCAAATTTTAGCTTGAGTAAGATAAGTGAATTCATAAAAAAGTAAACAAACTGTTTTGAAAACACTTTCACTAGAAATTACAGTCCTTTGTCATATATTTATTTAAGCATGTAAGGTGTTTCAAGTACCATTGAGTGTGGCTGTATTACATCAGATAGATTTTAAATACACGTGCACGATAATGGATTGCACTGGCACAGTTATTTACAATGATGATGTTAGGTCTTGTTAACCCTTTAACTCCCTGGATCTGATTGTTAATTCTCCTCTCTAGCAGCTACACATTTTCTTGTAAATTAGTTGCAAGAATTTGGTGTTAGATCAAGATAATAACTTCTACCTGATACAATTGAGTACTCTCATTACCTGTTTGCTGGATAGTGAATTGATATTGTAGGGAGAAGTTACATGTGAATCACTTCTAAGAGTTAAAGGGTTAAAAACAAGAACTCAACCATCTAACTACATAAAATAACTAGAGATACTATGAGGGCCCTGATTGGTCAGAAACCTTTTGTCCATTGCACTGATAAACCATTCAAAATTGAAACATTCAAGTTTAATTTATAAAGGCACATTTATACACTGCACATTTATTTAGTTTACTGGGCAATAACTCACTCAGCATGTTGGGAGAGTATGACAAAAGTTTTTCAATCACTCTGGCTTCTGATTTACAAAACTTTTCACATGTTCTTCCAACATCAACATCAATAACATAGGTTATTGGGTTACTATGCCAATAAACTGGTAGGAAGTAGGGTTTATTGCTTAGGTAAATATCAGAGTCTCACATTAGTGGCAGGATGACAAAAAGCACCTCCTTGCATGTTACAAAATAAGTTATAAGTACAGCAAGCGAAAGATGTCCCCTAACAATCAAATTATGTGACAGTCCAGAATAAAAAAGCTGCTGTTTGATAATGAATTTTACTAAAAAAGTGTATGCGCTTTTATAATTTTTTTCTGGGAAGGGGCAGCTGTTCCTATGCTAAGTAAGATTTCATTGTATAACAAGGCTAACCACTTCAGTAAAATGATCACTTCCCCATATAAGAAGTTAGCTCTTTTCTACATTGTTATGAGGGTCTAATTTCCTTTAGTCTCTATTGGAAATTTTCTCACATGTCGCATTCCAGCTTAGTATGAAAGTTCGATTTTGGAACTAGCCAGCATATCATAATTTTCTAGAAGAGTCGCGGCCGCTGCGAAAATATGATAGCAAAAGTTTACCTGGGGATTCTTTGTCATGCAAAACATTTGCTCACACGTCAGAGAATTCATCCTACAAAAGAGCGCTTTTGGCTAATGTAATGAACAAAAAAGCTGAATATTACTAGTACGACCACGGTACAGAGAACCATGTGTGAAAGCTGTACCCGATACCGTGGTAGAAAACAAATGTTTCGAATAGAATTTAAGAATAATAAGCGTTCTATTTACTAAGTCTCGTGTGTTAAAAAGATCAAGGGCGTAATATAGCCGGATGAATATTTATCTTACACCGCGTTCGTTTAAATCCATCCGAAAATGTATCGCTCACGGTAAAGTGCGAACGCGCTTAATGGAGTATCGTCGGTATTTAATAAGTCGCAATGTTGTCGCAATAAATATTGCTCGATACGAGGGTACGAAGTAAACAAACCCGTTAATTATTCTTGCTCTCAACTGCTTTAAATAAAGCGACGCTCAATTGTGACCAATGAAAGCCAACAACTTGAAATGGCAAAGTTTGTGAAAAGACTGCCTCAATTGTCCGTGGCTAACAAACCGCAATTCAAATGTTAATTGGCCACTGTAAAGAGCTTCTACAGTTGACGTTTCGAATGCACGATCAAGCGAAATCTTTACCTGTAGCTACTGAACGATTGGAAAACAAAATAGATACACAAAAATAGCTTGACGATATTGGAAATATCATTACGAAAGCGACAATACAATTTACAATGATACATTATGGGCAAAGGACATCGAAATGTGCGTCTACGTTGAGTTCGTTGGAGGAGGACTGAATAGGAAAAAAAATAAACTGTTTGGCATTTTAACCTAACATCTGCTACGAAATAATTAGTAAAAATATTTTGCTGAAAAAACTTGAAACAGTTGGTCAGAATCCATCTTCCAGCTGAGAGTAATCAATCCATACTCATTTCAGTGGAAATAGCTATTTATTGCGACCTTCTGGAGGACTGTCAAAGTCATAAGATGTTTTCAATTCAACATTCGATTTTGAAATATTTTCTATTAAGAGCTACAAAGCCATGATTATATATTAACATAATGTGACGACTGCAGCGAGGAATTGACATCTATACTGAACAATCATAAGCCCTGGAAATCAGAATAAAAGGGATGATTTCCTAGAAACCACCGAAAAAAGCTCCAAGGTTAAACTACAAGGTTTATAATTAAGTTTGTAAATTCGAATGCCATAGTGAAGGCACTTCGCTAACCTTGAATGATACAAAAATGTGTGCTTATGTCAAACTAGTTCTACAAACTTCATTTCAAAAATATCAATTCTTTTAATAATTCAAAGGAAAACGTTGAAGTTTTCAGGGCGAACTCTAGCTCAAATCTAGTATACATACATCACCGCACTGGTAGCCATCTTTCAACTGCAATGTTCTCCGTCACTTTCCATAACGTGAGCAGAACTCCTGTTCCATAAGTGCAGTGTCAATGAAAGGAAATCACAAATTCTGGAACTTCTTGTATTTGTCATCCCAGCTCTCAGTTTTTTGCTGTTTGATGGTGCTTCTTAGCGGTTTAGATGTTGGTTTCTGGGTCGATGCATGTTGCGCAGTTGGAGGAGGTACTACTGGAGTTGGTACTACTGGAGTTGGTTGCGGACGAGCAGGTTCTGGAGCAGGTTCTGGAGAAGGTTCGACTTCGGAGTGATTCACGGTACCATTTGTCGTTGGTGCAGGCAATGACTCCTCCTCCTTCTCCAATACCTCGTTCAGTTGTTTAACTTCCTCGGGTGTAGTTGCCTCGTTCGCCACTTCGGCAGAATCAACTTCGTTCGTGCTCGATTCGTCTGTTATGGTCGGTGCTGTTTCCACGGTGTTCGACTCCTCCACTTCGGGTTCGGGTTCTTCTTCCACAACAACTGGTTGTGGCGGCTCTGATGGTACTGGCTCACTCTCAACTTGTTTGTTCTGATAAACTGTCATTAGATTAGCCATATCAGCGGTTATGGGGCGACCTTCTTGTTTCAAATACGCCTCAGTGATATGGTCACAAACCAACATGGAAACTTCGGTCACGTTCATCTTGATCCGCTTGACAACATCGCCGTGAGACATATTCTCAATATTCATTCCATTTACCTCGATCACTTTATCCCCGACTCGAAGGCCTGCTTTCTGAGCTTCACTGCCATCGTCAACAGCGCTGATACTTTGCCCCGCTTGAATATTTCGCTCGCCATGGAGGTTAAACCCATAGCCACCTTCTCCTCGTTTCATCACAACGAGCCGAGGAGCTGAAACGGTGTCAGCGTCATATTCCATGCTCATTTTCCCCGGAAAATATACAAAGAAAGGGAAGGAAAGAATCTGTAGCTAACTGCGATTAAATCTGTCGCAAATCGGTTCCCCGAATGTTGCGTCTTCCTGCCCTTCTAACTCAAACAATTCAAGTAATCTAATGAGAGGAGAATAAATTATTATGAACATTCCTTATATGGAGCCCCCCCGCCCAAATATTCCATAGTTTCCGGTGAAATCGAGTAGAGTCCATTGCGTTTTCGCTAAATTCGAAAAAATTTCCGCTAAAAACTGAAAAAATAACATAAAATTGCTGTATCAAACCATTCTCGTGATATCAGGAAAAATTTTGACTCTCTTACTTTAGAACTCTTGAAACATTTTGATACAGAAGGTTGCAAATAGTATAAACAAAAAATAAAAAAAGGAGAAAATAAGTAGTTCAGTACGTATTTAATCAACTGATGCCACAAAATGATTGTCAGCTCCCGAACTAAATTGAAACCGAAAAAGGTGGCCCCAAAGCCATTTTTGAGAGAGATAACCTTCATAGCGGTGTGTAATTAACTTTTCTTGCACTTTTGAAATCTTTTCTATTTGTTTATTGAACTGCGAAATGCTTTAAAATTACTGAATGTAGTTCGATTCATGCTATTTTCTAGAAAATTCCCAACGTATGAGTCACTGAATCGAAAAAAAATTACGTTTTGTTCTAGTTGCTAAGATGAAACATAATGTCCAAGAAAATCCTTTGTTTTTAGTACTTCTGTCGGAAATTATTGCTATCTTCGCCCACACTATTAAAACTCCCACGCGTTTCCCACGCAAGAACAAAGTTCAGAGGAAGCCAGGGTACCCTTAGGTCCTCTCAGGGTGGTATCGTCTCCAATTAAAGAGTAAAGCTGGGGTCAAGTTTGCACAATGCGAGCCCGCGATTCATGACTGGTCAAAACAATATGGCGGAGTTCTATGGCAGTAGTGCCAACTATGAATCTCAGGCAAAAATGAGTTTCAGAGCGTTTGAAATAGCACCAGTGATCGAGCGAATAGTGACTACTTCTGTAGATAGACCAAAAACGGTAAGTTGACTTTGTATATCTCTTCTTTTCACCCATAAAATAGATTGAAACACGATGAATCGATTGCCATAGAGCTATTTATTTTTATGAAATTAATTAATTCCAAAGATATCTATTTTTGAGAATGCTGCATGATAAAGCTGAAGATTTACTATTCATGCCTCTTACGATTTGTTTACCTGTGATCAACCCTTCTACATGTATTTCTGAATGTTAAAAACTGACCGATCCTAAGGTACCGCTCGGCGTAGATCTAAATGGGCAACGTAAACTGCACAAACTTTAAATTGAAAATTGATATAATTTTTCAGTGCGCACTTTTGTGAAATTGAAGAATATCGAGAGAGATTTGTTGGAGTCATCCATTTTCATCAGTTTTTTTAAGTATCAGCGTTAATCTTATTAACTGACTGATAACGATGATAATTCCTACTATCAAGTATTTGTTGATGTTGGTCAATATCGCGAAAGTTTTAGAAATGAATATTTCTACTGGTTGCCTATTACAGGAAGTTGTTAAGACTACTCATCAAATCTTTGGGATCTGCATGGAATCTTGTGCAACATTTGTTAGGGATCCACTTTTTTTTTACCCTATATTCATAACAAAACCAATAACTTTCTGCTCTAATGATGACATTTTGACCAGGTGGAGTGCCTTGATTGTGCGGCCCAGAATTTATACATTGGTACATCAGATTGGTATGTATTTTTTAATGAAATGTGCTTTTACCTTATTTAAACACACACTTGAGTACCTTAACTGCAAGTTTAGTTATAATTGAATGATAGTTCAGTTATGTGAGGAATTTTCATGTTTTATTTAATTCCTAGTAATCAAGACTAACTGAACAGAGCTTTTGCTATGTTTATTTCTCAGTTTTGTCCTGAACTATGTGATTGATGAAGGTGTTTCACCATTGGGAAAGACAACATTTCAGTCAAGACTTCAAGCTTGTAAACATCTTGGAATGGTTTGTTAATGCTTATTTTCATTTGTGTATGAAAATCTGCCTTTGTCCCAATATCTAGCTATGTACCTAAGTTGAAGGTTGTAATATCTGGGAGGCAAAGGTTTGAACCCTGCTGCTATTTGATTAGTTTCAAGCTTCTTTTTCCTGCAATTTCCTCACCTGTGAGATTTAGTCCTTAATTACAGTAATAATATTGTTATATGTTATTAATAAATGATGTTATCAATAATAGTAGAGCTTGCAATTGCACTGCATATAAAATGTTTAGAGATTTTTAGTTAATAAATGTTGCTACCTTTTCAGCCAAGATATTTTGATAATGTAAATTTAGGAAACCATGCTATTGAAAATGATCAAGGTGGTGCTTTTTCACTCTAAGAGGTGAATCTTGTTCCAATTGACAGAAAAAGCCAATACAACAAGTTTTGACAGCTCCGGCAATAAACAGACTTCTAGTTCTGTGTGATGGTAAGTTGAAGCCTTATTAATGGTGTAGATTACTTGAACATATCCCATTTGGTCCATTGTCCTTTCTCCATAACTCTTTACAGCCAAATATCAGTTTGCAAGTTCTCCATTCTGTTCTGTACATATTACCTATGGTACTTCTAAAAGAATTTACGTAACAATCAAGAGCTTCTTGACCTTATGACCATTGCTTTTATTCTCGTGACCTTATTGTTTTATTTGGGAATGATACTGTGAGGAGAAATAAGTTGTTTATCACTCTCAGGGGTTAAAAGGCTAATTTTGAAAATCATGACTGACATGCATTTTTATTCCATACCACTAGGTAGTATTTTGATGTTTACTATGTTTGGCATGGAGGTGAGGATTGATTTTTTTCCATGAGTATGGCTAAAGCAGATGTTGAAGTATATAACTGGGTGCTTCAGTTCCCTCTCTAGTGCTCTATAACTGTCACAGTGAATGGCATTCTGAAATGACTAAAAGTGATAATGTGATAGATTAGTGTAGTCTGATCGTCTGGGTGAGTGTAGTCATGATAAGGACTGTTGTTGGTAGTGGTGACTGTTGTTCGACAACCTGAGCGAAAGCAATCATGAGAGTCAAGGCAACATTCACAGTCTTGATTCAAATGATGACTTCTGCTCAGGTTGTTGAAACATTAGTCAACAACAGTCCTATTCGGGACTACACTCACCCGGACAATCAGACTACACTACCACATGTTGCCCTTGGGTTCAAACCATTTACAGTAAAAGTGATAATCATGATTAAACTTCCTGCCTGTTTTCCCAGCCTGGCACCTTTTAAGCCTTTCCCCAGCTGACTAACAAATTTGGGAAACTTGTAATCCTGACTGGTGTATCATGTCCTTTGGAATGCAGTTTTTCTCAACATTTTGTACATTTTGTTGCAGTTTCTGGCCACTGGATTTAAGGACAGATTTAAAGGGGTATGCATGTTTGTCTTTTACTGGCATGGAAAATAGTATTCATTCCATTTTCAGAAATTCCAGCGATTGGCTGTTATTGTTATTATTAATAGTTCAGGTATTTAATATTATTGTTATGTTTTCCACAGATGTGTGCATGAATTAATAATTATTGTGACTTTTACAGTACCCAATGTGGTGTATCTGTACACTCAGATGTTGTAGTGCTGTATACAATGCTAATGATTATCTAGTGTAAAACAAGGGTTAAATAAGAACCTTCATATGAAAGGTTCTGTGATTTAAAGCAGTTAGTTCTAACATGAGAGGGATTATGATAATAGCAACAGTCATGTAACATCCTCAGTGTCTGTAGAGGAATAAGTTTACAAAATATAGAAGTAGGTAGGGTCTTTGGCAATCTTTTTGTATCATCAGTCTCAAATGAGAACTGAAGCAGTGAAGGAAATAACAACAACCATGAATTCAAAACTTTTTCATAATATCCAACAGTTTTTGGTCCATGAGTAGGTTTAACTTCTTAATGCTCACAATTCAAGAATAGTTATGAAATGCCAGGTAACAGTCAAACATCAGTAATGTCTTTTCAAGTCAGAACTTTAATTAGTTACTTCTTCTACTTCTCATTGATGATGTTATTAAATTTTTTTTGCTTTTCAGGTGACAGCTATTTGTAGAAATGATAATCCAAATATGTTTGACCCATTTGCTGTTGAGGTAAAGTACTTTGTTCTCATTATTGCACTGTTCTCTTTAGTTGTAAGGTATTTGACCAATTGAATAAATGTTGAAAGTTTAAAACAATGTGCATCGCATTAAAGAATGATGTTCAACTCACCTATTTGTTTAGAGGAAAGGACAACAATAAAATTTCATACGACACTGTGTGTGACCATAGTGCCCAGTGTGTGTACAGTGTGCATATACATGTAGAAATGTCAAGAGCTACAAGGAAGCAATCGCCATTGATATAAATTTCTTTTCTTCCAACTAAATGAGCCTCATTTTTCCTGAAATTCAAACCAGCAAAACCAAAAATGTGAAAAGAATTTGGTAGCAGAGTAAGTTTTGAAACTTAAAGGTGTATGGTAGAGAAGTTATATGTTATTTAATGCTTTAAATTATGTCTAATTTTCAGGTGTGTATGTCACTTTCCAAAAAGAAAGCCATCCATATTCTCTCTGTTACTGAAGACAGGATAACTCTATTGAAAGAAATACCACTTCCAGAACCTCCACTGCACATGGTAATGATCAAATTTTTTTTTCTTGTAATAGTGATATGAGTCAAATGGTCACTGATTTTACACAAAATAAATTACTTTCTTAGCATTGATGAACATTCAAAGTAGAAGTAGCCATTGATCATCTCCCATTGATAAGCTTTTGTGCAGCTGTACCTCTCCCCAAGGTTCCATCCCTTCTGTTTCTCCTTAAGGGGGAAGGGGAGGGGAGGGTAAGGCTACATGTTGGCTACACAGTGATGAGCCTTTCTTTCTAAACTTCTATGCCACTCTGTTATTTTGGCATGTGTGACAAAAAATATTTATGGCTAAGTGTCAGTAATTTAAGAAAAGAAATGAAGAAATTAAAAAATCTGTAATTTGCAATATGGAAATCTGCAATATGAAGCAATAAGTACATGTAGTATGTTACATTCTTTCCCTTTTTACCCTTCCCCCCCCTTAAAATGGGAGGATTAAGGTTAGAGTGGTTATCAATTTAAAAAGATTCAAGGGGTGTCCCAGAAATGGAATTTAAGGGCTTCTTTTTAATCATTGAGTTAGTGACTGAGATTTTACTTTGGTGTAAAGTGTAACTTTAATGGTCCTGTTCATGCTTTAGGCAGTTGATGGAGGATCCATTTGTGTGGCATTGGCTAATCAACATCGTTACTGCTTGGTTAATATTCTCTCTGGCAAGGTATAGGACTAAATTAATAGTTGTATCTCTCAGTTTACAAACTACAGAAATGTACCTCACAGTGTCACTCACTCAGTTACAGGATTGCCCTGTAAGTAATTCTTCCCACACCATTGATTGGGCAGAAAAAAAGGGATAAAAATTATGTGTACCAGTAACTATGAACTGTGTAGGATTGTCAGACAGGAAAGTATTTGCCTTTATGTCATGATGTATGGACCGAGTACAGTCAGAGGTCTGTGTGTCATGGCAGAGGGCCAAATACCTTCCCTCCTGCTCAACCAGACTCAGTTGAGAAGTATTTGTTTTAAAGTTTTAAAACATTTTAATATTACATTTGAACCTAGGTTCAAGAGTTATTTCATTATGAGGCTGAAGTTACTAAAGGACTTGTCATGGGTGTTGGAATGGTGAGTGCTTGTTTGTGAATCTGTTTTGGGAGATTTATGGGTGAATAGAGATATAGATAGATAGAGAGAGATAGAGAGTGCAATGACAGAGTTTTGTTCAACCCCAAACCAAAGTAATCCTTGAGGCCATTCAGAGGAAAAGAAAATATCATGGGAAGCAGATGAGAAGTCAAAATTTAAATGCATGAGCAGTGTCAAGGGTGGTCTAACCCAGTGACCAAGGAGCTATTGGTTTCACTTTTGAATCAGAATGGTTGAGAAAGGAGGGCAGGTTTTCTGATTCCATCAATGCAATGTAATGTGAAAGCTTAGCAATTTCAGGTTACTTTGGACACAAAAAACTTAAGGTTGCTCATGCTGTGTGGGCCACTATTCTTGTCTGCAAGACTTTCTCTAAACAATTTGATTTGCCAGAAACTATATCAGTGTTGTCCATCCATTAGTAAAGTGAAATTTTGTTGCCTCATTGTAGGAGGAGTTTTTACTTAATGGGCCCACAGATGTCATGGGCATGTTTGTTACTTCAGAAGGGACCTCTCAGAGAGCACCACTCAGCTGGTCAGAGAGATTGCTGGCTCTGGGATATTCGTTTCCTTATACTGTAGCACTTGGAGCCAACTCCATTTCTGTTCACAGGTCCAATGTTTATAAACAATTAACTAATTTTTTGCATTTTGCATTTCTTTTTTTGGTGCCAATCTGCAATGAGCAGAACTTTGATAATGTTCATTAGATAAATTTAAATCTGAATTATGTCGTTTCACTTTCTGCTTTTTAAAGCATCATAGGGCAAGACCAAAAATCACAGAAGCAGTCACTTATATTCAAGGTATGAGTAGTTCTGTTAAAATCTTCTTGATGTAAGCTCATTCATTTTGAGTGTTATACATTCAGTTCTTCTTTTACTCCTGTCATACACTTTCTTGGTTTCTAAAATAATTTAATTCCCGTTGTTTGATAAAGCAGTTCTAAATACCTACACTGATGGCAAAATAAGGTAATAAAGTACTATGACTTCAAACCACGCTCCTGATTTGAATTCTTTATCTTTTCAAGGGTGGAAGACTCCTTCTGAATTACGATAATCAAGTGTTTGTTTGTTCTTCAAGAGAAGTCTACTGCTTGGTGCAGCTTTCGTTCAGAAAACAGGTTAGTTTCTTCATCTATTGTTTACGAGCACGTTTTTCACCACTTGCGCCTTGAATCAACAGAACTTACAAAATCCATAGTCAGCAGCTGAGTGGGGTTAATTGCTTAACGCTAAGCAATTACTGGGCTCATGGCTTGCACAGCAGATTAGAGATTGAGAGCTCTGGTCAGGGGTTTCAATGAAACCCATGCTGAATTCCGCAGGAGCGTTGTAGGTGTAGGCCATTTGGTTGGTTCGCAGACTTAACTTTTGAGTGGCAGAGCTGTGAAAAGTCAGAGTGAAAATGTAAAGGGGATTGGCTCATTGTTTCGGCCACTGCCACCATCTTTGTCACAGAGTTCTTACAAAACGGCTGGCTACGGAAATTGCTGAGTGAAATCACTATCCAAGCCTTACAATAACATGCAAACAAAGGGGTTCAAATCGCAGATCACGAAAAGAGATTTTGCTTTGCGCGACCATCAAGCACGTTACAGGCATCTCAAGTTCTTTACCAGCAAGATGAAAAAGTGGATTGAATGTCACTAATAACTCTTAGGGCCCTTTAAAATATTGCTTTTGTGTCCCGGGAGGTCGTAAGATAAATTTAGATATTGACTTCCCACCCAACCATTGACTATATTCACCAGGTGCAGATGTTGTTAAACGAGAAAAGAGTAAGTGAGGCTCTTCAGCTCGCTCATGTCGCCATGGAAACAGCAACAGGGCCGCAAAGAGATGAAAAGGTACATTCCTATAAAAAGATATTAAATAACAACATGTGCTATAGCTAATTTATTTATGACCTGGCTGCCTAAGAATTTTTTCGTTTGTAGTGGGAGTGGAACATGTATCAGATGGATTCCATTTTACATTATGGCTGTCCAGGAGTAGATGAAAAATCTAAAATGACGTCAACATCTGATAAGAACAAAAACGTGCCACATGAGTCACAAGCAGATACAGGGAAAAATATAATTTTTTGTGTCATTTGATGAACACTAAATTTAACTAGCTTAAGTACAAAATTGGCTCGTAAAACTTGTTTTTCGAATTTTTTTGCAGTTTAGATATTTTTCACTAAGAGGACTTCTTGTACAACTTTGTAAATTTAAATTGCGGAATAATAAAGGAAGATGAGAGTGATCATCGCAGCTATGAACGCTATTAACAAGCCAGCTCAAAGTTGGCTTGTTAGCTCAGTTGGTAGAGCACTGCATCGGTATCGTAGAGGTCATAGGTTGAATCACCGTACAAACCTGAATGTTTTTCAGGCGTTATTTTCACAACTGCCTAAGTAGTGTTCATAACTGCGAATCAAGATCATTCCCATCTTGACTTCTCGTCTCGTGTCTTGTTTTTGTCGCTCGTAAACAGCTCCTTCTAAACTTTGTTTAGTTGAGGCCTTCACTTCTTAAACTGGATTAAGTTGTGCAAAGGAATGGAAACAATTTTACTGTGACGTGACCTGTGTACTCTGATACTTAATGATGAATTACCAGCCTAAAGGCGTGTGTAGCACTCAGTTTATTGCACAAGATTTAGTAGCCATATGCAATTTAGCGGTTGGTAAGTTGAAATATCATATCTGTTGCGACATTTGTTTCAGATCCTTCAAAGAACGCAACAGCAAGCTGGATTTATATACATGGCAGAAGGGTACTTCACAGAAGCAAGAAGCCTCATGAAAGAGGGAGGACTGGATCCGAGAGAGGTATCGCTTTGCGATTTCAAGTGTTCTTTAAGGGTTTCCAATTATCTCTGTGTCGGCCTGGGCTAGTTGTTCAAAGAGCGGGTAAAACTATCCAGTGGATATGTATTAACCCTTTAACTCCCAGATCAAACTTGTTATTCTCCTCACTGTCAACCATACAATTCTTATACTGTTAGTTCAGAGAATTTAGTATTGGATCAACTAATTATCCCCAAATTTATATTTTTCTTTAATCTCATCACTTATCTGGTTGATATTGTATTGATATTGTAAGGAGAAATTCTGTCCTGGTCACTCATGGGAGTTAAACGTAACGTACGTAACATGGGGGTTAACGTAACGTACTTTTCTAATGTTGAGAAAATTTATCTAGTTTGGCAAATCTCTTTGAAAAATCGGTTTAATTGTTCTTTTAGAACGTGGGTAACATTTAGCATGGTTTATCTGCGTTAAAGAAAAAAAAAAGGGAGACCTTTCATTGTGATAAAATCAGTGTAAACGCTTTGCTCACTACTCAACCTGGTTAAACAGTGTGAGTTCAATTGTTGACTGATTTTGGCAAACGTTTCTGATTAAGATCGTTGCTCTGTCACGTTTAACTAAAAGGCAAACAGCCATTGAAGAAACAAAACAAAAATAAATCACCACCAGAATTGATCATTATTCCTTCAAAACAAAAATCGGTTTAATTGTTCTTGACTTGTCACGGTTTCTACGGCAGTTCCGTTTGTGAAGCTCAGAGAGCAGCTTTGCGGCGTCTAAGTGACTGATTTTGCAAGCTTAAGATCGTTGCTGGATGTATTATAATTTTAAACCAAAATTAAACCAGAATTGAATTATTAACATTGTTGCAAAATGTCCTGGGAGGGATGTAACAATGACCAGCTTGTTGCAAAATGTCCTGAAAGCAACAATCTTTTGCGTATTATTTCGTTTGCATGTTGATATTTTCATGTCTCGTCTTTTGTTTTCCTTTTTTAGCTGATAATCTTATTTCCAGACCTCCTCTCTTCTAACTGGAAATATCTACCATCCAGAGAAATAACAGAGCTGAGTGCTCTTGGTGAGCTCATTATCGTAATTTTCGCTAAGTAATGCAACTCAGACATTCTAGATTGGTGGCCTAACAATTACCGTGCCGTACGGTTTATCGAGTGGTCTGGAGTCTAGCTTTACCAAGGGCCACTTTGATGTGTTTTAGGGCAAGATTTAGATGTATACAAACTTTATTTTCTGTGAATGTGATTGTAATAACTTAGGGTAACAAGTCAAAGGAAGGAGAAGGTTTGCTTGGGTTTGTTGGATTTCTCGGTAGTGTTTCATATTAAATCTTTGCTTTTTTTTCGCCTTCTTGTAGTGAAAGGTAGTAAGCAGTTTTTGGCGGAGGCCAAGCTATTCTTGATGCAGTTCCTTGTGAGTTGGTCCATTGTCTGTGCTTTTTATTGCTTTAGTTTGTGCTGGTTGCACGACCCACAGTTAAAGTGAAAATGTCGCATTCCTCTTTTTTTCGCCACTGTGAGCGAATGATCTGAACATGGAAAGTTACACGAGCAAAACCATATGGAAAGTGCAAATGTACACGTGTTCTTTCACAGATGTCGCAATCCGATTGGCTGCGCTACTCTCTATCAAATTAACAACTAGATTCTATGTTGCTGTGGGTCTGCACAGTGATAGATCACAGATGACTTGAAAATGAAGTGGGAACTGAAAAGTGGCAAATAAGGCGCAGCCGAGTGTGTCACTGATGCTCTCACAACATTTTAAGTCTTCTGTGATCTACTACTGTACAGATCCATGGTAACATGAAATCTGTTTGTTTCATATAATAAAGAAGAAAAATGCTGTCGATGGTGACGCCATCTATGCGTCCAATAGATCGTAAATAAGAAGCAACCAGAATACTTGTACAATTCAGCTTATTATATGATCCGTGATAGATGCTGCATAAAGTGGTTAGCCTCACAGAGTTCGGTTGTCGACAGAATCAAATAAAAACACGTACTTGCTAGGTCGTTAAGCTATGAACGACTGGCATGTTTATGCTAGAACAATCAAATAATTCGCTTTCAATCCTTACGCGAAATGTTTGGCCTTCGTCGACTATCAAAGAAATCTCGAGGTCGTAATCATATTTTTCTAAAAGTAGCTGCTAAAATCAGGATATCATATCTTTCCAGGAAGAAACCAGAGAATCTGCTGAAGATTCGGGCTACAAAGAGGTTTGTTTGTTTGTTGTATGAATCGGTTGACTCTAAATAGTCATCTCACTAAGTTTACTCGATGTTGCATACTTAGCTTTTTTGTCCTGATTTACCGTTGTGATTACTAACATTTTGGTTTAACGAAGTGCGCTCTTTCTTAGACATAGGGGGGCTTCTTTCGTCTTTTGTAGGAGGTCGACACGGCTCTGGTGAAGTTATACACACAAATAAATTCTCCAGACTTACTAAGGTTGGTGTCTAATAGAAACGCCTGCACTGTGGCAGATACCATCAGTTGCCTTCAAAAGCACGAGGTATGTATTTTATCATATTTATTTTATTCTCATGGTTAGACCTTGACACAAACCGAATAAACCGTTTAAAAAGCTACACGCAATCCGTACATCTTGAAAACTTTTTTCAGTAAATTTGTTGCTCACCGTTAATCCGCGTTAATCTTCACCATCTCTACCCACCGTTGTTCTTTCTCTCTTTAATATTATCCCTCAAGTCTTTCTCTGCCTTGCCGTAATTAAATTTCGACGTTTCTCCATTTGACGATAGTCTTGTTCGGTGTATAAAACGAAGCGCACACACAGCTTCTCTAAGCTAAGATATCGCAATATCAGACCGACACTTGTGGCTATTCAGGAGATCGGCACATTTAATTTTATCTTCATACCGTTTAACGCCTAGAGGTAGTTATCATTATATTAATGATATTATTACATTACCCAGCAATAGCTGATGAGGATGGACGAACTTGTCAGTCAGAAGGTGTTATCTTGTTTAATACCGAACTCACTCAACTGAAATACAAGGAAATGTACGACCATTGCAGATAGAGAATAGAGTATCTGTTAGATCCTTGCAATAAAAGGGTTGAGACAACGTCATGACTCAAGCTTAAAATGAAAAGAAAAGGGCTGGGCTGTTTTTTGCCGTGACAAAGAAGACGTAGAAAGTGCGTTTTGTCTTTTTTTGTTTTCAGAGGTACCACGCTTTGGCATTGTTCTATGACTATCACAAACAACCTGTGGAAGCGATAGCTGTTTGGAAAAGGTATGTTTTTTTTGCAGCTTTTTATTGAGTTTCGTAAAGTGTAAAACACAATTTTAAACAAGAGCCCGCAGCAATTATATGGCAGATGTCATGCATAAATAAATGAAGGGGGTAAGGAACTGTGGTGTAGCGTCGGTATGGGGTGGGGTGGGGGTTGGGGGGGGATAACAAGATAATTCTGGTTTTATCCACCGAGTTGATAATGTAAATTGGCCTCCGTAAAGAGTATCTAAGCTGACGTTTCGAGCGTTAGCCCTCCGTCAGAGTGAATGAAACTTCAGAAACTTACCCCTTCAATTCAAGTTCAATCTAGATTAAGTTTGTGCGCTGAAAGAGGAAATGAAATAAGTCGCAGCGACTTAGTTTGGAAAACAGTGCTTAAAACAGTGGCTCGCAGTCTCTTAGTCTTGTCTCGTGTTTCTTGAAGTCTTTGAAAACGATTCAGAGGACTTCGACTTACGCTGGCAAAACGAAAATCGCAGGAGGGAGCTTGGCCTCATTGAAAGCTTTCCTTAATGTTATTCTCTTATTGTTACATTCCCAGACTTATACAGGAGGATATTAGAGATAGAAACTTCCCGGGGATAAACTACGTCGCAAAGTATCTTTCTAGGTAAAGTTTCATGTCATTCAAACTGCACTGATTTTTTGTAAAAAGTTTTCATGGAACTTGGAATCAAGCACTGTACTGTATACTGAAAATACTTAGATCGCGATGGTTTGAGGTCCTTGATAGATGCAAAAGTAATGGTCACTTGTATCCTAAGGTCTTATCTGTTGGTGATTTTATCGTCAGTTGACGAATTTTGAGTGATGAATGGAAGAAAATCAACATTAACTCTCTGTATGCACGCAAAAATAACCAGTAATTGAAAACAGTCAAGCATTTCCTGAAAGGTTGATTTCAGTTTTTCTTACCCCATTTTTAAGGTTGCAAGATTCTGAGCTTCTCTGGAACAACGTTCCTTGGCTGCTAGCGAAGAATCAAGAAATAGCTGTTAAGGTGCATTAAGTTTATGAGCAAATGAGTGAGCGACACGTTATCGATGATAGAAACAGACATGAGAACGTAAACGGAACGACCCGAATAACGAAAAATTTTTCCAATGAATTAGCGATGGAACCGAGGCATTATTGTATTAGAGGCAGAAGAAAAAGGTTTCGTGGTACACTTCCATTCAGTTTCGCCTTGATTCGTTGTCTCCTTGTTACAGCAAACCGTTTTTAGTAAATCTTCGGGAGCTGAGAGTTGTTTGGTGTGATTACCCAAAAAAAAAGTGTCACGGAATCTCCAAGGAAAAGAAGAAAGGGAATTAACTATTGTACTACGGAGGGTAAACTTTAATACAATATTCTAATTTAATGATGGTGTGATATTTTTTGCGATCCTCTCTGAACATCTCTGCAGGTTTTCACAGACAGACCAACAGATTATCAACCCAACGACGAAAAAATGAAACCAGACTTGATTGTAGAATACCTACAGAGATTTCCTGTTGCTTTACAATACTATCTTGAGTATCTTGTGTACGACAGGAAATTCGAGGTATGACAAATGTTCGAGGCGTTCTTTTCACAGCACGAAACAACTGCCATTGCTTTCATTTGTGATGTTTCTTTAAACAATTATGACCAAACACACTTACACTCATTGTGACAGTCAACGAGTAAATGGAAACGTCCCGCCAGTAGTGTAAATAGCTATCGATACCATTAACGGATTTCAGGTATAAAACGCTTTCGTTGCAAGCATTTTTGTAGGCGAAGATGAACAACCGTTTTTTTTTATTTTGAATTTTAAGGACGTTGACCACAACTTCTGCTCGTGTGGTCTTCGTTTTGTGTCGGCCTTTGATAAGCAAGCAACCATATATCCCAAACGTAATTAAGAAAATATTTCTTGCACATTTTTAAATGGTCATCCATCTAGGAGGGGGGCGTTGGGGCTTATTAGAAACCGCAAAACCGTAGAAAAAATCATCCAAAACCGAAAAACCGAAAAAAAAATCGATCAAAACCGAAAACCGCATCGGATATCAAATCCGAACACCCGTCAGTATTTTTCGCGAAAACCGAAACCAAATGCTAAATAACGGAAAATCCGCAAACTGCAATGAACACCAAAACCGAAAACCAAAGTTTTTTGGCACAAAAACCGAAAAAAATAGCCAAAACCGAAAATCCCAATACCCCCCTCATCTAGAGTTCCTCTTTACCCCCACCTTATATAAGTGAAGAAGACCACAAATAAAATGTTTCAGTTGGAGGAAGATTTTAAACCCGTGAGGTGATTCTGAACTTTTCAAATCGGAAGCGATTTAGTCACCCAAAGTTAATGTGCACGCGATTATGAGAAAAATCTCCACCGTTCTTGATTGGTCGGAAAATAGCAACAACAGTTTATCAGATAAACTGGTTTTTTTTTCTTCTCTATCGACTTTTTATTCCTTCATCAGAAAGAGAAGTATCACACCCATCTAGCCCTTCTTTATTTGGAAGAAGTGTTGAAAATGAGAAGAGATCCATCTTGTTCTCAGGACAATCTTGATAAACAAAGGTATGTTATTGTCTAGCAGTGAGGATTGTGTATGATTCTCGCAAGGAGGCATGAACGAACTAGATATTTCCACTTTGGACATAGGGCATATCGATGAAAAGTTTCCAGAAAAAAAGCGCAGGCACTTATCTTGGTCAGATTTCTTGGTTTGTTACTTTTAAATTTGATATGTCGGCCATGCGGTTTGCGAAGACAGCTCAAGGTATTCCTGTTTTCCTTTGCAGAGTGAAACTGCGGGCAATGTTGGAGTGGTCTTCTCTGTATCGAGTGGCTCTGTTGCTATCCAAGATCAACGATGATTCTGACTTAGATGCTGAAGCCGCCATTCTTTATGGAAAGGTTGGTGTGCGATTGTTTAGCCAATCATTAAAAAGATATGAAGTAGTATTAACAGAGGGGGTGGAATGACAATCAACGGCCTGCGGTCAAGTCCAATTTTGTTCTTGTGTCGCCTGTGATTGCAATTTTTAGCCCCTGGTTTGACATTGACAAGCTTGTAACAGAATAAATTTTAATACTGAGAGCCTGGTTACTTACACTTCTAGAGCAGCGTTAGTTGGTTTGTCGTGAGTAAAAAGACTGGGATCGCTATGGTTTCGCTTTTTAAAATATCCTCCTTATGCTAGAAAACTCCCAACAAATCAGACGCCAAGCGACATAGAAAGCTAGAACTAGTCACGACAAAATCGCGACTTGGTCACTTGAGTTTTCCCGCGCTTCGAGCAGTTTCTTTTTTTTGCTGAGTTTTCACTGAATCGATGTAATATTTTCTGTTTTCTGATCGGTTTTTGCGATTAATTTGGGTTTAGTTTTACCATATTCATTGAAATGTACACTGTACCGCGCTTTTTATTAAATAATTTTGTACGTTTTTTCAGATGGAGCAGTACAATAAAGCGCTGAAGATTTTAGTTTACAAACTTGAGGATTTCTCTGAGGCTGAAAGGTTCTGTGAGCTACATTCAAAGGTGAATCTTACTCGACGTCTTGCTTTCGTTTAAGTTGTGGTTTGTGACTGTAATCTCTTTTGGAGTGGTCTTCTACTGCTGAATAACTTTCAATTCGCCGATATGAATCCACGAACAGTAATTATTACAATGAATTTTGAACGTTCATGAGAAGATCCATCCCGTTTGACGTTTTTCTTTGTGAAAATATTGCACCTCATTGAAATGAAGATCACTCCTTGTTGTTGATTTGTTCCCCAGATCTGATCCCCAGCGGTTGCTTTATTTGTATACAATTTAACCCTTTGACCCCTATCAGTGACTAAAATCCAATTTCTCCTAACAATATCACCCCTGAATCATACATTAAGGTCACGAGAATGAAGGGATGGATCACCAACTGAAGAAGCTCTTGATTGTTGAACAAATTCTCCTTATCAGCACCTAAGGAAATGTAGACAGATCAATAAGGAGAATATGCATACCATTGTTAGGGTGTGAAGGGTTAAATGGGTCTCAACATCAGCTTTTGATCTTAAACTGGTCAGCGTTTTGGTCATGCATGGTTGTCACCTCTTATTCTGCAGGGCAAAGACAGAAACTTTCGTATGAAGCTTTTCCAAACTTTGTTAGAAGTCTACCTTTCTCCTGATGAGTAAGTGATAAAACTTACGTTTTGCAAAAGTTTTATCGTCCATTGCTTGGTTGAACTTGCTGAGTAGTTCTAATAAGCTTTGGCAACCTCGCAAGTTTCTCAGGGTACATGCGTTGTCTCAGTCAGAAAAATGAAGTTTTAAATTTGGTGAAAATTTAGAGTTTTAGCTTGCGGTCTTGAATAAAAATCCTTCGCTTGGTATAATTGATTGTCCTGTTATCGAAGGATAAAGGAGAAATAAGAAACTTTAAATGAGCAAATCAAGTTTTTGTTCTGTGTCTCACAGGGACCACGAACCATTAATAGCACCAGCGGTTGCACTTCTAAACTCACATATGTGTGACTTTGACACAGCTGAGGTAAGCAGTTCCTTTTTCTGAAATACGTTTAGTAGTTTTGCTGATGCACATTCGATAAAAAAAGAAAAACGTCTCCAAAATAGACCTCCACCCAGCTTGTTACGATGCAATGACTCCACATCAAACATGGCCGGTCGGATAAACGATCGTGAGCTTGAAATGTCTAATAAGACGCCTGCATTGCAGGCTAAGGTCAGTAAACCAGCCCAAACATGACCACCGACGAGCATCATAGCCGGAATCAAGTTACTATAATGATCAAGGAAAAACTACTAAAAGACAAAAACTGCGTGTCCGATCTTATAGGCTTTTGAGTCTTTATATCTCACCGTGAAGAATTGCGTAACAATCAGGAGAACTTAAAAAAAAAACTCATAATAAAGTACTAAAAAAAAAACCAATTTCGAAATGACATTCAATTTCGAATGATCAAACATCAAGACAGGAGAGACAATAGTCAGGAAACGCAATGCAAGGGTGAAGAGTAACAATTCTTGACCTAAATCACAAGGGCAACCTTGATATATAATTAACTGAAACACATCTCAACATTTTGTTTAAGTTATTGCTTTTTTTTTTCCATTTTTCTAGGCAATGAAGCTGATTCCTGACGAATGGTCGATCGGTGTAATTTCTCAGTTCCTGTGTGGTTCAGTTCGATCAAGTCTCCACAAAAGTCGCACCAGTAAGATTCTTAGCAGCCTAGCTCGCGGAGAAAACCTCAAGGCAAGTTTTGTACCGTGCAGGATGTGACAAAAACGTGAAAGCTGGATTTGCTCATAGACATGCAAAGCACAAGAAAAATTAAAAAGCGAAGTAAATCGAGAAGTAGAAAAATGGCCTACTTTTGTGGGGAACATATTGTCTCCATCAAAATTGTTCCAGGTGGTATGTCAACATTACTACAGTCATCAAGGTCTATAGAACCATAGGTGTTGAAAGGCAGTCATAAAGAAGGAGGAAAAACACTCTTCACTTCGGTCCACGAGTGCACAAGAGAACCAGCAGGATAATATTTAGATATTTTGGCCTCACTGTTGGGTAAAAACATATGTGAATAAGACCGAAATGACAAGTGACCACAAAGTGAGCATGCTTGTGGATACAATAACACGAACGCCACAAACTCTAATGTTAATTATCTTTCATGTCTTTTCATTTTGAAATATTTTATCTTTTGAATTCTGGTTTTTAATTAGTTTTGCTTTTCTTTCAGATGCGAAGTTCGCACATGATCTCCCATAAAGCTAAATTTTCAGTGACGGAGGAAAAGTAACTTTTTTTGTTGTTAATGCAGCTACGTGTCAGTTTGATCATATTTGAAATTTAGCCTAAACTTTTTTTCACCCTGCCATCCTCTACAGTGATTCTCATCCAAACCAAATTCTCTTGCAAAGCTCAGTTTGCACTAAGTATCGATTTGACTCTTTCCCTCCCTCCCTCCCACGATCAAAATTACACAGTATCCCCTAGCTGGTATTCTTCTTTCTTCTCATCACCTTTATGCTTGAAAATGTCTCGTGCTTCAAGCGAAACTCCTTTGTGGTTAGTCCTGGGAAAGAGAGGTTTCATACAAATGAGAGGGACTGAGGAGACAGAGAAAGCCCATGAGGCCTTTCGGTCCACTGTGATTATTTTCAGTTTTCTTGACGGAAACGGATGTCTGTTTTCTGGCACGTTCGATAGAAACTGATTGACTGCATCTTTGATTTTTTTATTTAATTTTATTTTACTTTAAGACTATGTCAAGCATGTCGGCGGCCGTTTAATGACCCAGCTGTAGCGCGTTACCCGAATGGCGTGACGACGCATATACACTGCGCAAGAAATAAGACTGTTTGCCCCGTGACGGGGCATGTGTTCTCATCCAAAGAACAGCATCGGGACGAGGTCAATAAAGACGACAGAGTTTGAGGGTGTTAGAAATAAAACGAAATATCAGAATTTCATCTCACTTGGAGTATTAACAGTGGAAAAAATGCTGGAGAAGTGGTGGAAATTGTGCTGAAATGTGCGGCGTAGCTAACAATGGGGGAAGTAATGGAGAAATGGTCATTTTGTCAGGCATCGAGCATTCCGCGATGAGAAGCTGTCATTTTTTACCATCTGTTGCTTTTTGACTTTGTGTATATATTCAAATATTTTAAAGCTTTTAAAGAGGAGTGAAAATATATTTTTATATAATTTCTGTAGGTGATATACAGGAAGCCTAGCTCTTGATGTAAATTGGTTGAGAAAAAGAAAGGTAGACAGATGAAAAGAGAAAAATTATGAAATGATGATGTTTGAAACCATGACATGGAAAAGGAGACCACGTTTCTGAAGCGGCGAAGGCGAAGACGAAGATAAATTGATAATTATTTGAGTTACGTGGATGAAACAGAAAAAAAAATCTTATTTCCGCATGACTTAAAAAGAACAATTTTGAGAATAAGCGCTAAATGTCTGTATAGGTAAACAAGAACATAGAATTGTATTAAACCATACAAACATGTAAAAAGAGAAATGACATTTTTTCATGGATTTACATACATTTTTGCACTAAATGTGACTATTACTGCCAAACCGCGTTCTGTGACCCCTACCCATCAAAATAAAGGCAAGTGTAAAAAGTGTTTTTGACAAATGAATTTTCTTTGGATGTAAACAGCAAGTCATTTTCCTATCAGAGGCTTCGAACTAACCCTCATTTTAAGGGGCTCGGATATGAGCTATTTTGACATAAAAAAATTTGATGTCATTGACAAACAAATTGAAAAAAATTTGATAAGTAGCTGGTGTTGGCTCACACTTGGATGGTCTAAAGATCATTAAACTATTGTTTCATGCGGCAACGCGCGTTCATTGAGGAATTAAGGAAGTGAAAATTTTATAGAGAGCGAAATATGCATAAGAGTTACTCGAGTTACAGCTTAAATGTTTTAAAAGAGAAGTTCGTCTACTACTCTTCTGCGTGTCACACATACGTCATCAGGGCCCTCCTTGAAAATATTAGGCACATTCCCGTAAGTGAATTAGATGACTAAATGACTGAAATATACTGAGAAGTAGAGGGTAGTTTCTTGGGCTTCGAGATCTGACTGAGACTGCGTCACAATATGATTTCTAGGTCTATCATATATTGGATTCTGGACGATTGTCTATTTCCGAGATGCCCCTCAAATTTGCGAAAGATCATATGAATTTGTCGAATCGCCGATTTTCTTCATTTTTTTAGGGAACGAATGGAGAGAAATTTTCTCCAAATAATTCGTTCAGCTAAAATGGGTGCTGTATACCAATTACCTGATCCGATTCGCATATTGCTTCGTTTACTTGAAGTTATCCGAACTTTGACTAGAGTGAAGTTTCAAAACTCTTAGCTACCAGTATAGTCCCCCCACACCCCACCCCCGTCGCTAAAAAAAAAGGTTGGTGCATCAAGGCCAGGTTACTTAGAAGGCACCCCAAGATGGCGACTGGCTCGTCAGGTGATTCCTTGGGTCAATTTTCGTCCTAAAGAAGAGTCCCGTGGGCAACCATGGCGTTCAACAAGGTACGTTTAACCACAATTACTTTATGTGTACAATGATCCTGATTTTAAACTTGTCGGATCATGATAGCTAGTTTCTCAAGACTTATACGGGCCCGCTTTTTACCAGTCAGTGGTAGTGCGCGCGCCACGCAGTGTTAATCGATACTCTCCATAACTTCGATATGCGCCTGCAATAGAACCTCATAAGCCTGCTAGCTAATTTTCGTTTGGAAGAAAGTGAAAGTTTGCAAGAAATATGTTAGCATCAGCTTTTCATCCGTTTTGGGATCAATTATTTTGTAAGTAACTTGCCTCGTCTCTTCAATATGCTAATATTTGACTACTGAACTTGAGCAAAAGTTTCTAAATATAGGCTTAGCGTAGTTCCGATTTATTGAAACACTAGCGCGTGCAGCGAGAGTGTGTTCCAAAGGTTATTATTATCGGTTATAGAAGGGATCAGGGTGGTATTTCATGATACAAGGATGGGATTTTTGAGGTTACATTAAGAGCATTTTGGTGAAATATTCATTAATGACTCATTTACTTTGCGTATTTGTGTGTTGCTCTTGATCAGTAGACTGTAATCTTAATCAGTTTCCTTTCAATAATACAACTACAAGTACCCTCTCATCTCTTTGTTTGTGTATTTCAATAGTTAATAGTCCTTATGCTGTTTTGAGTTTCTCTTATAGTTTGGTGAAATGGTCTGGAAAAGCCGATATTTTTACTTGATTTTTGATTTTTTTGATATTTGTTAAATTTCAAGACGTTTCAAATTAATGATTTCAATACTCAATTTAATCTATTGTAATTGATGATTTTCTATCCTAAATAATCAATTTATATCAAAAATCAATAAAAATCAAAACCTGTGGTTTTGTGATTATTAATTTTACAGGTAAGAAAAAAACCCTGAGTTAATTCTGAATGTAGACAATGTCATTTGTTCTCTCAGTTGAGTAAATCACTATTAAGAATATTCTGGAGCTAAATCTTGTGATTATTTTTATGTATCAATTATTTTACCTAATCGATCAACAAACTTTGAGTATTATCCAGTAATATCAAGCAATCAATCAGTTTCCAGTGATCAATTTCTATTGATTTGTAGCATCCTGTATTTTAATATTGATCAATTCTTCCTTACAAAGTGCAATTAAAATTATTTTACTTACTCTACTGTTATTTTCTTACTTTATTTCTTGAGCCTTTAACTCTCAGAAACAATTCTAAACATGTAAAGTTGTATGTAACTTCTCCCTTTAATTTCTATACATTATCCAGCAAACAGGAAATGAGAATACTCAAGCTTATCAGGTTGAAGTTGTTATCTTGTTCTAAATTCTAGCAACTAACTTACAAGGAAATGTTTAGCAGTTAGAGGGGAGAATTACATGTAACAATCAGATCTTGGGAGTTAAAGGATTAATGTAGGCCATCTGTGAATGATTTTTTCCTTTTTCTAGCTAGGATATTTTTCTACAATTTTCAAAGTTTTTATGCATTTTATCTGTTTGTTTCATATTATTTGCATTGGATCATATTCAACTTTAATTTTGCCTGATGTTAGCAACAATGAAGGTGTTGTTGTTAAAAAAAGTGCAGCGTGATTATCACTGCAGCATTGACAGGGTTTACTGTGATGAAATACTATGTTCAATTACATTCCCTCTATACAACAATAGATGCACAATGTTTCTATTACTTTCAATTACTAAAATGAGAATAGATCATTTGATATGTGTATTTTCTGTTTGAAAAGACGATTTTTTAGTGGAGGGGTAAGATTGAAGAGCATACACAAGATATAGCATCTTGTACTTGGATATCTCTAAAATCCCCTTCCCTAGAGTTACCCTATAAATATTGAAAAGATTTTCCTTCCCCTCCCCCAAGGTGAAATAGATGGGTAAGAGACAGGCATTTTGCTTGATAATAACCCTTTCATTTCTGTGGTTTTTAACCCCCTAACTCCTTTGAATGACCAAGCCAGAAATACTCCTTACAATATCAATACATTATCAAATAGACAAGTGATGAGAATAAAGAAACATATCAACCAAGAGACTCTAAGTTGATTCAATACCAAATTCTCTGAACTAACATCATAAGAATTGTACAGCAGATAATATAGAGAATTACTAATGAGATTTAGGGACTGAAAGGATTAAAAGATAATCTGTAATGAAGCACATGTAATGCATAGTCTTTAATATTGTTTTCCTTTGTACTCTTTGAACAGATTTTAACATTTCTTTAATTATGTTCAACTTATTGTGTTGATGCTCTGTAGTGAGTTTTATTTTAACTGTCAGTTGTTCCATAATCATGTTTAATAACAAAATAACTTTTAATAATATGATTTTAGTAACAAATGTCTGCACAAGTTCAAATTTCCTCTGTTTATGCAGATTTCAGTCCCATGTGAGGTTACTGGAGAATGAAGCGCACAAAGGCTCAGAGACATAATTTATACATTTTTGGCGCTCAAAAGGTACATGTAACCTTCACTCTGCTTTGGTGTTTGTGTAATTGCTTCTTATAATCTGCCCTGACATTGTAACATAAAGTAAGCATAGTTTATCATTGATTCACCTGGTGATCACCAGCCAATGGAAAAGGCATTGGCCAAGTATTGACACATTGGCGAGGAGGGGTAGGAGACCCCCAAAAAAGTCATTGTCTTGTAGTACTGGATGAGACACTTTTCTCTTCTAGTAATATTCTTTATTTACCACATTCTCCTCTCTTTCCCTTCCTCCCCCCCCCCTTCTCATTCCTTGATTATCAAGAAGGTTCTTGGGGCGATTGAAGTAATGGTATTCATTATGAAATTTTTTAGTCAAGTTAAATTCAGTTTTGGAATGGTTACAAAATAATTTGATTTTATCTAATGAGGTAACAGAAATTGGCAGCCATTAAGAGTTTTAGGGTAAGCCTTTTGTCAGAAAATATGGTGAGGTTACTCTGTGGAATCTCAAAACTCAGACAATGACATACCTGTTTATTTACTTTATAATTTTAGAGATGAAAATTATGTTTTCTGGTCAGGGGCTATTTTCTCCTTTATTATATTTCTTCTTCTTCATTCATAGATCCAAACACTCTGACTCAATTTCCTGCACCATCCTCTATATATTTATTTGAATTTTAGATCTAAGAACCATTTGTGAATCAAACAATATCTCTAAGTTGATATTCTCATTACATTTCTGCTTGAAATTGTCTGATATTGTAGGGGGAAATTTGGTTTTTGGTCATTCCTGGGAGTGAAAGGATTAGGGGTGAGGGGTAATCTGTGATAAACAACCATCCTATTTAGAGAAAGGTGTTTTTCATCTTGTCATGGGACAAAGAAAGAAAGATTTGATTCCGCATGAGGAATTGAACCTCAGACCTTTGGATTCTGCACTCTGATGCTCTACCATCGAGTCACAGAGACTGTATGGTGATTAAGGCCTATTACAAAGTTCTTATGACACATGTCCCACATACTGTTAGGATCAGCAATGTCATGTTTGTTAATAGAATAAGGGAGATGGTAAGTTTTGAGGAATCGAACCTCAGACCTTCGGATTCCATGCTCCGGATGTATTACCACTGAGCCACAGAGACTCTAATTTTGAACAGAGCTTAGGAAATTGGAAGAATGTAATCCTTACATTTTCTCATGTTGAGAAACAATAAACCTAAAACTTAAGTGTCAGAAGGCAAAAAGTTTAACCAGAAAAAAAAAACATCAAAACATCCTATTTAATATGAGAAGTAGTCAAACCCTTACCATGATTGCTTCCTGCTACAGAGTCAAGGGTAAGGTTTGGCAGCTAAATGAGTGAGTCTCCTTATTTGCACAATCCACCAGATTGTTAAGGGTGACCTCCTTACTATGGTTATTAATTAATTTACTTTTCATACCTGAAAATGTATTTTCAGTCTGATTAAATTTAACAGGTTTAATTTGTTCCACTATGCAATCATTTTCCAGTTATCTGTAATATTTGACATAAAAGTGAACAAATAATAATGGAATGTTCTTACAGTTTGCACATCTAGTTAGAATTCTCAGGCATATTGCTTTATTTAGGGTACATTTTTAGTGTACCTTATCAGTTTCACTTTTAAAAGATTTTTTTATCAAGTTTTGATGATCCTCAATTGCTGGATTTGATACGGCATGAAGAAATGTATTTGATTCCATTACAGTACCTCTCAGTGATTTAATGTCACTTACTCAGAAAATGTTTTCAAAATGATGAGCTCTTGCACTACTTGAAAGACAACTAGGCACTGAATACAGCAAGCACAATACAACAGTCACCCTCCCTCCTCTAAAGAATATCAAAGTCCATAACCTTACCCTATATGTGAAAAAAATTTATACCCATGCCATTAACGTATTCTGTGGTGTAGAGAATGAAGAAGAAGAGTTAAGTGTTTTAGTTTAGAAAGAGACAGTGTCAGACATTTTTGGTAGGACTATAAATTATCTATATTAAGGCTTAACAAAGTATGTTGTGTTATAAATATTATTGCAAGAACATTGCCATTGTTGACTTATTAGTTAATTATTTAAATTGATAAGTGCATGAAATTTATAGTTGAAAAAGGTTCAAAGAAAAGGATAAAAAAAACCACGAGATTGCAAAGAACTTAGGCTTTAAAGATATTAGTATGTCCTTGGAGAAAGATTTCAGTCATGTTGTGTACCTTGTACAGTGTGCAGGTAATATTTTTTTTTCTAATATCAGAGAGTTGGCTTACAGGAAATTCAGTAATCTTGTCATGGAAACTTAAAAAAAAAAGGAAAGAAAGCCAACTTGGAGCAATTGCCAGCCTGTTACTTTAACAGTTAATGAAATGTACTAAATGTTGTTCATTCTTCAGTTGGTTTCTCACCAAATTGCTGTTGCAATTTGCTGTTATTTTCTTGTGCAGTTTATAATAAAGCATGGATGAAATGAAGGCCTTGAGACATTCAAATGCAATCCTGATCTGATTAATAACAAAATGTGTTTGACAAAAACAGATGAAGATCTTTTGTTTCCCCTAAATTGTGTAAAACATGACGTGTAAGCTCACTTTGTGTTGCAATGTCTATAACACACATGTGTGTTCTGCTTTCAGGGTTTATTTAACTGAGCAATGTGTGTTTTACATGTGATTAAGTTATAAGGAGTATTAAAAATGATATTTTGACAATGGTAACTGTTTTATTTTTCAATCCCTGCTAAAGGCTAAAGTTTGAGAAAAAATCCCTGATCCCACTATATCTCGTTTATTGATGCCAGGATGGTGAAAGTGATAAAGATAAGGAGCTGAAATTGGGAAGGAGTCTAAAATGCACCTTTTCCTCCTAGATAGTCATTAGAAACTTTTTTTTTTGAGCTCCTGCAATTTTTCTTCTTACCTGGCTTTCCCCACTTTCATATTAAAAACAAAAATTGTAATGGACAGACTATCCAGCTGTATATACAATACAATTCATTTTTTTTTTGTTACATTTTTATTTAATGTGACAGTTTCCCCCAAAAGGAGTAGTTATTAATACCTTTAATTTTTATTTTTGTTACAGATGGTTGATGACCAAGTAGTTCCACAGTTTTCCAGATTTCTTCATGATGATCCTTATGTAAAACCATACCAGACTGAGATAGAGAGAAGGTAGCTTTGCACTGGGGTCTTCTGTGCAACTTGTGTAGTTGCTACACTCTTCAAATTGTGGAGAGTTTAATTTTTAGTGTAACGTTGTAACTAAAGAAGTGCAAAGAACTAGAGTCAGTCATTTGGTTAGAGGGGAAATACTTGTTGGAATACAAGTTTGTTCACAAAACTTTGTATCGCATGAACCAGCTTTAATCCTATATACCTTAACATTGGTTTCTCCATATTGGTCTTTTTATGCATTTCCAAAGGAAATGGAATTCGTTTTTAACATTCAATAGCTTCTTTAGTTGGTGATCATTGCCTTTATTGCAGTGACCTTTAAGTCTGATTCAGGGGTGATACTGTAAAGAGAAATTAGATAGAATGGGGATCAATACATATTGATATGCTTCAGTCAGTCACTGTATTTCAGAGGAAAAGTCTGCAGCCACTTTTATCTGTGAGATTTGCAGACCAAATGGCAGAATAAGGAAATGCTAAGGGTAATGCTTGACAGTGCTTGCCAGAGAGACAACTGGGTAAGGCACAAGAGTTGTGTTCTTACTTGTGACCATTGTGTTTTTTTATTGTTAACAGGTACAAGTGTTTGTCCAAACTAAAGGATGATATTGAGAAGAATGAAGGTGGAGTGGAAAAGTTCACCAGAGGTTATGAAAAGTTTGGGATCAACAGAACTCCAGAGGGTTTGGTGTACCGTGAATGGGCCCCAGCTGCTTGTGGAGTGTATCTCACTGGAGACTTCAGTGAGTGAAACTGTTTTGATGATTGCTTTTTTTTTTATTAGCATTGGCTAGTCAGCTCGGAATTGTCTGAATATTAAGTGATCTGTGGCTTTTCCAGTTTGTTAATTGCAGGCTAGATCTGGCTGGCAATTTTGATGGACAAAGGGAAATTTACTTTTTAGACAAGTTTTTAAGATAAGGTATGAAGAGTTCAAATCACTTTTTTCAGATGGCTGGTCCAGAACTTCTCATCCATGTACCAGAAATGAGTTTGGGGTCTGGGAGCTAGTCCTCCCTTATAAGGAGGATGGTTCATCGCCAATCCCCCATGGATCAAAAGTTAAGGTAGGCGTGGAAAGATATTTTTTCATCCTTTTGCCTTAAACAAGTATTTTGTCAGCAACAAGGAGTAACTTGATTCATTCATGACTTTCTTTGTAGGTTTCAATTCAGCTTGAAAATGGCAATTTAGTGGATCGCATTTCTCCTTGGATTCGTTATGCCGTTTGTCCTGAGGACAGCATTCTGTATGAAGGAATCCATTGGGACCCTCCACAGCCATACCAGTGGCAGCACAGTCGGCCCAAAAAAACTTCAGGCCTGCGAATCTACGAGGCTCACGTTGGTATAGCTTCCCCAGAGCCAAAAGTAGCAAGTTACAAAGATTTTACACACAACGTCATTCCACGTATAAAAAAATTAGGATACAACTGCATACAGCTTATGGCTATCATGGAACATGCGTATTACGCCTGTTTTGGTTACCAGGTAACCAACTTCTTCGCTGCCTCCAGGTGAGGTGTTTGATCTCGTTTGAACAGTTTTTATCCCTTAAACTCTCACGAATAATCAAGACAGAATTTCTCCTTACAATATCATAAACAATATCAGAAAATTGTATGGCAGACAGTAAGGAGATTATTAATGAGATCTTGAGAGTGAAAGGTTTGAACTTTCGTCAGAGAAGGTTGTCATTGAGTAAAGTTGTCCACTAAATCTGGATGCTGACGGGACTTGTTGATGAACCAAGTGGCTGGGAGTAAAAAAATGAGTGTGAACCCGACATTCCTTTATTTCGTAACAAAGAATATCCTTTTAAAAAGATGTTAGAATTTTTTACATTGAACATCCCGACACTTGGAATCCGTAAAGCCGCTAAAATATATTTTTTTTCATTTTAGCCGTTATGGTACGCCGGAGGAGTTGAAGGAACTTATAGATGTAGCACACGAGAACGGCATTTTAGTCTTACTGGATGTAGTGCACAGTCATGCCGCAAAGAATGTGATGGATGGCTTGAATGAATTTGATGGTTCACAAAGCTGCTATTTTCATGGGAGTGGACGTGGATTTCATTCACTGTGGGACAGTCGACTCTTTGACTACACTCAGTGAGTTCACCTAACAGATTTGTTTCCATATTGCAGTGAACAACGTTGTTCTTTCTTTATGTTGTACACTCTTCGCTAGTATGCATCTCTCGCTTGTGCACATATTGATTGCAGCGGCGGATCTAGGGGAGGGGCCAGGCCCCCACCTTACTTTGGGTAAAAATAAAGAAGAATCGCAGAAGGAAGAGAAGCCGGCAGGGCAAGCGACACACCCCCTCCCCCCTTAGCTCAAGGTCTGGGTCCGCCTCTGGTTTGCTCCCCCCAAACTTTTCGCGAGCTTCACATCTCGATGAACGTTCACTGAACCAACTGCTGAATGATTTGAACAATTGCTTATTCAGGTGGGAGGTTCTCCGATTCCTTCTTTCCAACCTTCGCTGGTACATGGAATATTACCATTTCGATGGCTTCCGATTTGATGGTGTCACTTCTATGATCTACCATGACCACGGAATGGGACATGGATTCGGCGGAGACTATCCGGATTACTTTGGACTTGGAGTAGATACAGAATCACTTATCTACCTCATGTTAGCCAACGAAATGTTGCATACGATTTATCCTGACGTTATCACGATTGCCGAGGTAAATTTAAACTAAAAATTTAACAATCAGTGTATTCCGTAGAATCCATCCGGTGCTTTGTTTATCAAATCAGGTTAAAGGTGACAGGAGACGTCTGGAGCCAAAAAAAAAAAAAAAAGAATTGTCTGTGTTGTTTCATTCATTGGGAAAGTGGAGTCAATTGTTTGGACTAATGGTTAATTCTTTACACCCTAACATCAGTATGCATATTCTCCATACTGTTCTCTATACATTTTGTAGGGTGCTGTCAAGGAGAGTTTGTAAAAGGGAAATAAAATTTTAGTCACTTTTAGGGGTTAAAGGATTACCAGTCAATCGAGTTTTCAGATTGTACAAAATGTACATGCGAGGACGGTCTCGAAAGGGACTGCTATCGGTGATAGTGACTGCCGTTTCGACACCGTGAGTAGAAATCGTCATCAGAACCATTGTGTCCTTTACAATGTAAATGTACCATGCAATGTACCATTGCAGGAAGTGTCAGGAATGCCCGGCCTTTGTCGTCCAATCACTGAAGGTGGAGTGGGTTTTGACTATCGACTTGGAATGGCCATCCCGGACAGATGGATTAAGGTGAATACTCAGATAGATCAAAACTAAGCTTAATCCGCGCATCCTTAATTCTGGCTTTGCTTCGCCAAGATATAAAATGTATAGCAGCTAGGAAGGAAAAGTCAGACTCGTATTTTTAGAGTCAAAAGGTTCAGGGCAGCAAAAGAATAAAATATTTGATTTAGTGTCGTTTTGGTTTTGCTTTACTTAGAGCAATTTTCATTGAAGTAAATAATCCAGAAATGCTTTGTTTTTGCATTACATTGCTCAATGATTGGTCTAGAAAACCCGCGACACTCTCCTAAGCCAAGCAGATTCAAAACTTAAACCAATCACGACTTAGCCACACGCGTTTTCACGCGCTTTACGCAGTATTAGTTTGAGTTCTCCTTGGCTCTTAATGGTTCTTTTCTTTCCTCTGATCGGCCGTCCTGATTTCTTTGGTTTTGGTTTTGGTTTTAGGACAGTCAATCGAAAAGTGCTCTATTCTGTAATCTATTCAGAAAACGTGCGCCATGCTCTCAACGAGTGATACGCAAATCTAAATTCAATCGACGCTTGGTGACGCTTTTCCCGCCTCAAACAATACGCTTGTTTTTTCTTTTAGTTTCTTTAGCGCTAGTTTTATTTTCCTACGATCAAATTGCCTTTTTCTATTACTTTGGTTTTGGATTTCCGACCCTCACCACTTAAGTGCTCTCTAAGTTATTCGTCTAGTTTTTCTGTGGCCATTTGAAACATCAAGGGTTTCAATAATTTTTCTGCACAAGCGTCTGCCAATGATGCAATGGGCGACTTTACTCGAAAAGGGGTCGTAAGGCGAAACCCAAACACGAGAGCATGCTTGCAGGCTAAACTAGCCGGCAAAGTAGGCGTAATTTTGGCGAGTGAGTGCTCAGTATATTCTTAACGAAAATTATGGCCGCCGTCTTTGATTTTATTGGCAGGGGAAGGCCGGGGAGAGAAAGAAATTTGTACCAGGGGGGTGGTCGTCGGTCAAAAAATAAGGAGAGGGGTAGGGGTATGGAAGTAAAGATTCCCCTGCCCCCTATCCCCACCGTCCACCCTAACACTAAATTAAACAAACGATGGCGAGCTTACAACGTTAGCTCGCACTAATAAGACGCCTGCACCTCAGGCTAAGGCTAAACAGACGGCGGTAAGAAGTCTTATAGGCGGCGGCAGACCCAGTAATCGGCTTTTACTAAAACCCCTGTCACCAATGTTTCAAAGGTTCTAAAGGAGCTGAAGGACGAGGACTGGCACATGTGGGATATTGTGTGGACTCTTATCAATCGACGTCACAATGAGAAAACCATAGCTTACACAGAGAGTCATGACCAGGCCCTTGTCGGTGACAAGACTATTGCATTCTGGTTAATGGATAAAGAGATGTACACGCATATGTCGGAGACAACGCCGTTGACCCCCATCATCGATAGGGGATTAGCATTACACAAGATGATAAGGTAAATTATATTTGTTTGGAGGTTTCTTCTCGACTCTACTTTTGTCTCAGTTTTCATATCAAGACGAGGTGATGACTGTTACTAGGATCATTTCCCAACCGTTCTGTTTTTCTTCTCAGATTGATAACCTTTGGTCTGGGAGGGGAAGGCTACCTGAATTTCATTGGAAATGAATTCGGACATCCGGAATGGTTGGACTTTCCACGCGAGGGGAACAACAACAGCTATCACTATGCACGGAGGCAGTTTAATCTAGTGGACGATCCGTTGCTTAGATACAAGTGTCTGTTTGAGTTTGACCGAGCCATGATGCACCTGGAGGAAAAATACCATTGGCTGGAGTCTTCTCAGGTAAGTGGTTAGTTTTAAATACTGTATCTGTAAGGGCTCGATCGGCTAAGTAGCTGTATTTTAAAAAAGTTTAGATTGACCTTGAATCTAAGGCACTATTTTATGGTGCAGGTCTGTAAATAATTCTCAAAGGTATATTTTCTATTCACATTACTACAAACTAGTTGAAACCCTAAAAACGACGTCGACTTCTTAATGATAAAGATCTAACTTCCTGCGCATGTGCTGATAACGGGATTTACGATGAGCTGATAAAATAATACCCATTGCTTGGTTTTGGAGGCATTTTCAACGCTGAGAATTCTGCTTACCATAATCTCTCAAACTATACACCCATAATCCAATGTAGGTAGAATAGCTTGTTTATATATTCATAATAAGTTAATAACACGATCTATATAATGTATAATAATTATATATTCCTAACAAGACGAAATTCTATTCAAAGTTAACATTTTCGTTAATTTGTTTCCAGGCCTACGTTTCCTGTCACCATGAAGATGACAAACTAATCGTATTTGAAAGAGCTTCATTAATGTGGGTGTTCAACTTTCACCCTACCAAGAGTTTCGCTGACTACAGAATCGGCGCCAGCATCGCTGGAAAGTATCCTGAACGAAACCTATCGATAGATTAACCCAAAGCTATTTCATGCTGAATTCGATGGATAAGATCGATCTATCAAATTTCGCCAGATCCCAGAGTTTCTTTCAGGCTCAACTTTAGCGGTTTGTTCAATTTCGGCGAAGGAGCACAGGCTCGTTAGTCGACCAGCGGCTGACGACCGAGCTCAATCTTCCCGGTGTGCTTGTAGGAAAAAGCAGTAAAGGGGCAGTATGCCCAAGAAACCGTACTATTTTAAACTCTGCCATTGAAAGCCTTTATGAAATTGGAATCTCAGAAGTCGGTTAAAGAAACTTTTGTCACTCATTTTTTCAAGGCGGTGATGAAGATTACATGATTTCTGGAGAATGGTTCTCTTTTAAGTCTCCCGTACTTTTGTTTTACGTGCACAAACGCTTTACTTTTAGAGTGACTGGGAAAACACATTCTTTATCCCATTATTTTGAAGAGACGTAAGACCTTACAGAAAGTAGAGGGATTACAAGGATGACTTGATCACGTTTCTTAACGAAGGATTACAGATACAGAATAGTTTTGGAGACAGATTCAGCTGAGTACGGTGGGCACAAGCGATTGGATCCAAACTGTGAATACTTTGTAGACAGCCAGCCATGGCATGACAGACCATTCTCTCTTTTGGTAAGTTCATTGTGTGGCGGGAATTCTAACGCGGCGTTGCTGTCAACTACCCTTCGTCCCCAGATCCTTTCCTTCTTTTTTGTGGCGTATTTTTCTTTTTACTCGTACCCAGGCATTTGCCCTACGCATCGACATTGACTACATTGCCCTAAGTTCTTATGTATCTGTGCCTTTTTATTTTGCAGGTCTACATTCCTTGCCGTACAGCCCTAGTTCTAGCTCCTGTATAACGTTTACTTCATGGGCTTATTAAACAGATAGTGTGGGAATCTCTGCCAATTTTTATACTGAGATAAATGGGCATTTTGTACATGGTGAACACAGTTCCCTATAAGATATGTTATATCATTAAAGTTAATCAACTATTTGTGGGATATTCTAGGTCGATATACAATTTTTTTCTTTATTTGAGTTGAAATATATTAAAGTGAAAAAATCACATCTCTTAAAAAAGGAGATTGCAGGAACATACTCCTGTTTTGTGACGTTTTCATTTTTAGGTTATTAGGGTGTGTGTTTAAAAGTTGAAGGAATTGCACTGAAAGATCACAATCACTGCAGTATTTTTTAATACGAGCAAAGTATGAATCTAATGGCAGAATTTTCCTCCTTTAAGTTAAAATGTCGTAAAAGAGTGAGTCAATTTTCATGTGGAATCGGTGGGGTCGTTTGACGAGTCACTTAACCTAATCAAATATCAAATTTTAGTTTAAAACTTCTTACTACTAGGAGTGACAAAGACAGAATTTCTCCTCACAATATCAATACAACATCAAGCAGACAAGTGATAAGAGTAAAGACGATTATCAATTACGAGATTATTAGTTGATCCAGGACCAAATTATCCCAACTGACATCATGAGAATTGTCTGGAGATTTGGTAGAGATCTTGAGAGTGAAGGGGTGAATTGTCAGAGTTAACTGCTTGTTATGGATTAGTGTCGGCGTGTTACGGATGAGATGAGGGGTGTCGTTGTATAGTGGAGCAAGTAATAGAAAAATAAACAATTTATTTGGGATATTTTTTCTGTTGATTTCGTGTAAATTTCGTATACTTCAGTAATCTGTTTATATGAATGGACTTTACACGCGTGATGCTTTTGACACTTTCTGTACAGGTACAATAGCAGTGAACTCTGTATTAGAATTAATCGTGTTTCGAACACGATCAAGAATATATCGAATTGTAACTCATGTGTCTGTTTATCGCGGCCGCAATGATTGTTAAACGTGTCTTTGCTTGTCTCGCGATTTAGTATTAGGGAGACTCCTGTGACTGGTTTTCAATCAATGAAAGGAAAATTATCATGCTAGAATTTTGGTTTGAGGAACTGACGGAACTACCAGGCGTGCGAAAAATTACAGGTGTTCCCACACAATCGGCGTTTTTCTTTTAATTGCCCTTTGGCTCGTTTCCCACTGAGAACCTGGAACAGGCTAGCTTTTAGATGGGGCACTTTTTAATAACTTTCCCCAGCGTTTTAGCTTCATGGCACTTAATCGAGTAGAAATTGGATTTACATGCTAATTACAAAACCCTCTCCGTTGTTTACAATCGGAAAAAGAGACTGGTGACTGATGTTTTAGTCACGTGACGGAAATGTTTGGTCCTTGGCGCCAAAATTTGTACTTCGTCGCCGACTTCCCATAAATCGTGCGCCATCTTGAAACACTATAAATCTCTTACGATGGCATCTTCAAAGGACCTGTTTCTGGCTCATTTTAAGTGAAAGTCACTGTGAACGATGGGGGAAACTTTAAAAAGTCCTCGGCCGATACCTAACATCGTCACAGAGGCCACTTTTAGTCACCGAAAACCCAAGAATCCTAGTCACAGAAACTTAATTGAAGAAGATTGTTTACCTCCACGAGCTCCAGTGAAATCAGCTCCACCAATAAGCAGAGTTTTTAAACATACAGGAAGGAATTCGGTGGGAGCACTGCAAGTCAGTTTTCGAGATAGTGGTAGCGGTATCCTTTGAAAAGAACGCTTAAGGTCTTTTGTAGTTGTGTTGAAGTTTGCGAAATTTTGATGATGTAATATTTCCATTGGATTACCTCTCGAGATTCCCAGAACTTTTTGTTCGTGAACGTCGAGTTGAATATTGTTTCTTTTATTGTTGAATTTGAATGCTTAACCACTCTTTGACGCATATTCTTGACAACTCAAATCAGAAATTAAAAGCCCCCACTACAATGCGAAATCACGAGATCTCTATTTTGAGCAGGTATAAAATTATAAGTCGGTTCATGTTTTATAGTTATATTCTCCTAACTGAAAAGATTTTGTGAAGACTCTCCCTCCTATTTTTACAGTGTACAGCAATTAAATTATGGAAAATTCTTTTAAAATACCTTAGTGCACATATTCAAAGCCAAATGCAATTTCAGCATTTGTACAGCTGTACACTAAGTACGTTATTATATGTTACAATATTTCGCATGTTTACAAAACGTATGAGATACAGACGTAAAAGATAATGAAAAAGTACCTGGACTAAAGTAATCTGTTCCTTTAATACAAGTAGCTGTCCCAATGAAGAAATTATGGTGGCATATTCTAGGTTTTCTCATTGTGTACATAACATGATTGCACTCTCAACCTTGTATAAACATACACTCTATTAAGACTGCACCAGCGGTGTGGACTCGCTAGGATGTGACCTTTTAACCCCGTACACTCTAAGATTAGTATTTATATTCTCTAAACTGTTCTCTTTACATTTGCCATGGTACTGACCAGGAGAATTTGATTGACGCTCAGGAGCTTCTGAAATCGGTGATCATTTCCAATATTCTCATTGCCCTAATATTTGATTTAAGGGTGATGCTGTAAGGAGAAACATGTTAACAGAATGTGCTTGCTTAGTTGGTTTATTTTTATGCACAGTACATGTTGTGCCCAATGCTGAGGAATAATCTCAATGTGTTTTCCTCAGATGAACAAAATAAGTTTGGACTATTTTCAACTGATTCTCTCAACAGTGTTTTGTAGTTATCAGCAGACTTGGAGCAGGTTCATTTGGAGAGGTAAGTTCAATACTGCTGTTGTGTGTAAATGCAGAAAGGGCATATAGTAATACTCACAGTTGCTTAAACCTTTACGCCCTGAAATTAGTATTCAATATTTTTCATACCTATCTCTGTACATTTCTTTTGACACTGAAAAGGAGAGTCTGTTTAATAATCAAAGCTCCTTAGGTTTGGGGATCATTTCCCTTATTCTCAGATCTGAATTATATGAAGGAGAAATTAGATGCTGGTCACTCTTATGGTTAAGAGGTTTAACCTAACAGAAATAAGTCTATACTTAGGTACTGAGAGCCTTGTTGACCTCGGATTTGTGAAACATTTAGGAAGAGATGATTTAGCTGAATGGTATACATGTGGATCCTTCATGCCTCAGTGGCATTTCATTCTGTGACAATTAAAACAGTATACTGATTTTGTTTTCACTATTAGAGTTTAATGCAAGTAATATCTTAAGACAGACCAGCTAACAATACAGAGATCCTTCCCAATTCAGCACTTGTTAGCTGGTAGATAAAGGGCTGACAAGACTGAATGGTTCTCAAGATATGAATTTATTGATTAATCAATGCCTTTGCAGGTGTTCAAAGTGAGAAGCAAGGAAGATGGATGCCTTTATGCAATTAAGAAATCAAGGGATAGGTTCCGTGGTGATGCTGATAGGTGAGGACCACTTTGTTTTTATTGGCAACAACGAATTCCAGAGTAATCTTGTTTTTCTGTAACCTGATTTGTTTTACATTTTCTCACAGAAAATATAAACTTGAAGAGGTCAACAAACATGAGCTGGTAAAAGGTCATAGAAACTGTGTCAAATTTGTCAAGGCATGGGAAGAAAGGTTGGGCATCTTTCTAGTCTCGCTTTACCTCTTGTTGACTGTATGAATATCCTATTGTAATTTTATTTCCTTTAATTTTTTAGTGCTCTGCAAGTATGTTGAGTGTTTCATTGTGACAGCTAAAGGAAATGAATACTATAATTACTTGTAGAAATAATGTTATGTTTCTGATTACAATTCAGGAAACGTCTTTACATACAAACAGAGTTGTGTGAAATGAGGTATGAAGAGCATGGTGATCTAAACAAATCAGTGATTATTATCACAATGGATATAGTTGATATGTGTGATTGAATAATGATTTATTTTATATCTAGCCTCAAAGACTTCTTGGAGAAAAATGATTCAACCAGTGAATCTGTGGTGTGGGAGTTTCTAGTTGATTTGACTTTGGTTAGTACTGCATGGTACATTGTATGCATTTTCACTTGTATACATCTTTATTGAAAATGAACTCTTGTGTGCAGTTGGTTGATGAAGTTATCTGTGGCACATAATCGAACAGATTGTTAATAAATCTTTACTTTACAAATGTTGCAAAGGTGCAGTCAAACTGAGGTGCAAAACAGCTTTGTTTTGCTGTTGCCTTTCTATTTCATGACTGAAGGAGTCTATTTTGTCTTTCTTATCCTTTAGTATCTTTAATTTATCCGTGAACTTGGCAATTAATGTTATTTGGCATCAGGAGAAGAAATGTTAAGCCTTGTGCAAATTATTTTCCAGGGTTTGAAGCATCTTCATGATAATGGTTTGATTCATATGGACATCAAACCAGCAAACATCTTTATTGGTCTGGATGGGTTGTGTAAAATAGGAGATTTTGGTTTGGTGTTGGAGTTATCAAAAGTAAGTGTTGTTGACTTAGTATGGCCTACTGTTTGCAAATGAGTGCTCCAAGCCAGGTGATTTTCACTGCAGAAGTGCAATACCTTAGATGAAATGCATTCTGCTTCCGAGGTTGTTCCATAGACAAAACAAAACAAAACAAAAACAGCCAAAAAATTCTATCTAACATTAACCTCAAACTAAGATGTTACTGATAATTAAAACAAACCTTCAAATCCATTTTTCAAATTATTGTTGGCAAAGCATCCATAATTTTAAAAACAATTTTGTTATAACTTACTTTGTAACCAATTTTGTTATAACTTACTTTGTAACCAATGTTCTTTACAGCTGCAATTTTATTTATCTGGCTTTTTAGGGTGAATTTTGGACTGACACTGGCTGTGGAAATGGGGAAAGACAAAAACTGATTTGCTTCTGTGCATAATTAAAAAATAACTTTCCTTAAACTTGTAAATAAGTAGTGGAAATATTAATCTCCTTTTCAAAGAATAAGTGCTGAGCATTCTTTTTCTTTTATTGATTGATGTCCAAGGTACCCTTTACCCTTTTCTTTTCTTCTGTATCTAGTGTGACACCACCCAAGCTTTGGAAGGTGATCCAAAATACCTTGCTCCAGAGCTAATGCAAGGTCACTTTACAAAAAGTGCAGACATCTTCAGGTTTGTTGTCTTCTGTGAGAGTAGCAGCAATTCAATTCCTCCTATTTTTTTGTTGATGAACATGTCTCTGTCTAGACACTTAAACACAGATAGAGGAAGTATGAAAAGCTACATAAATGTGGTTACCTCTTATAAGACAGACATCTCTTCAAGACAGTTACTTACACCAGTAGTTAGGTTCCGTTGGTTTCCTTATTAGAGAGGTTTGGCTGTATTCATGCAAAGTGTACATTTTTTCAGGAGTGCAAAAATGAGTGTTTTGCCCTTTAATTTTGGTATGTGTAGATGTATGTGTGGGTTTTTATTTGGCACTATTTTGTTTTGCTGTAATCAGTTTGGGCATAACTCTACTAGAGTTGGCCAGTGATCTTGAATTACCAAAAGGTGGACAAGCATGGCATCAACTTAGAAATGGAGAACTTCCCAACATCTTTACACAAGGTTTGTTCATCCACTAAGACTACTGACAAGAACAGCCAGAAAAACACATTGAAGTCACTCACAAACAGTCAATGTTATCTACTGCAAGCAAATTGCTATGAAATTTTATCATACAATACTGTGAATGCATGCTGTAGTTAAAAATTGTTTCAGGCTATAAATGAATTCAGACTAATTTAATTTGTTGTTTAAAGATTATGGTAGTGCACTAAAACAGTGGGAGATACAAGTTAAACTAGCCAGCTTGACACCACTTTCACAAGTTGTGGTGAACCTTAGCATAAATGAACTAGTGTAAATAGATTCCTAATAATACTTGCTTTGAAACCTGCCAAAAAAACCCTTTTCTAGCATGAAATATTTGAAGTATCCTTGTTGAAGTTTAGAAAAACATACCGAGGAAACAAAGCACATTTGACAAACTTAAGATTTAGATTCAGATACCATACATACACTCAGGGCTCAAAATTAGCACTCGCAAACTCGCGAAATGCGAGTGGTTTTTCGAAGTTGCGAGTCTAAAAAATATCTTCTAGCAAACATTTGCTAGTTAGGTTCCTTCTTTTGCTAGTAAAAAAAATCTTACTAGCAAAACTTTGCTAGTAGACAAAAAAGTTAAGTTCGAGCCCTGCATACACTCAGATTTATGTTGGTCTTCTGCTCTTCAGGTATATCCCTAGAGCTTAGACGACTTATATTGCAGATGATGAATCCTTCACCACAACAAAGGTCTGTTGTATTCTCCAGAAAACACATTTTTTTTAAAATTAAGCATTGATTTGGGAAGTTTCTTTTAGAAGACATAGGTGTCTCCAAAATCATTTAAACTTTCTTTAACCTTCTTTTCTCAATTGCATTGTATGTCAGCTGAATTTGTTGTAACATTTTCAGACCAAATGTGGATGAGATTTTAGCAGAACCTGCTGTACGCCAGGTAATCTAGTTAAATTGGGATCAATTAATTTACAATTGTTGGAATAAGGCTATCAGCCCTTTTGTTAAAGTTATGATGCATGCAGCTGTAACTCTGGGAATTGATATTTTTAGGCATGGAAAAGGAGGAAAAGGGTTTATCTGTACAGTAGGATGGTGAGTGATTTACTTTTATTTGCAGAAATGGATCTTGACAGTGATCAATGTTAGTGTTGAGTTGTTTTAAATGGGATATTCTGGCAAATGCCTTCTAGGGGAACTAGAAATTCACTTCCTGGGTGATTGCCTCAAACTAGTTTTAAGATGAGGAATTTAACAATCTTTTAATCTAAAATAATATTTTAGATTAAAAGATTAATATATGGCAACCAGGTGGACAATCCAACATGGTTTGATGCTACTCTGGTTTAAAGATTAAATGAATGTAACCAAGAAGTTACAATTCATTGACCCAACATTTTAACACTCCTGTCTGGTGCCTTCATCAAGGGTGATCTAAACGCTGGAAAAGGAAGTTTCTCTCAGAAAATAAGGAAAAAAGGAGCATATGAAAGGATCTCTTGTTGCAGTGTTTAGATCACCCCTGATGAAGGCACTAGACAGGAGTGTTGAAACGTTGGTTCTATGAATTGTAACTTCTTGGTTACATTCATTAAATCTTTGAACCAGACTAGCATCAAACCATGTCTAATCTTTTAATCTATCAGCAAACAAAAAGGGTTCTCTGGTCAATTAATCATTCACTCAATCAATCAATCATTACCCTTGATAAGAAGTGGATTTATTGCATCATTTAAATAACAACTATGGTTTATCTATTCCAGAAGGAATCAATGTTTGCAATGTATTACTATCTTTGCTCTGTTTTGTTATGGATATGGATGGTTTTACTGTGGCTTTTCCGCCCATTTACAAGTAAGATTTGTTGTATGCTATTGAGTTGCTCATGTCTTGTACCCATTTTGTAAAATGTAGAGTCTGTATGTACATGTAAGAGATTCTGCAACAGGATAAAAACAAATAATATTACATGTAAATTTGATATGCACTTTTTTAGAAAGTTGTGTGCATTTCATTTTAACAATTTTGCAGAGAAATATTATGAAACTAGTTTGCCTTCTAGCACTATATTGCAGGGTGTAAAACTTCTGATTTGAGAAATGTTGGAGTTTTTTATATGTTGGACAGCAACCTCCCTTTAATAAAATGGGTTACTGCAGTTGAGATAGATGCAAACAAAAATTTCATAAGAATTGTGGGTTTTATAATAAAACACAAACTTTGCACAATGATGTGGTGAATAATATTGGATATGGAGGTGACCTTGACCATTAGAGGGAATGGGTTCACAACTGCTAGTAAAGCATCTAAGCCAGCTGAGAAATATTTGCCATTCTCTCTTACTTGTTAACTTTATAAAACTTTCAATTAACTAAATTAGATGCATCATAGAGGAGAACTTATGCAACTTTATCATTACATCCCAGATTCATGGGCATGGACCAAATCCTCTGCAAAATCTGATGTGTCTTATCATGAGGACTTAAGTTTTTCTTCTGATGGTAAGGGGAAGTATGCTTTACTTGTCTTGTTTTTCATCTTTATATAGTTTGCTCTTTTGCATCAAAGTGTATATCTGCTAAATGTAAACAAATGGTTTACACCCTATCAAGTAGCAATCATTGAAAGGCACTTTTATCCATAAGAATCAAAATAAGGTAATTTAAAATGTATTAACTTTAGGTATTGAAAATATATCCATTCATTACATCCATTTCTTTCTTTCTCCTGTTTATTTTTTCTCTCTTACACAGAATCTTGCAATAATTCCGTTTTTGAGAGTGGTAGTAGCACTCCCAATTGTAGCATGTCATTTGAGGAGATGCTCACACATTCCATTCCAAAGGCTCCTTGGCACAGGTGAGTAAAATGTAAAAAAGTATCAAGTATAGAGGCAATTTTTGGGTGTTGTAGTTAGACTAAGCTCTTATTCTGAATAATAATCACACCTCTTACCTCTACATGTATGTACTCAAGAGACTTTTTTAATTTTACCAATGATTTTGACAAGTGGAGTAGGTTACTGTGTTCAACTACATTTACAAAGATTTTAATAAATCTCTAACTTTTTTTCCAGTGATGGATATTGTAGTTCGCCTGCTCACTTAACTCCCTCCAGCCATTTTGAGCAAACGAATATATCTCCTCAAATGCATTCTGAGAAAGAAAGGTAAGCACATGATCTGAAAGGAGAGAACACATAAATATGTGACAAAGAACTTAGGCTTCACTGTGGAGATAACTTAGGTTTTGCTTTTGGGAAAATATGAACTGAAATATCACCCAAATTAATAAAGGGGGTAAGTTTCTAAAGAAACTGTGGTGCTGCGTCGGTGGGAGAGTAAAGCAAGTAATTTAGTGTTAACAACTGAATTGAAAACGTAAATTGGCCACCGTAAGGGGTAAAAAAGCTGACGTTTCGAGCATTAGCCCTTCGTCTGACGAAATTCCCACGCCCCAAAGGTTTCTATTTCCTAGATAATATTTCTCATTGAAAGTTATGCAAAGCAGCTCCTGTTATTTTCTCAACTTCACAATAGCAACAGAGAAAGAGATGAAGAGACCAGTAAACAACTGATTACTCCACCATTCCATACAAGTAGCCCTGAGCACGAGAGATATACTCCTCCTTCAGAAAGAAGGCGAGGGCCTCTGTTTCACGACGGAGGATTTATGACCAACAATGTAGTTGGGCCTAGAAATCTTCTGGAGGTATGAGCTATTTTGTATAATTTATTGTTGTTTATATAGACAAAGTCTCGTATTTAATAACTAACCAATCACTGCTATTCATTCTGAAGGCGAATGAAAGAATTGCACGATTTGAGAAAGGTTTAGCGTCTCTCTCAGTAGTCACCCCGACTTACATTTTACATCTATTTACATCTAATTCTTACGATAATTTCCATCTTTTTCTCTGGGTGTCCCAGGTATTTGAGGATGCAGCTAACAGTCCAGAGTGGTAGTAAGTTTGCGAGAAAGAGGATTTGTACATGAAGGAAAGAAATTTCGACTCAATCCAGGTTATAGATCTTGCAGAAAACTCAATACAACTATCTCTTGTCAATGGAGCATCTGGGTGGATTACACTTGGATGAACATTAGAGCATCAAGGAAGCAAATACTTAAAATGATTGCGCATTGTTGAAAGGAAAGTCCAGAATCAGTTTTCCAACTGCTGTATTGCCTCTGAAATAATTTATGTGTTCCTATTCAACTTAAACAAATAATATTTCTTACGGTGTACCATCTTATGGAGACAAATGTTACCAAGAGACGTGAGAATGTATGTCTTAACGAGAATGAAAAAGGTTCAAGCCAACAAAAGTTATCAAGTGGCTGAATTTTAAAATCAGTCTTTTAATGTGACTCCATTGTTTAGATGAGAGGTTCGTGTTTATTTTAAGTCAAGATGTTATGTTGGTTTTCTTGGGTGCAGATTAAGTTTTACGCAGTAAATCATTCTATACAAAGTAAAACGCTCCACTAATTCCCAGTTTACCACTGTTTGCGCGACTCTTAGACCTTTCAAACGGGGAAAATTTTTCGTATCAAAGGCGAAAAAAGCACTTAATTTTTTTGTTAACTTCAGTGTTTGGGAACTCTTCAAAGGCGGTTGCCTAATGATTGTTCCGGTTTAACTAACGTTGACATCATCAATATTTGTAAATATAAACAAATTCCTTACTAGTAATTGCCATTTATAAATAGTAATAATAAAACTTGCTGAGATATCTATGTGCAGATAATATATGTATTTGTACCGTGGAATAGCCGCACATCGGGTGCCTCTTTTTAGTTCTTGCCACTTTTTGACGTCGTCTGTGATCTATTAGTAATAATAATAGGACTGAGTGGAGTTCAATTCGATCCGTAATCACATCTCAGTCAGTAAGAGTCCGATTCGTTTATTACGAGTATGACTATTGTGGCAACCAATCATGTTAGAGAATTTTGTTATAGTTCTTATTATTTTAAATGAACAGACGTGCGGCAACTTGGAAAATTGGCTCAGTCCCAATCACATACAGTCCATATCATATAGCCTATTTTTTTGAAAAAGTCTATATGAATAAATCGATTATATTGAGAAAAATGACAAATCAGAGAATACTGTCAAGACCAAATGAACGACCTTGAATTTTTACCATTTCAAACAGTCAGACAATATCATTTCCATAATGTGGCGAGGAATGAAAACATTTCATAGGGGGCCAAAAATTGTATCTGCCTGTCGATAGAGATCATGTTGCGACGTTTACGTCCCTTAGAAACATTGGCACTCAAAACAGAAGCCTTATATCGTTAGTTAAACTGGTAAATCTATTGAGAGAAAACTTTGCGATAACATGATTAAGTAGGTTTCATTGCGTAACTCACGCTCTGAAGGGAAGTTCAATCGTAAATATTTTAGGAAGCCACCTTAAATTATCTGAAAGAGGAGCAAGCCATAAGCGGGCAAGATCGCTATGAAAGAATGTGATTTTCTCTCTGAATAAAATCGTTAAAAATCCAATAAAAGGCAAAAATGTAACATCTAAATACATCTTGATTTTGTTTAAGCTTTAGATATAAGATGATCTTTTATGTGGTAGTTACTCGTGGGTGTTCTTGAAAATTCTGCTTTTTTCAGCCAATATCATAGAAGTCTATTCTGCATTTTCTTGTGGCTCACCCACGGGAATCATTTGATTACCTGTACATCACCCGTAAAACAAAATCGATTTATTTCATTTAACTATGGTCAGATGCCGTCATCGGAACGGAGACCCAACTAGAATTTGCCTTGTTCCTAACATGTCTTCCACAGTTTGTCAGTTGGTAGCAGCGCGTAAGTGTGATAATAACTCGGTGGGAGCCAAGGGTTCTAGTCTCGTCAAAGTTTGCATGTCTTCGGGCTTCTGCTCTGCAATTTCGTTGACTGCAGCCTACCTGCGAGGTTCATTTCTGTACTAATATCCCATTTGTGGGTAAAAAACATGATTTATATCATTTAAGTGTGACTAGATGTCCTAACCTATTAACATTTGCTTAGTTTCTGCCTTTTTTTTTTAGCTTTTTAACCGCAATTTCTTTAATTGCAACTAACCTATAAGGAACGTCTCTTTACTGGAGAGTCAGTCTTTGATATTTCTCGAATCTGGCTTAAGGTGGCCGGAAAAACTTTATTCAACTTTGTAAAGTTTTATTTCTATTTATAGATTGTTGCGTGCTCTTTCATTATTTACATTTTCTGTCCCAGTTGTGATCTGCTACTTTCATTCAGAGAGAAATATCTGTTGAAGGTAATTAAGTTGTTGTGTTCAAATTTTTTCAGGGAAGAAAAACTCAAACAAACAGAAATCATGAGCAATCAGCGGCCTTTCCTTAATGGTATGACAATTGAGCAAAACGCGTCTCATCTATTCAACTTAACTCCCTAACTGACTTGTATTCCATAGCTGGCGAAAGAAACTTAACGACTAAATTTTCAAGGGCTGACTGGAGATCGTAAAAAAATTATACTTTTCAACTCTTTAGACCGGTGAAATCATTATTTTTCTAGAATTACTCTCGTTTTCTGGATGACGTTTATATCTCTGAAGCATGTAACCAACTGGCCAGTTGTAGCAATACAGAACAAATATTCTTTAATCGTTAAAAATTCCCTTCCCATCAGTGCTGCTCAGTTGTTTTATATCTACCACGGTTGTCTGCTCTCTTCACCTCAGCCACGCAGCTATGGAAGTTTCCACTTCGTAGCTTGGTAAATAATCACCACTATACACCTCCACTTCGGGGAATGATTGTTAGCTAAGTAAACATACTTCAAGTTTTTTCCCCTCAGTTATTGTACTTTTTTTTTTACTTATTTGTACAAGAATCAATCGAAGGAAAAAAAAACCAATACCGTTGAGAACAATATCGTTTTGTTTACATGAGCTCTGAGGTTTCAGTAATAATGCAACGCTGTAGAACAGGAGCCTATTATATAGAAGTTGTAACGTCTCGCCATTACCTCATATACTCTCCCTGGTTCTAAATGCAGAGGTTCATGTAATTCAAATGTCATTGATGATAACCCAACTGATAAGATCCATTTTTTTTCTTTCCACGAGATTATTTTTCGTTTGTCCATAAGTAGTAGATAACACCAACAAGCAATAACGGTTACCGTGCTCGTTTATGAAAGGAAACCTCCACTGTTCATCATTTGTGATCTGTAGCTATTGAAAAAAAACCAGAATTGTGACAAAAACACCTGATTAAATTTTGGTTTAAAAAGTGCGCTTCTCTTTTATTTCTGTGTTTTTTTTTTCAACACTTGTATAAATTCTAGTGGCATATTCTGGGTTCTACCTTTAATGCTATCCATTGGCAATGGTAATCAAAAAGGAAAGCTCTTAAACACTTGTGAGCGGCGAGATGCGTTACATTCAAACACTGTTAATTAATTGGTTTTATGGCATTTCAAAAGTAGGATAAACCGAAAGGTCAGCTTTCAATCCTATTAAGAGACGTGCTTTCTGCTTCTTTGCAGTAAAGAAGAACTTTTCAAAAGAACAACCTTAATGATGGGTTTTTAAGGTGTATCCAGTTCAAAAAAGTTAATGCTGAATATCTGGATGTCTCTTAATGAAAATGCTGAAAAATAAACTTTCAAACTTTTATATGAAATACACTTCTTTTCTAATTGCATCTCGGAAGGTAGACAACAAATATTCAAAATAGAAAAAGTTCAGTAGTTTTCATTATTCAGTCTCCAGCACCATGAGAAATGCCCAGCTGCTGTCTTCCTTTCATCGATTTCCAGCGTCATTTCTTGACATTGACTGACATCGGAAAAAAATGTTATCGGAGCAGTTGTCATTTTCTATTGGATAAGCGAAGTTTTTAACAATGACACTAAGTCTCCAGCTTTTTATGACCTTTCTATTGATCGGGTCATACAGATATAGCAAATTTGTGTCTCGTCCTTGGTTTTGTAAAGTCCCTACGAGTGAAGATGCGAAAAAAGTATCGATTATGTCAGTAAATTGATTTTGCGGGCAAAAATATTTTTTTATCGAAGCGGATTTTCGCTTCCTTCTCTTTTGGAAAGCAGCATAATTGTTGAAAAATATTTCGCAATTCGCAGAATATCTGGATGTCGTCGAATGCGATAGAAATAGTGTGCACTGTTGTCAGGTACACAGCGTCGTTGGCTCAGTAAAAATTAGACTACAGGTGGTGTTTGAAATATCAAGGTAGAAGTAAAAGAACCTCTAAGGCTGGACAAAGTCCAGCCTAAGTCAAGTCTTTTGAAAAAGTCAAAATTGCAATAAGTCTACCACATGTTTGCGATTGTAATTTAGTTAATTAAAGAATTGAATTTAATCTTCATTAATGAGTAAGCTGTGCTTTGCCTTTGAAGAATTCGATGTATTTAAAAAGAAAAATGATAAATTCCCACTCTTCCTGCCCAAATCAATCTCTCACTTTTCTTCTTTTGATCTAACTCTGTAAAAATATCACACAATACTAAGATAGTCGATAATACATTGGAAATGTTCCCCGCTCGAAAATGAAAAAAAGAAACCTTAGTGGAGTTGAACGAAAGATCGATCAATTTTGTCATCCTATGACGGATTACCTTGTCAGGGGAGGAGTTTACGACTCAATTGCTATTCATTCATTTCCTTTAGATATATAATACTTGTATCATTTGTTCTTCACTACTTCTCGGACTCTTGAACGCATGCTACAGCTCTGATATATCTCGTGATTATATTGGCCTGTGCGCACCTTGTGAAGGTAAATTGGAAAGCAATGGACCGTTCTTTTTCTTAACAAGAGGGATCTTCTACTCGTAACTGATATAAGGTAACTTTTTACAGTCCCCTAGTGGTTTTCAAATACACGTATTATACGGTGGTTTAATTTCTCAGTTTTTCTGCTTAATGAAAAGCGAGCTTCTGGGAAACGTGGGGCCATCTGAGTCCGTTCGGGCGCGTGTAACCAAACCACGAGTAATCGAAGTAAATACGACGGATATTAAAAATAGCAAGCGGGCGACAGTTACATATGTAACATTTGCGCAGTAACTTGTGAGGAGCGAGTAGTTCTTTTTTGCGAAATGAAAGTGTTTTTTTGGAACACATACTTCACACCCTATCGAAGTGCCAAACAGCTCGAAGTTTTCATTTTCAGGAGATAAGATAGGCTAAAACTATCGCGACGAGTTTCCAAATTATGTCTTGTCTAACTTCCAATCGTTAACGTGCTTGGTTCATGTTTTGGTTTACGCAGTCAAAAAAATTAAGAACGTTGTTGTCCATTTTTGCCATTTTTATAATAATGTTTCGGTAAGCGTTCTGACAACAAATGCCTCATCTTCCAAGGTCAGTGAACTACAGCACCGCTACACGTACGCAATACGCAAACTGCGCGTCACTACACGCACCTGCGTGTTACAGAAAAAGCAGCCATAAGACTCATAAGAGTGTAAAATACATGTACATTACACGAAATCGGTTGACTAGAACTAATGAAATGTGTGTACCACATGGTCAGGCAATAAAACAGAGCATTTAAGCATATAATTAGTAATGCTTTGATGGATAATCCATTCTCATTTTATTTTTCCTAATTATCATTTAGCTTTTGAAAACAGCACTGTCATGTCAGCTTCTGTTGTCATAACGTTGGTTCTCTTCGCACTTGTCGTTGTAAATATCACTGGAAATTCACTGGTTTGTGCGATAATTCGAAAACATCGAGACATGAGGTATTTATATAGGCTTGCAAGGAAATTCATCTGATTACAAAACTTTATTCCTTCGCGTTTTGGGCTTCCCAAGTAATCGAGGTTTCGAGTTATTGAGGGTGTAATTCAAAGTTATAGCATGTGGCGATTCCAGGATGTTTTGAGTTCATTTATCTGGAAAATTTAGAACAAGGAGTGCGTGATAAACGGAGTGAAATTGTTTTCTTCGTTTTTACAAGAATATAATGAATTAATCGATCGATGACAAACGCTTATTCATTGACGGAAACGGTCCATTGTTCAGAAATATAGGATACAAAGCCAGCGGTATCGCATTAAGGACAAGTCAATCCCGGCCGGGAACTTTGAGGGTAGAGAGGAAGCGGGAAAGCGAGCGAGACTGTAGTTTGTGTGTTTCATTTAACTCTTGTTTGGAAGCCTTTATTTGTGCCTTTGTGGCCCACAACTCTCTACATATATTTTTCTTGATAATCGGGTGTATTTTTAAACACAGGACTCCGATCAACTATCTGATTCTCAACCTCGCAATGGCGGACGCTTTGTACGCGACCCTCATCATACCCATGTACATTTTCAGATTCAATTTAAGTCACCCAACAGGCTTAGCGGGTGATGTTCTATGCGTGATGTTAACCAATGGGTCTTTCGCTTGGGTAGCAGCAATAGCTGCCATTTGTACTCTGTTGGCAATCGCCATCGAAAGGTATTACGCAGTGGTGTATCCACTTGGAAACAAATGGAAATGTTCAATCAGTGCCGTAAAGGTTTGTATTACGTTTTCTATCAAAATGGAAAGACTTTATTCGTAATTCACTTTTTGACGGATATTTTGCCAGTTACGTAATATTTTTCCGAGCCCCTTGGAGGCGTGAAAAAATACGAACAATGGGCAAAATGAAAATGGAAGCGATCTTCGTGGTAATGAACTCTACTTAAGCAGTGGTGAAAGTAAGGCATGGAAAAAAAAAAGCCTGTACTGCTAAAGTAGTTTTCATCAAAGGGAAGATTGCTTCCATATTCGTTTCTTAGTCCGCAGTTCACTCGGGTGAGTGAAAGTTCGCATGATTTTCATATATTTACAGTCAACGAGCAAAATGTCCGCTTGTCTTTGATGTTAGACCATCGAATACGAGATTTATTATTTCACTACTATTTCATTTTCTGGTCTTTTGGTTAAGTACTTTTCGAAACTTCGTACTAGCTTATCTGAGCATCGTAACGATCCCACGAGGCTTACGTGGAAGAAGAGTACAACTGGCAAAAGCAACCATCTAAGTGTTCATGATGACCAAAAAGTTTCTGTCGGCCTCGAAGTTTTTTGCTAAAAAAAATCACCTCTTAAAAACGCCAGAGGAATTGAAAAACGTGCGTATCGTTTCTGTCAGTATTTTTGTCCTGTTCCACAGTATATTACCGTCACATATTTTGCGCTTTCCATTGCCCTAATATGATAAACTGACGGAATAGTGGAATTGTAAAAGCTGTTATGAACCACTCCTGTTCGAGCATTTTTTTTTTGATACAGTTATTGGTGAAATCCAACAATATACTTTGGTTGATTTTCATTCCCTTTTTATTTGAAAAAGTAATGATATTGTTACAGAGAAATTTAAACTTTAGTTACTCTTGCAGGTTAAAGGGTTTAACGTGTTGTTTCATTTTCTTGCTTTCCAGAAAATAATAGCTGGCTCTTGGGTCTTCGGGCTTGTTTTTAATATCCCGTTAATCATGATCAACAAACTCAGAAACAACTTTTGCGCGGGTATATGGCCCAAGGAGTGGATGGGTAAAGCGTTTGGGGTTTACTCCAATGTCGTCGTCTTTGGCTCCTTGTTTGGGATGTTTGTGTTGTACTTTAGAGTCGTGCACACCTTATGGTTCAAATCTTCTGGTGTCCGACAAGTGAATCAGGAGCAGAGTGTGAGTAGCGTCAAGAATGTCTTACATATGACATATGGGGTGATGGCTTTTACTACCGACGGTTAGAAGTTTGGCCATCTTATCGTTACGGTTAACCTAAAATAATGCAAAATGACACATCGTAGAAAGGAAAACATTTTACAAGAGATAAGCTTCTAAAGAAACTGTAGTGCTGCGTTGGTGGGAGAGTATAACAAGGTAATTTGGTATTATGAACTGAGTTTCTAACTTAAATTGGCCACCGTAAAGAATTTTAAAGCTGACGTTTCGAGCGTAAGCCCTTCTTTAGAGCGAATGACGATTCTTGATTCGCTTTGATGAAGGGCTAACGCTCGAAACGTCGGCTTTAAAACTCTTTACGGTGGCCAATTTACGTTAGCAACTCAGTTCATAGTGCCAAAATTACCTTGTAAAGCTTTATGCAGTTCACTTTATCAACGACTAACGTTTTATATTTCTCCATGTTTACGCCTAAGGGCTAAATTTTGTGGCCATTTTACGGCTAACGGTTAACACCATTGAGGACCTCTCAGAGGGGAAGATTTCGGAAGAAGTTCGATAGCGAAGCTCAATACTACAACGTCATTGAATACCAAACATTTCTAGAAACTTGTCAAAGCTGTTCGTGGAAAATGTTTGACAACGTTTCGACGTTCTTTGGGTTTTGGTTGTCAATAACTTCCTTTACCTTAACCCGAAGTCGACAAACTTTGTATAGCTAGTTTAAACAACTTCTACGGATAAGAGATTATATGGACAGGCGTTTTTCCTCACCTAGACGGGTTACCTCACCCACTGCCATGTAAACGGGCCCATAAATCTGTTTGTCCGGTCTGCCGGGTTGGCTAACTCTGTGGCCGCAGTTTCCCATGTAAACGTCTCAAGGTGGGGTACCCGCCAAGCCGAAGTCGTGTTCACGTTCTATTCGTAAGCGCGCTACCGATCTAACCCCGGATCACGGGTTTGTAGGATTGTTTTCAAACGCAGGTTATTTCTCGACTACGACTTGGCGGATTACCTCACCTACCTGGGGTCCCCTATCTTCATGTAAACAGGCTCTAAAACGTGTTTTAAACTTTGGTATGACTGATATATAATTCTCTTGAGATTACATGTAGGTTTTCATTCTTACAAATCTTAGCTCGCGGTGAAGGCCAGGAAGCGGTTCACTTTGATGGTCGTTATCATCAGTGTCATCTTCGCAATCTGTTGGAGTGCAAACCAGGTGCCTTACACCATGTTCCTCTATGCAAACTACAAGCCTAGTGTCGTCGAAATCGGCATTTCTAACGTCATGGTTTTGTTCAATACTGCTGTAAACCCCTTCGTATACGCTCTATTTAACCAAAACTTCAGAAGGAAAATGAAAGCAATGGTGGCGTGCGGCAAAAACAATAGAGTTGGCCAGGAACAGCACCTGAAAACGCTCAACCGTCAATCTTTCCAACCAGTCAGGCATCCTTGTCAGTCGTCCAACTGATACGGCATAAACAGTCAACTACTGTTTACTAACAAGGTAATTTACTATCAACTGAGTTGATAATGTAGAGGCCACAGTAAAGAATTTAAAGCTGACGTTTCAAAGCTTCTACTGAACCCTCGTTTGTTCTAATCAAGTGAATTATTTGAACCAGACAAAGTACTCGGAAACATTCTGATTCCTTGTATGCAGTTACAATATAATTTCTTTGAAATTGAAATTGGGATTAAAAACATTGAAAATTGAACGTAAAGGAAATTTATATCTTCACTAGATAATCATTATTTTATTTATTTTTTTTCAAAGAGGGCGCGGTAACGAATCCTACAATCTGATTGGTTCTTTACCCGGTCAGTATTTTCCTATCTCTGCCCACGGGCCACGGTAACGCTTTCGTGAATCGCCGAGTACATCCCAAATTTCGTTGCCACTTTTCATAAATATATCTCGTTTTCCCGGCTGGGCAGTATTTTTAAGCAAACACGTCGGCCACTACCTCAAGCCGATAAATAACTTATGAATCCTCTCTTTTCTCTCTCTCAAATCACTTTGGTTGACAGAAATATTGGTTTTAGAATGAATTTGTATAAACAATAGTGTCATTACTTTGGTTGACAAGCGGCCTAAAAACCGTCTGCAATTAATTTTAATCGTTCACAAAAAGTACCTATAGGTTAAAATAGATTTAATCTCCAGTGAACGAATTTGCACTCTTGCACATGATAATACATTCCAGTTCTTGTCCCATTTTTGTAACTACACCGGTAGGCTTTTCTGCTGGAATCCCCTTGAGGAAATCCCCTGTAAACGGAATGAAAAAATATTGCACCAGTGATACCCGCTCATCCAAGTCCAATTGCTCTTGTAGATAATTGTGCGGTTTAATCCTGGAATCCCTTAAAGAAAAATTGAGGCGAGTTCTTGCCGAAATATTTGGCAAAGTCTTACAATAGTGCTTGTAGATTATTTTAAGGTCTCATTGTGGAATCCTCGAGTATTCTCCTACCAGTAAAACTGGTATAAAAACAGTAATGAGATGGTCTCCCTGGTGAAAACTGTTATTACTATACCTTCCGTCTCGTCAAGTCAGACTTCTCTATTAACGATGAAAGTAATCCGTGATGGTCTGTGACCCTCAGATGCGAGCACATTTTGGGCAAAATTTTGGGTTTTTAACTTAATGTAACGGCTTCGCTCAAACTGGAGCAATGTTTGGTGAGGTCTTCAATTATCCAGCCATAGCTCTGTTTTTCTCCACTGTGCATCACTAAAAGGTTGTTCTCAATTAGAAATAAAACACGTTTCCAGAACCAAGTCGATGCTGGTTTATTTCAAAAGAAATTATATCACGCTTTTGAGTATTGAACGCAACTCGGATATCATATAAAACTTCAGAAAAGCTTACGCTTCTCTTGTGACCTCCAAAGTACCCCCTCCCTCCCATGTCTAACTCGATTTACACAGACTCAGACGTGCCGATTTTAAAAAGTAAACAGGCAAGATAAAATAAATAGTCCTCAAAAGATATTAAAACAACATTCTCGGTGAAAGTTTAACATTTTTTGTCATGCTCAGTGAGGGTCTGTTTTTCATTAAATCACTGAGACATTCTTAGCATTGTTGTTTCTCTTGAATAAATATATCGTCAGCACATGAGTTGGCCCTTAAATTACTTCTTTCAAGGACTCAGGAAGTTGTTGGATACGGTTAGGTCTGCATATCATATAAGTCGCCCTTAGTTAACACGAAAAAATCAAAGTTCCGAGTGTCTCCTCGCCCAAGTAGTGATGAATGGACTCCTGATGCTTCTTCTTCGTCGATTGTTTGGAAAGGAAATCACAAATCGATTTTTATCCACGGTGCTCTGTAATAAAACAAAAAAATAAAGAAACGATCATACAAACAAAAAGGCATTCAAACGGCCAATAACCGAGAAACAGGTAAACAATGAAAATTCAAACAGGTAGACTTAAACATCTATCACGACATAGAAGAAAAATATTCTGCACTGAATTGCAGAATATTTTTCACTCCCTGTGAATTTTTTAAATCGAATATTTTATCTTTAAACAGCTGGTTAAGTTGCTGAAAGAAAACAAAAAGCTTTTTTTTTTCTTGAAAACTAAAGTTATCTATCAGTTTTGTTTTCTGTTAGGTAACCAATATAGTTTCGTTAGGAAACTGCCAACGTTAGTACAGCATCAAAGAGAATTTGCATGTGGCAGAATGCATACAGTTCTTGAGACATTTTCTTGCAGTAGCGAAAAAATGTAGATCTGTAATATTAGCGGCGAAGCATTCACTGGTTGATTTTTATTGGACGAGTTTTTACGCCCTTTCTCCTTGTGCAATCTCAAGTGCAAAAGGATAACCCTTCTGCTTCTTAAATCTCCCTCATTATCAGTGCAAATTGAAGGTACATCATTATTCTTTTAAAGTCCGTGCGTGGAAGTTGAATTTTGTCCTTCTTAAACTCAGAAAAGCGAGTTTTGCGAAGAACGGTTAGCCAGTTCGAGCCCAATCTTCTCTAATTTTGAACAAGATCGTTTTCAAATTTAATGATGACGTCATATTCTGATAGAGTTTGTTCGGACACAGAATTTTGACGGAGAGCTAGTAAAGAGTACCCACAATTTGCATCTAATAACGATGGCCTGAAACTAGTTGGAGTAATTCCAGATGTGATACAAAGATCGATAAATCTAGTAACATCGATAGCCATTATTAACTAACCGGAACAAACAAGGGCTTCCCAACAAGGTTACCATGGAAACCATTGCCTCCCTGATCTAAGATAATCGAACCAGAAATATCCTCCATATTGAAGTGGGCCCGTACCAGTCCCTTGTGAATAGGCCAAGTCAATCCCGCAAGCTTCATGTACTCTATGATCTCATCATCAGGGACTCGTACTCCCCAAAGGGTTAACTGAGAATACATCCAAATCAATGTGTGGGTATTATATAGTGAACAAAGAGAGCTTAAAGGGTAAAAAATGCTACATTCTTAAATCACCTCACACATTGCAACCCTCTTAAAGTGTTCTTGAAGAGAGAGATCTACAAGATCCTCAGAAGTAAAGCCTTCCAAGAAAAGAATTTGGGAAGGATGTTCCAGTTAAGCTAATCTTTTAAATTAAATCTTTTAATCACAGCCACAAAACTACATTCGATACACTGGATATGAGTGATCTTTGCCGTAGTGAACACTTCAGTTCGCGACACTTTTGTCATGGATACGTCTGACAGAAAGAAATGAACGGAGATTTGATCATACACAAATTTATTTTTAGTTTTATCCTTTTTTCGTAATGGCTTTGAGCATTGCGATGGAAAACTGATCACGATTATAACGTTAATCGAAAAAATGTTCTCACATCGGGTTTCTTCGCTTCGCATCTTTTGGGCTCTCTATGTTTCCCGCATGCTTCATAACACAATGAAAGCACGCTGACATACGAACCAATTCTTAATTATTACTTACATCGTCAATTGTTCCATTTAAGAAGTGTTTCTGATCGCGTCCAATAGAAAGCTTAATATCGGGAGACTAGAAAAAAAAACAACAAAAAAACAGAATACAGTTTAGTGAAAGGTTCTTGGATTGTAAAATGACAGAAAGTCCGAATAAAACGAGTTATTTCATCTCTTACCCAGCTGTGCGGAGTAGTATCAGTCTTTTTACCAACCGATGATCCATTTACAAATACTTCAATCTCGTGTCCTGGAACAAGATAAAGTAATGTGTATGTGTTTTAGCGGGTGCGCTTTTAATGTACGACGTGATTTTACTTAAAAGTACTGATATCGTCCAAGAGGCTATCAAAAGAGAGAGAAAGAAAAAACCGGCAAATGAATCAAACATACGTTGCGCATCAAATCGAAACACAAGATGATGCCATTCCTCTGGTTCTATAACTTCACTTCCTTCCACGGTAGATTTTCCTAAGTTTCCATGAATGAGTCTTAAAAAACAATGCAAACAAAAAAGAATCAAAGTCTACAGTGATAACAGACATCAGGGATAGGTGATGCATTAGGTATTCACGATGCCTTACTCTGATATTCAAGTTTGGGAATCCTGCGATTTCTTGATGTTTTAAACGAACAAAAAAGTCAAAGACGGAGAAAAGTTCATTTCCCGGATCAATGACAAAAAATCATTTTCCTCTGGCCATGAGTGTATTTTGAAATAATCCACTTGGCCATGTATCGAGGATTTCTGAATAGATAACTGGATAATTAATAATTAACGAGATCTTTCAATTTCAATCTTAACCTGTTTCTAAGGTATAGGCAAAGCATTCCTTCATCACTGCAAACGATAGGCATGACAGTCATGGGGTAGTCCGCCGCCATGTTTACCCACACACTGATCGTGAAGCTGAAAAGGAATAGGACTACTTTTGGTATCCTAAGTTTATAGTACTAGAAAATAGTGCAAAACAGTGGGTGAAAATTGTTTATACTTGAAATAAATACCTATCTGTTAAACCTAAAGTATGAATGGATGGTAGAGTCACGTGATCGTCGACACCGTCAAACATCAAGGCTTGGTTTATTCTGCAACAAAATAAAGAATGGTTAAGTTCTGACGAAATTATACAAATGCGACATCCATGAGAAAAAAATGACGAAAGGATCAGGAATCGAGGGGAAAACTGAGTTAAGGCGCGCAGGCACTCAGTGTAGATTCATTTGTGACTCATTTGCAATTGAAGGAAAACGTGCAAGTTACGTTAAGCAATAAAGAAAAAATAATTCTGGCAGTAACGCTTTAGATAGTGTTCATTCTTATACAAAGATATGAAAGACACAGGTTGACAGTACTTTGAACAAAGAAAACTCTCCCGAGTAGAGCAAGCATAAGATGGTAATCTGAGCATATCAACGCATACACCAATCATGTTATTCAACCTGTCACGTCATTTTACCTGTCTGAACAACGAGCTTCAAGTCTGGACCAGATGACGTCATGTTGACCAAACACAAACATGCCCAGTCTCCCACCGGTCAGGACTGTGTTATAGATGTTTCCAGAATCAGTTAAAATCTTGTCTCCTTGTTTTATCTGAACTCTGAAGAGAGGGGTTAACAATGGTTATGACTCTGATGACTCTGAAGACTTGAATTACTTATCCCAAATTGCAACAAAATATTTTCAAAATTCATGGCTTTTTTATGCTGAAGTGATATGCCTGGCTTTTTTATGTATTGCTGTTTTTCAGAAGCCATGCAAAAAGTATCCACATGTACCTTATCAGACCAATGGATGGTCTGTGAGTTACGAGGAAGCCATATGGAGTCTGATGCTGCCATCCTTTCATAAGTGGATCGTCCCATAACAGAGTAACCTGAAAAAAAAAAGTGCAATTCCATTGGAGAGCCAGAGTACTGAAATGGGAAGGGTTTCTCTTCTTCCAGTTGCAAATCGCCCTCTACCGTTTATTGTGCGTGCGCAAGGTATAAAAAGATCAGCAGCAGAGCGCATGGTGTTTGGCCTTGGCTTGCATCGTGTTTACGGGCTTGATCAAATGCAGTGAAGCTGTCTTTCCTCATTGGAGTTTGATACGCCTAGAGGATCGTTACTGCGCTTTTGAAATGCAACAGAGGTGTTTTGGTAAACACAAGAGCTTCTCGAAGATGCAAGGGACGCCACGAGAGTCGTACGAGCGAACTTTTTCGCCTAAATCTTTTATTAAGCAGCCCCCTAGATTTAGTGAGCTATGTGTGGAGTCCCTGTGGAGTTTGAAGTACTTACAGGATCATTTAACTGCCAAAACTGTGCAGTTGAACACTTTGACATTACGAACAACTGCACACTGGAAAGGATTTTATTTCAAGTTCTAGTTGGAGCGCCATTCAGCGTGCACGCTTTTTCTCTTTCTATGCAAAAAAATATCGCGGTGGCATAAGTCAGCGGTCGAATATTGACTGGTGAACCTCGGGACATTATGCTTACGAAAGGACGGAGAATAGTCGATGGCGGGGCAGAATGAGCACGTGAGGAACAAATTCTCTTCACTTGATGTGTTTTTTATCTCGCTTCGTATGGAGGTTCTGGCGCTATACTGCCATGAATAAGAAAAAAAATCACAATTACCTGATTTGGAGTATCGCCTGAGTACCATAACGCTTTTGCCAAGTCTGGGCCTGGTCCAGTGTTAGAGTCTACAAGCTATTTGTGTAAGAGACGACTTGTAAATCGAGTCAGATCTAATCACTTCACAGTTCCACCATATCCATAAAAACAATAACCGTAGTGAGGTACAGAGCAATCACAGAAATATTCTAAGCATCATGTCGAGTGCGTAAGACTAAGAAGGAATGCGAGTCCCCGAAAGGATTCGAATCCCTGACCTTCCGATTTTTCTATCTTGCATTTAACAATTATCCAACGAGCTTTCTTTGAATTTGAAATGGTAAAAAATTATCACTAGCTACCCATATCCACCAAATGCGAGTGGAATTGTCCTTTTCCCTTTTTTTTTTTTTAATTAAAACACTTCAAAAATATGCATCAAATTTCAAGGAAAATGTCTTTGTTTACTGCTACAATTGCAGTCCCTGGTATGTTTTATCTGCCTGGATATCAGTCAGAACCCAGTAACAGCAATATCCAACGGCTAGTTTTTCCTTCTTTATATTTGTATTGAATGAAGGAATGGTCTTACGTTGTGTCATGGTATTAGTTTGCACTATTTTTATATCTAAGATATAACTTCCTACCTTCAGCTGCAGTCCCTTTATACCAGCGTTGATATCAGCTTGGCCAAAATTAATGTTTTCCCTTCTCCACATAACCACATAGAACTTTCGATTCGACTGATAGCCAAAAACCACACCCAAATAGTCAGAACCCTCACGATCCTTGACATAGATTGTTCCACTGTAATCAACGGGTCCGTAACGTGTAGAACCTGAGTTATTCCAGCGATAAAGTTAGAAAATAATTTCGATTATGAAAACGTAATCTTAAGCTAAAATTGTACTTCCCAAAACTTTACACATTATAAGCCTAAAAAAACCGAACAAAGAAACAAACAAGCAAGAAAACCATGTACAAAAGAGATATGAAAGATAAGGAACTTACATATTAGCATTCCTGGATGATTTGTGTTGGTCAGGTGTTCAACATCGACTCCCTGGAAGTTAAGGATAAAATCTTATATTAATGATGCTTCCAAGCATTGTTCTTACATAAAACAGCCCCAAATTACAGCTTCTGCAGTTCTCAGATCATCCAACTCTAAGTTGTACTGCAACATCAGTCCGGCAGAATACTGTGCATCGCCTAACTAATCATAAATCTCTGAGGAGAAAAAAGAGGGGAACAAAATGATTTTATGAATATGTCATGTTTTCTTTCTTTCAAATATCGTTAATTGGGGACCATTTGTCCAAAAATGGTGACAACGATAATAATACCAATAGTTGTAATCGTGATAATAGTGATAATAATAATGACAAATCCGTCGTGTTTCCGGAACGGTTTAACATGTTTCTGCCACGTTTCCGTTTACGGATTCTTGCAATTTCGTCCTGTGAAATTTTCCCTCTTTTGTAGTTCCTTATTTCAAGCGTATTTTTAAATTTAGAATCTTTCTTGGCCATCCATTTTCCTTTGATGTTTATCACTATTTGATTGCCTTTTTGCTTTATCATTATTCGTACCATTTTGTGATTTCCTTTAATATAAGGAAGTCTCTAAGAGGGAAGAGGAAAAGAAAGGGAAAAGCTCACGTCCAAGACCTTTCATAAGTCTCCCTTTTTCTTTACCATTTTTGCCACTCTCCACTCGGGAACCGGGTCACTGTGTCCTGGGTACAAATCCACTGTGAAATGATCGAGGAAGCTTGTCTTGCTGATATGTTTTGCATGAGGACACGTGTCATCGTCATCCGGGACACCGTCGCCGTCATAATCTTCAACGCATGCGTCGCCCACAGGAAGAGCTGAAAATAAAATGGCATATATGGAGGAATTCACTGTGACTTTTAAGTGTATAATTTAGCTCCTTGATAAATTGGTCCAGTCACATAGGGGTCACAGTATATTTAACAAATAGGTTCACAGATGACGTCAAAATGTGAAGAGGTAAGAGCAAAAATAGGCACACGAGGCACAGTCAATAAATTAATATGTTCTTGCCACATTTTGTCGTCTCCTGTGATCTAATACCGTACAGATGCACGGCAATATGGAATTTATCTGTTTAATGTGATAAAAGAGCAAAGTGTTTTCATGACGTCATCTACGAGTTTAACCTCCGATAGATCATAATTAAAAGCCGTTCACAATGCATATAGGATTCAGCTTTTTATGTAAATATATATCAGTCCTAAAACGAAAGAAATAGACAACTATGCGATCGTTTCATTGTTTCTTCTCTGGATCAATGTCAATCCAAAAATTTCATAAAAAATTAGTATTAGCATCAACCTCTACCGGATTTTTAAAACTAATAAAAACTTGTGTTTTCTTTAAATATCATGTCGCACGATATTTCACGACATCTTGCTTCGCTTGCACAGCGACTATTGCTACTTTTTGTTCCTTACCTTTGACATCATAAGATAGCTTGTGATGTTCTTGGTTAGGATTACTGATCATGGGACAGTTATCCCGTATGTTAGGTATGCCATCATTATCCTGGTCGTCATCACATGCGTCACCTTGCAAAAATATCAGTTTCACATAAAATCAATCACAAACGAATATGCGCTCAAGTCAATTCTATTTGCCGGGACTGCGGAAAACAAAATAAATCCTTTTTTATTAGAACGGAGGAATTATGAACACCATTTTTAATCTAAAAGAACTCACGCATGGTAATTCAAACCTGTCGATGAAAACGGGCTAGTCTTTTTTTCTTCACCTTTCATAACAATGAGCTACATTCGTTCCTCTAGAATTAGAAATTCAGACACACGCGAGTCATTTATTCCGAACAAGCATCTCATTTTTTTATGATAAGTATTAGGAGATCACGATAATAATAATCCTAATAATTTCTTAGCTCCTCGCTTTGCTATAAGAATATTGAACTCTTCAAACGTATTGTGTGTTCTCACCTATCTTGTCATCCTCGGCATCTCCTTGTTCGCCATTTGGTAAATCAGGGCAGTTGTCAAACTCGTCCAGAACTCCATCGCCATCCCTGAAAATAAACCCTTATATGTAAGAAGCGTGTAGCACTTAATAGTTTCTGTGCTTCAACTCCACCACTAGATATCCGGTGGAGGTTTATCGGGCATGTATCGTTTATCATTATTATTTTGTCTTTCTTAAGTCTCTTACTTGTCTTTTCCAGGTCCATCGCAGACATCTCCGTACCCGTTCTCGTTACTGTCCGGCTAAGAGATGAAATCAAGCACAAGTATTGTTATACCTTGAGACTACAAAATATAGAGAGAGAAAAAGACCGAAGAACACATTGACAACATAAAATGTAGGTATGACCAAGAAATTACACAAGAAACAGAGAATTCAACGTAATATTTCGGTTCTTATTAAGGGAAGAGTTGAGCTTCAAACCCAGCTTGTATTACTGTGGCGTGCAAATGAGACGAATTGCATTGTTTATTCGTCTCTATAGGTTGAATACTGTTAAAATAAAAGAGTTCTGCTGGCTTGATAATGTAGATGTAAATATCAGCGATTAAGTAATTCAGAACAAGTTTAACCCAGAAAGTCCGCTTAGCTATCGTTCAGTGGAGACTTACGCAAAACGTGAAAGAGTGGGCATACTGATTATGATCCCATTAAAAAATGAATCGATTTCAATAGCCTGGGATCTGAGTGTCCCGCAAAAGGTCTTGCTGGGCATACCTGCTTTCCATTCTGCAAAGCGTTGTAGTTTTTTGGGCAGTTGTCACACAGGTTACCCACACCGTCCCCATCATCATCAACATGGTCGCCAATAGCGTTTAACCTGGGGCACGTGTCGTTTGGATTCAATTTTCCTGGTTTCGTGGGATATAGATAAGAATGCGCCATTATTTCTTTTCGAACCACTAACCTCAGAGCCAATACACAACATGTAGATATAGTTTTTGAGAGCTTATAAAATTGATATCTCTTAAGTTCAAGAACTCAAGTTCAAGTTCTGAGCAGGAAAGGAAAAATAAATTAAGAAAATAATTAACCAAGAAATAAGATAAACAGAGAAAAAGAAAAACTTCAAAGATACATGGTAGAGAGATTGCAAACGATGAACTTGAACATCCTATGATAATTTTTGTGAAGCGATAGTCCTACTTCAAGGCCGTAGCTAAGAGTTAACTGCCCTGTGAGCCATTCTTTGTCAAAAAAAAGTAAAAAGTTATGATAATCGAACATTCGGGCATTTCCCCTTATTACCAGTAGAGTGCTAGCGATCGGCTCTTGATAGAGCTTTTTCAATTTCATCAAGTTCTTACTTTGCTATCATAGTAAACATTCCTGTTGATATTTACCATCTCCATCTTGATCATCATCACACGCGTCTCCATCACCATCCCCGTCAGTGTCTGTCTGGTCTGGATTATGAACAGCCACACAGTTATCACATTTGTCCCCCACGCCATCCTTATCAGTGTCTATTTGGTCAAGATTATCCACAAAAACACAGTTATCCTATGATGGAAGAAAAAAAAGATGGTTCAACAAAGAAAGATGTTGAAATTTGCCATAAGTAGGCAAAAGTCAACGAAAAATTCGAATTTCTGGATACTCAGACCCTCCGATTTTACGATCAGGTTTTTCGTTATCGGAACTGACGAGAACTTATCACTTGGCACGGAAATTGAAAAGGCCACTCACGTGTGGCAAGCTTCTGGCATAATGCTAAGAAAGGCAATGTCGAAAGCGTCTGGTATTAAGATTAAGTAAAAAAGATTAAAATTGATTCAGTGTAACATTTGTAACCTTATTATCAGGAACCAAATCGTTATCGTCGTCTTCATCACAAGCATCACCGTCCGTGTCACCATCATTGTCTTCTTGGCCCGTATTCGGTACACTTGGACAATTATCCTGCAAGGTAGATATCAAATAACTGATCCAATGAAAAAAGGGATCATCTGGTTAGACGATGGAAAAAGTAAATTATTCACGTAAGACGGAAGAATGCCTTTCAAAGGATCGAGATTGGTTTGAAGGATGGGATCGGCACCGGGTTAACAGAAAACCTTAAAATAGCGCTGTCAGCATTTCAAACAAATAAAGTCAAAAACAAACCTTTCTGCAGTTAGGTAAGGTACAACTCAATCCTTTGACGGGAATGTCATCCAAATCGGGATCGACCTCACACTCTTCTCCATCACCTGCGAAACCTCCTTTACACTGCGTGAAAATGAAGCAAAGATTGTAACCTCAACTTAACATTTGAAAAACCATAACTCTTATCAATCTCACTGCATTTCTGGCTTTAACAAATTCTTCCTCTAATAGCTGCCTCAAAGATTGTACATCTTATGTTAATTTTATATGTTAATATTATTCTTTAACATTTTTCAATTTCGTTACAACTCCTATCAAGTTCATCGGCATATTTTGAAGCCCCCATTAGAGTTTAAGGTGGTTTTGTGTTTCGGATGGTAGTCTTTAAAATTAATTCGCCAGTTTAGCGTTGTAATTTGATAAATCATCGTTTTTTAAATAAAAATGAAGATGCAGAGAGAGGCAACTGAAAAATCTGATCACTTATTTCTTAAAACAGTTTCATTTTTTTTATCAGTAAAGTTTCGGTACCTCCACGCTCTTCACTGAGCGTAATTTGGCCTTAATCCAACAACTTTATATCTGCAATTTTCATACCGTACACTTGTATCTTCCTGCTCCAGTCGATGTACACTGTGCATTCGCTTGACAGGTATGTTGCGAGCTGGTGCACAGGTCACCGGGATAACAGCCAAGATAACCATCCCCAATAAATCCTGGTTTACATGGGCTGCATTTGAAACTACCCTGAGAAAGTCATTCAAACATTTTTTTTCGTGCTGCAATTTTCATTGTGTGGGTTCAAATCTGTTGACAACTGGTCCTTCGTGTACCACAGAGGATTCTTATATTTCTAACGAGCACGTTACTCATCTTTTCTTCGGCGAAAGGTGTTTCCCTTAGAAAAGCTTAACCCTTAAACCCCTAAGAGTGACTAACATCTAATTTCTCCTTACAACATCACCCCTAAGTCAAACATTAAGGCCATGAGAATAAAGGAGATGATCACCAACTAAAGAAGCTCTTGATTGTTGAACAAATTCTCCTTGTCAGAACCCTAGGAAATGTCTAGAGAGTAGTATGGAGAATATGCATACTGATGTTAGGTAGTAATAGGTTTATAGTGTTGAATATCGTTTTTCTTTTAGCCATTCATATTTTCTCCTCACCACGATGAAAAACGATGAGTTCCTTAAAAAATTTCTGAACCCAATGTCAATCCTAATGTTATTCAGTTCTTGAGTGTGCGTAACACAACTTTTACATATTTACCGTATACGTTGATGGAATGCATGGTTAACATATCTAAGGAAATGTTACATAAAAGGAGGGACGGGAATAACCGCTCGTGAGAAGCCAACTCATCGAAAGAAAAAGGCCGCAATTTTTCATAAAAAGCTAATCCTTACCATTCATTTCACACCTACCAATGTGTTAATACAGTTTGAGTTCGGATCACATGTGTCAATTCCTTCGCTACACTCGTCGATTTCTTCACACTTCTGCTTGTACTTCTGCGCGTGCTCAAGGCCCACTCCTGATGGAGCACTGCCGCGGTAACCGTTTGGACATCCTCCGCAGCGGTACCCCGGAGAAAGGTTCACACACTCATTAGGCTTGTAACATGGGTTTGCCAGGACACACTAAACAAAGCAGATATATAATTTCTGGGGGGTATTCATATCAAGTTTAATTTGTGAAGAATACGCAGAATTTTTGGTAGGGATATCATTTAACAATTTGATGTACCCAGATAGCCGGGCAGTGTGTTAATGTACGTGACTGGATAGATCTCAAATGGTGTATAAGTGGGAGATAGCTTCACGTTCTCATATTAATCAACCTGCCAGCATTAGTCCAGTGTTGCCGACTTACCTCGTTGATATCGGTGCACGTCTCTCCGTCTCCTTCAAACCCATCTGGGCATGATGCGCAGACGAATGACTCATTTCCAACGTTGTGACAGTCTACTGACGGGTAGCAAGGGTCTCCCAAACATGGACCTGTTGTGTTTAAGCAAAGAACAACGTTTTAAAAGAACGTGGAAAAGCTTTAATCGCTAGATGCACGACTACTTACTTACTAACTACTTACTTAACTTGACCTAACCTAAAAACATGGACAACTAAGTATGTCTATACTGCATGACATTACCTAGTGAAAGATGACCACAATAGATTCTTCGCAAGTTAACAATACATAATCAACACTAAGTTCGGCGCCTATTTGCAATCAACACCACAGGAACTTTTATTGAAAAATAATATAAATACTAGCTGCTCGTAAAGACCTTGAATTCGTATCCTTTAATAATGATAATAAGAGAGCCGAGCCAATTTCAAGCAACTGCTACGAAACGTTACATCCACTTTTTGAGATCGCACATGATGTGCCCTGAGCTTAAATGACTTGAGTTTTTCGTCATTCAACAAGATTTAGGTGCGTGGAGGACAGTTTAAAACCACACAGCAATATGATTTAAATGAGGTCTCTTTAGCCTCTCCACCCTTTATAATGCGTTGCTTAGCTACACGAACTACTGAAAAAAAAAAAGAAAAAAACACCGCAACCTGAAAATAAAGCATAACAGAAAAAAACAAAAAGGAGATTTGCGTTTGGAAACAGCTCCAACCAGGTATGTAGGCCGTCAAATCTCAGTCACATACAAGGAACCGATCGATACTCTTCTTTAAAGTAGAACAATAAAAGTCAGTTATCAAAAAAGATCACGGTAACACTCTGTTCAACTTACACGAATCTTTTGTGAAGCAGGACCTGCACAGTGTGCAGTTTGGAAAGTTTCCCTGATCAGCGTATTCATTAGCAGGGCACGCTCGACAGGATGTCTTCATGTAAGTGCTGCTGTAGCCAGGAGGGCAGCAGTAACAAGTTTCTGCCCGCGTTTTGTTGTTGTAGCTTCCTGGAGGGCATAGCTTACAAGGAAATCCTGACAAATGAAAAAAGTTACATCCTCTGATTAAAAAAAGGCGAAAGAAAGAGAAAAAATTCACACTCAGACATCAATAACAGCAACAACGACACCAACAAAATCAAATTTCCAAATATCAAATGAATTACAATTTTCTTGCGTTTCAGCAGTATGTGATTTACACCGGAATCACTAAGCCCACCTGTTCCATCACTGTATGTCCCGGGTCGACACTCGTACTGTCTTCCTGCTTTACAAACTGTGCCAGGCTCACAGGGGTAGCACTTTTCTGGACACGACTACAATTGGAGAGATAGCATGATATTTTCGATGAACTTTCCCGATTATCCTCAACCACTGAGTTATACTACGGACATTTTCGATATAACCTACACCTGAGCCAGCGTACGAACAAAGCCTTCAATCTTAGGATGATTTCTTCGTCTAGCTATTTGGAAAAATATTATTGTTGGAAACGTTTGGCACCTTGCAACATTTTTCAAGAAAGTGTGGAAATTTCTAACTCGAACATTGTACATAATATTTAATCACAACCATCCTGAGCAGCTTGTCACCGCATAAATTTGTGTAGATCAGGTTAGCACTGTCTTACACTATTTTAAAGGATAAGGGGACGCACGCAATTCCCCTCTCGTTAAGGAAGGTGACCACTTGCTCTGATATCATTTGATGCAGTGTGCTAGACTTACCGTTTCGTTGCATTTGACATAAGTGTTTGGTGGGCAGGGCAACGCACTACCGTTGTGGCATAACTGGAAAAAATAGATTATAAAGAATGAGCACTTCAGAAATGACAAACGTATGTATCCGAGAAGGTTGATCACCTTGGCGGCCTGTTAATACTAAGAAGCTTTGCTTAAATCTTCCAACCTCACATTTCACTGGGTTAATCTCATTTCTCCATACCCTTGTTTTCTTTTGTGGTGTACAACTCAAGATATCGAAAGGTTGCATTGAAGGTTGTTATTTAATGATAAGACGTGATTTATTTTCCTGCTCGATCTTTTATCGACTATTACAAGCATAAAAGTTGTGATTTCATTCTTACCCAGCCTTCCCAACATGAACTACAATTTGTTGCTCCTCCAAACGAAAATTCCGTCGGCGACTTTATTCCACACTTTTCCTCGGTTCCATCGCCAACACAGTAGTACCCAGTTCTACAGCGTCGGCACTTCGGTTTCGTGGTTGAATTTCTTGCTGAAAAGAGAAAAGGGCGAGATTTTTTAAAGTCTTAATTTAAAGGTTTAATTTAGTGGCATTTTTATAACAAAAAGCAACAATGACCGCGTTAAATGCAAACATAAGAACGATTTAACTAATTTGACGGAAAAGAGAAGTCATTCAGAATGCTTGAGATCTTGAGACACAATCTATGATAATCATAGCAAACAGCCGATCAGGAAAAAAGAAAAGAATCACAAGGTGTCTACGAAAAATCAGACTGGACATGCGTAGCGGAATTCAACCAGGTTGAACACCAAAGGCCACTAAAAAGCCCTTAGTTTAGAGAGTGGCGGCGTAGAGCAAGTTTCCAAATAACAGTCGAAAATACTGTTATGATATTGTAACTCACGATACTCTGATCCCGTCATTCCCGGCGCCCTGAAGAATACTTGGCCACTCGTTGCATTAACAAAAATCCCGCCAGTTTCTTGGCACGTAGCATTGAATGTTATGGTCAGCGGTATTCTGTCTCCTCGTTTTGGAGTTCCTCCGTCCACAGCAAATATGAAATATTTATAGGTCCACTCGATAGTTTTGTTACTCCAGATATATGCCGAGCCATTCTTGATTGCAAACCGCGTGGCCTCAACTCGAGGTCTTTGTGAAATTAAAAAAACGAACAGTAAATCAAAATAATATCAATAAGCCGTTGATGATACATAGTCAAGAATGATGCAAAAGGCTGCTATCAGTGCATTTTTCCTGCCTTACCCTCTTGCGAAGATGAGTTAACAATTTCGTGTGACTAAATTATTTGTATGTCAAGCATGGAAGGGGTGGTAGGAATGTAGAATCCTGTTTCACAAGTCAAGATATTTGAGCTTTTCGTCGTGTTCATCAATTTTCAGGGCGTCAGAAGATCGAATCGGGACACAATGCTAACCACCTAATTTTTCAAAAGGCTTAAGTTCTGGGCTTCTATTCTTTTCTAGCCGATGGAAGACATTTGACCTGGACACTCCTTTTATTTTAAATTGTTTCTCGATATTTGACCTTGAAATAAGACACCTTTCCAGCCATTTGTATCTCGCAATTGTTGACCCGTAGAATAACCATGGAGTGAAAAACTTAATGCCGTTCAGTTTAAAATGATTTCTTCACTTACATTGCTTCCAGGATATGACTTCTCTTGTATGTAATCTGTCCGTTGGTTCCACTGTCTCCATCTTGTGCCATGGCAACAAAGAATGCTGCCCTTTGAAGAGGAGGGATAGGTTTAAGGTCGTAATTGACATTTGGCAATACTGGGCAGTGATCGTTGTAGTCCAAAACGAAAACCTAAAGAGGAAAAGAACATGTACTCCCTTTCTTACTTTATTTTCGTACACGAAGTTCTCAAAATTGCTTATCCTAGCAGAACGCGTGTGACACATGAGCCAAAACATAGCCTAACTCACAGCAGAGTGAGGATCGCAGTGCGGAATTCAGATATCTGAGGTACGATTCCACGTGGTTATTCAAAATATTTTTGTCTTTTCTTGACAAGACGAAAATCATCCTTCTCTACATCGGATTTCTCTCTTAACACCTTTTTTTACCTCTTTGCTTCTCTTTGCTCCAATGTTCGCCATGAGTTATCCGTGCAGCCATGTAAAACAGTATCTTACTTAAATTATTTTCCGCATGCATACAGCTTCTTTATTTAAATACGTTTAGTATAATTGTTTAGGTGATCATAGAGATGCAAGCACTTTGATCGGCCATATCTCATTATATTCACCTCGCGCGAGGTGATTATAGCAGAAGGAGTACTAAATTTCAAAGTGGCTGCTACGCGTCCTTTCAATGTTTCCAAGTAAGTGATAAACGTAATAGGAGAAAATTCAATTCAATTGCAAAAGCTCAAAAGATATTAGCGAGTTGGCTGAACACTTTTTAAAGGAAAGATGTGAAGCATTTTCAGATTGAATTAAATAAATATGTTAAAATTGCTTGCTTATCTTAACACGAGTTATCAACAGAATTGTAACAAAATATGCGCAATTATTTCTTTTTTTTACAGAATTTAGAAAAGAATTCGAAAGCATTTAGGCAATCAAAATAAAATAATTATTTGCTTCAGCCTCAGTGAATACGGTACGAAAGTCCAGGGGATTATTAAACCATAATCTCAACGCGATCGTTGAATAATTGTTGAATAATGAAATTACTTCGTTTCCAGTTCGAAAGTAATATTACAAAAGTCTAAAAATTTGCTATTTACCCTGATCGTGATATTTCCAGAGGGTTCTTCTAACTTTCCCGTATCTGTGATTCTCAAGGTCAATAAGTAACTTGTTGTATGCTCGTAGTCCAATGGGGAGTTAAGAATCAACTGAGCAGTCGAACTGTTTATAGTAAAAGTCTCGATTCCTACGATGAACACAAATATCAAAACTCATAAGTAGTGGTAAGAGGCCTATGTGAAACCACACCCTACGTGTTCATTTTGCCTCTTGAATTTGATAAAACGTCAACTTAAGAAAGAGATAGACCTGATTTAGTTGCAAACTGAATTAAGGTACAGTTGAAACTACATTTGCGGTCACATCTAAAAAATATGGCCTCTTTTAACTATCCTAGTGAACGCCTAATGGCTTCAGTGTACAAGCTCGTTCAAGAACACAACCCCTACCGAAAATAAAGTAAAATTTTGCAATACTAACGATCATTTGGATTGTGTGCGTTTTTATTCTACAAAAGGCATTTTGTACGAGATAAATTTGCCGCTTGGACCGCCCAAAAGAGCAGATGCCACATCGCACGACTACTTCTCCATGACGGCCATCTCTTTACGTGGCAAATTCTCTCTCTCACCAAGTTGACCGTCGTAGAATTGTTCTACTTCTAGTCAATACAAACCTGGAGGAGCCCTGGTGATGGGTCGAACAGTGACATTTGCAGTTGCATTTGGACATAAGTAGATTGTCTCATTGTCTAATACAAACGAAGGAGGTTCTGCTATAGTTGGAGAGGACGGTGGGATGAACGTTCCTTCTTTGACGTCAAATCTGCGTTGCTCATTTCCGGACATAATTTCCACCTTGTACGGTCCAGCAGAAAAGGCATCGGACACTTGAAACTCCTGTGTGTAGAAAAAAGATATGGCACTGTTTCAAGTTCTTAACCTATCGCAAACAAGAAAAGTCCAAACAGGATTTATTTACCTATGGTTCAAATCGATCATATGGAGTGCAAATTCTACTCTTATGTTGGTAAATGGGTGAATGTAACAACACAATACCTGAACCAAACCACCAACATGCAGATTCTCACTGATATCAGACATGTAACCAACAGGAAGAGTCATATCCCATCGTCGAATGAACTGAACTCCGCTGGTTTGAAAAAAGAGATCGGAGTCACATTTGAATCGTTCAGCCACGAACACTTCCAGACGGTAAGGCTCACCTACCTAAAATGGCGGAAAAAAACACAACGTCACGGGAGTGAAGTTAAATTGAAGATATTACATGCTGTCCATCGCTTTATTGTGTATAATAAAAATGACAAGCGCGCTGATTGTTCCTGCTAACTTACTCTTAATGTCATATTTAAAGCTTGTGGTGTGAGATATCCTGACTCTTGACACTTGTCACCGACAATGACTCCGTGTTTTCGAACAACCTCGCTTTTCCCTTTAAGACAAAATGACAGCTTTGATTGAAGTTAGGATAAAGGTGTAGCATGCTCTAACGAAGTATGCGAATGAAACGCTCTGAATTGAAAAACTAGAGAAGAGCTTTAGAGGAGAAAGATAGTTCGTAAGTTGTTTTAATCCTAAATATTGACCCACCTTAGAGTAGCTATGGTTAGTTTCAGGTCAGCAAATGTAATATCGATAATATGAAATGAAAAACTGTTTAAAGCAACATGAGCGATAAAAGCACAAGTATAACCTCAAATAGTTGAGAAATGTAGGTTCTGACCTATGACCTTTCGACGTCAACGTATTTGTTAAAAGATCTAATGCATTCTATGTACCTTCCTTAGCGGGGGATAGATAGATTGTCGCGCACGGAATTGTCCCGTTAAGAGGATTGTGGAAAACTTGTAATGCCAGATAACCATTAATGAAAACCCACAACTCTTCACCACCTGCAAAAGCCATATTTTCTTGACCCGTGAAGTTAAAGGTTGAACGAATCGCAGCTGTGAATCTAGGAGAAATGTCAAGTGTTTTGTTCTAAAAAAGTGGTAAAGTGTACTTATTTCTCTCAAAAAAGAACTGACACGACAGAGGTCAAAACGTTGTTATTTCTTTGGGTTATAGTTTGGACTGCGAGTGTCCCGGGTGGAATCAGTTCAGTATTCTAAAATGACACGTCAACTCAAGCCAGTCTAACTCGACTTACAAAGGAAATACCCGGGTAAGTTGAACAACCTTTTATTACTTGGTGGCGAACTAAGGTGCCTTGGTTGCGAGATCGATTACATATTGAAGGCGAGTCTTCCTGGTAGCGAGGTGACTGCATACCAAAATGAAAATGGTGAATAAATATATTATAGCTGATGTAAATAAACAATCAACACACTTGTGATTGAAAACACGCGGGCTCAGCCAATTTTAGAACTACTCGATAAAATATTTGGCGATACTACGCATCAATACGCCACCTACCCATAGTTCCTGAGAGCATTGGTGTGGCAGTCCCGCTGACCTTCAGCACCCCATCCGCGGCCATCGACTGGGAAGAACTTGTCGTTGAAATACCTAAACACTGAGTTGCCATTTGAGTCTGTCTCCCACTGTTTTTTCAATTCCAAGTTTCCCTCGTAATGTCGGTTTCTTAATGACTCGGATCTAAACCAGTCTGAGAAACTGTCTCTGGTTGGATCAAAAGATATGGCTAACCAGCTGCCATATGGGCTCGCAATATATCTTGGATTGTTATAAATCTCACGGTAATTATCAGGGATCCCAACGAAATCACCATCAGCAGCTCTGTTATACAAGATACAAAATTCCAAATATGTATGCATATTTCAGTGAATTAATTTTGTTACTCAATTACATAAAATATCATAGCTGAATGAAAGTAATGAGGTAACATTAAGTAAAAAGAATCAAGCGAGGTTTGTAACTGAACTAAGGACTTACTAAAAAAATTATTCGCTAACAAAGTAAGGGAAAATATCATTTCTGTTTGGGAGACATAATATATCAAAATTTCATCATCGAGGAGTAGAAAGTAAAGGGCCCTTTCAATAATCGAGCCCTCTATTTAAGCTAGGTTCAAATACGCTAACCTTAGACCAATTTCCAAAGTACAATATTGATTTATTCATTACCTGAAGTCATAGAATGTAACATCTAAGAGGTAATTAGTCTTGTTGGCCGTCGTGTTGGTCACCAGAGCTGCAAGTGTAGAGATGAAACGAAGCCTGAAAAACTTGTGGCGGGCCATTAGTTAATCTTTTCATAATTGATTAGTGTTGAACATGGTCGAAGGTACAAGGAAGAGGTTAATACTGGTCAGCATCTTTGAAGTTACTTTTAATTCATCACCATCGGTGGAAGATGGGTAAACCAAAGATATTATCATGATCAACGTATGCATGGGGTAATCTCCAGTTGAGTAGTTTTCATGAAGTTTTTCAATTCATGTATTGGCAAATTACAATTTTAATTGAGCCATGGTTTGGTTTTTGATTTGCTTAAAGACACTTTACCTGGATCTTTATGTTTTGTCTTAGTCTGTTTAAATCTGTTCCCTAGCCATTTAAAAGTTAAGTTATGAAAATGTAACCTTGAAGTACAGGTGCTACAAAACCAGTATACCAAACGTCACTAACTAGCCCACCTTTGCCCTCTACGGTTGTTATCGAGACTTTTTCGCTTTTTGGTGTCGTCCTGGTCCACAAGGCTCCCAAGGGACCCTCTCCTAAATAAGTGCCATTGTGAGCAGATACAGTCATAGTCACATGACAGGTGTAATCGGTCCCAGCTCGTACGCCGTCGGCTTGAGTAAACAGAAGGAACTTTTTCGTCGAAGTGCCCGTCAAAGTCGGAGCATCGTCACTTAAACAAGTGACCGAATACTTCACACTTTGAATCTAAAACGACCAAACACAACTATTAAATTAGGACTCTCTCACAAGTTAATAAAGTTCGATGCTAGAAAAATAAACGGATTGTCCGGATGCCATGTGAAGATAAGGCAGATAAGTCGCAACCATTTGATTGAAAGCAACGAGTTACTACAAATCAGAATTGTGAGCCAAGCTGGCATGCGATGTTCGCACTTTTAATTCAACACTGAATTTTGTTACACCAGGACAAAAATATCCATTCCTGGTTTGGATTGAAAGCACTTTACTAATCCACGATTATTATTAGTGTCTATACAAAAAAATACAACAGAGGTTTCTAAATAATACTTTAATTTGTCGCTAACAAAAATAACCCAACTAAGTATAGCAATTACTTAAAGGGAAAAAGTGCATGAAATTTGAAACTCTTAGGGTATCAAGAAAAGGTTAAAAACTATATCAGGCGCATGGAGGAGTGGAAATATGTTATAATTAATGATATCACCTTGACAGCATCCCACGTGCTCATTGTTGTGGTGTTCTTTGTAAAGTTGATAAACGAGTGAAGTTCATGCGGCCTGTCCCACGTGACGTTCAATTGATAATCACCAGGGGCTGAAGCTGATACGTTAACGGGATCTATAAGATAAAAAGGTGAGGAAACTAATCAAATACAGAACTTCGATGAACAGGGGCAAATAAGATACTATGTCGATAAGTCTCGAACAAAATTGAAGCCGATTTCCATTGCACTACGCGACTGCGAGTAATGTCACTCTCGTGAATTAGAAACTTCTCCATTGTATATCCTCCCACCAGAAGGCGTTCAACAGTTTGTGCTGACAGTTCGTTGGTACCAATTCCTTAATCGCAGGTGGAGGGATGTATAGCGAGAGTGAAATATCGTTCTGTGAGCACCTCAAACAATTTTGGCTAGGGCTCAATTAAAGACCTTTCGATCTGGAGTTCAACCCCTAGGTTATGGCGTCTTGCTAGGTGGGTAAATTCTGTCTTGATCCTCAAGGATTCAGAACTTTGCCAACATATTTATCGTTCATTGGACAAAGCGAAATGTAATATGAAATCACATGAGGTGAAATATAACCTATTCGGTTTGCCCGTTATCGGCCATAGTCTATTATGCAAGGGCCGATGATCGAAAAGAAAAATTTTTTGATATTCCACGGAAAACTAAGGAAGTTCATTTCATCGAGTCTTTCTCACTTAAGTTTTGAAAATAACTATTTACATTGCTTACAAAGAAGAAGAAAAAAATATTTCCGCGAACGATCTCTCGCTCTATTCCCCAAAAATTGCTACCAAGGACTTTATGATTTAGATATCTTACTGCAGAGAAATCGCTGGCGATAAAAGCTCTCATATGATCCCTTCGGGTAGAATTTGGCTCTTGCTACTTGAGAAGGTGATCGGCAGAGAGCAGCTTTTGTAGAAGTGAGAGTGTTTATAACCGGAGTAAGAGAGTTATAAACATTACAGTCACAAGCCAATGGGTTCGTTGCAAGATTACTGAAATGAAATCAATAAATTATCGTTCGATATTAGTAAAAAGTATTGATTAATAATTTGAAAAATGATATCCTTGGTCCACTAACAGAGGGGCACAGGGTAACATTACTCATGACAGTAACTTCAACATTTTCAGCTGTGTTGCTACTTACAGTGTTTGTAAATTGGGAAGTTTAGAGAAGCAGTCCTGCCCGATGTTCTCTATAAGATTATTTTTTAGAGATCTGCGGGAAATTGAAATACGCAATAAATAGTCAGTAGCCAAAGCTTACGTTATAAGTGACAAAAGGCTCTTTAAAATGAGAGTGATCTTTGTGGTAATGAAGACTACTTTCAGAGTTGAACCTATGACCTCTCATTTATTAATCCGCAGTTCACACACATGGTTTCACATTTTAGTCGTCATTTATTGATCACTAGATGGGTTTCTTATGAACCAAAATATGACCAGCTCCCAGTTGGCTTGTAAGCTCAGTTGGTAGAGCACTGCACCGGTATCGCAAAGGTCAGGGGAATCATCCTAAGCGGAAGCTGCGGGCATGGACTAGGCTGTGTAGCTCAGTCTGTTATTTTTTTGTCACTTTTATTATTATCGTTTCTGGTATTTATGCTATCTATACAGAATAACTTACAAATCATCAAGAATCTTCATCGCAGGGAATGTAGGTAAAAATTCAATCTGGTTGTCATATAAGTACCTGCGAAGACGAAAATTGTCATCGTAAGAGAGGTCGACGATGTTTGTACGTAATGAACGAACATGAGGAAAATAAAACTCACGGCTAATCCAGCTCAGGTGGTGATAATTAAATGCTAGGTAGTGAGAACAAGACGCACGTATAAAGTAATACTCAGTACAGTAACACTTATGCGGCTATGTTATTACTTACAATCTTTTCACACTGTCGAGGCCATTGAATGCTCCTGGTTCAATCACGCTAATTTTATTGTCTTGAAGTTCTCTTAAATGATAAAACAGTTACGTGAGGTCAGCCATTGGATGCCTCTATGATATTTCTTCACTGAATTACCTTCCTCTTTTTCAAAGAAACCACTCCACGCGTTTTGGCATGGAGCTGTAATACGATAGCTCTAGTTAGGCTTAGGCGACTCCCCAAAGCATCGACAACTGCAGATGACAAATACTTACAATATCTCGAGGTTCTTTAGCTTGCTAAAGACGTTAGCCTCCACGGAAGAAATATTGTTGTCTGGTAGAAACCTAAAAAAACAACAAACAAAGAATTTACCTCACGTTTTGCTCGCATGATTTCACCAGATGACTTAACTACGGTAATGATATTTAACTTCATCATTGTTCTTGCCACTTAAATGGTTTCGGACAAAAAAACTAAAAACTAAACAGCAATAGACCCAAATAAAGAAGAGCAAATCAATTAGTGCATGCCATCTTTGATTTGAACAGTAATTAGTCGTCACAACGGGAAGTCAAACTGAATTAAATGCTTACAAATGTCGGAGGTTTTGAAATGGATCTAACCAACCAACGGGAATGGATGGAATCTGGTTATGGCGCAGTTCTCTGAGGATGATTGAACCATAGGAACAAATAAATAAATTAACATTTTATTGTTCACAACATAATCGAAAGGAGGATGGATGGACGGATAGAGCTAAATGATGACAGTAAATGTGAAAATGAAAGAGGGATATAATATCTGAAACAGCAAACTAAGTTGTGCGACTACCTCGAAATTTTCAAGTTTTCAGGTTCGAACAGAGTTTCTTCCAGAGATGTCAAAGGTAATGCATTTTCTTTCAAACAAGTTATCATATTAGGTTTTAAAAGGGCGAACTCACAGGACCCTTGGGTCTTGTTTCTCCAAAGCCTTTGCTGGAAACATAACTAACTTGTTGTTTCTGAGCCGTCTGTAAAAACAAGCAAAATAGATGAAAAGGATCCACGCATTGTTCGAGGTTTGAATCGGTTCCTATTTGGTTAAGTTAAAAGAAACATGTATGTACATATAGAAGTAGTTTATGGCAAACAGTAAATGTAGGTGGCTTCCTCGAACACTTACATTTGCCCATTGACTTTGACTCCTTTAAGTGAATCCTCGTGAAGGGTTTGGATTTCGTTGTGAGAGAGATCCCTAAGAACAAACCGAAGCGTTACTTGAGCTTCTGAGTGGCAAAGAACAATATTTGGGGTGCATGCGTCCCTAGTCCAGTATATTGAACAAATAGATTCCAAGTTGCCGTGCGTCATCTGTGATCTATCACTGAAGAGACGCACGGCAACTTGGAATCTATTTGTTTTATATAATTAAGAATTAAAATATACGGAAAAAAGTTTTAATGATGACGTCATCTATACGTCTGTCCTCCAAAAGATCATAAATGAGAACCAATCAGAATGCGTGCATAACTGAGCTTATTATATAACTTATTATCATCACCAGACAGCACGTTCAGAGCGAAAACTTGTTCCGGAGAGATTTAAATTAGTGGAATATAGGGCCTTTTTAACATACAAGGCTTAGCTTTCTACCGTCGAAACTTGAGTCTTTAAGAGGTGTAATTAGGAAAGACGCGCCATATCGAAGAATTGTGTAACAGTTTTATTAGTAGAACTCCCTTAAAACCATTTATTTAATTATTGTAAGCCTGAAAATAATTTGACTTTGCCATTGACAGCTTTGATGATCGTTTATGCAAGCATAAATTATGCCAAGCACGTCATTTAGATTTCAGAGATTCTCCATTTACCGCTATTTAAGGACAGAAATTTCGCAAAAAAGGGGAGTCCTTTTGAGAGAAACTTATTTATGCGAATTTTGGTCAGGGTGATTCTACCAATGAACCTTGCTACACCTGCCGTGATGGACCTTACAGTATTGCTCTTATCGTGGAACCACTGTCTCCAAACATCTTCTCTGTGATTGCTTGGATAGCATTGTTTTGAAGCATCCTATCGTAAAGAAAAACATACACCAAGTTCATTGTAAGCAAAAATTACAGTTGCTGAATAAATTAGTTAATTTTGCTACACAGTTGATCCACAATATGATTCTTACAAGTGCCTGACGTTAAATCTTAGAAAGGCGTTTTCTTCAACAGTTCCTATCTCGTTGTCATTCATTTCTCTATGGAGGTAAAAAGGATTAGTAAATACCTTAGCGACAGTAGCTTGTGTCGATATTTCATATTATATGAGCTGTCCTATCTTTTTTTTCAGGGAAGGATTAGATTTAAATATATTTACGTATCGAAATTTAATCATAACTGGCATATTCGAGTCATTATGGAGATGCTCGTGTTCTCGTTAGTCAAGGATCGTGACTTGGTGTTTTAATGCAATCATCGTATTCTACCACCCAGGCGCTAATGTTCAGAAGACTCTACCACTGATCTCGCTATTTAATCTAAATGGTTAGGAAAAGCTGCGAGTGTTGTCTGATAGTTATTGTCTCTTCGTCTTAACTCGGGAATAATTGGACTTTGTAATCAGTCAAATATCGCGCCAAATGGAAACTATTGTTTATATATCAGTCAACCTTGCCAGAATATCAATGATTCTTTTGCAAATCATTGGCCATTGACACTACTGACAAATGAAAGGAAGTCTATTTCGTTCACTTAGGTTTCAATTAATGATACATACAAATCAAAGCTAACATGAACATCCCTGAAAGATTCAGAAGCAATCTTTTTCAACTCTAAGTTGCTAAGGTCTCTAAGAAAGGAAAAAGAAGAGAGAAAAGACTTAAAAAAAAAATTGTGTGAAATAAAAAGTCTAATATCTGCAATAAACCAATCATCAAACAGAAAAGGCAACAAAATAGCGAGAAATGAGAATCTTTCTGCAATACTTACATATAGCATGCACGCACATTATCAAACGCTCCAGAATCGACACTTTTCAGCAAATTGTATTTCTTGCTGGCCCCTCCAAATTCTCTATGCGAGGAAGGAAAAGATAAAATGAGAAACCAATGGTGGCGAGAATAAAGGCCATTCTAAAACGCTGTAACCTTTCGCTCTGACTGTGTTAAATAAGCCTATAGGTTACTCAGTTTCCATTATTCTTGGGAAAACGAAGAGTATAAGGAGAGGTCATGGGATTGGCTGGGGATGCTGGATTGACCTTTAGATTATGAGAAATTTCCATAGATTTTACCACCGTGTCGACTGTGTCGAATGATTGTTTTAATCCTAGTATTTCAAATTGCAACTGAATAGCAAAGACTAAAGGCAGTTGCCTGTCGCTGAACTATTTATTCTAAGGGAAGAAAAAGCAAGAAACCCCGAGCCATCTGGCTGAGGATTGAGTCGGTAGATAGTTCAATGGATAGCGTCGTATAATGATGGCACAATGACATTTATTAAGCCTGGTACATGTAATGAGCTTGAGCCCTAGAAATACTGGGTCGACTTAGCATAATATCAAAGTACTTCTATACTTACAGAGTACAAGCACTACCATCAAATGATTGAAATGCTCCGCTGTCAATTGACACTATTTCGTTTTCTCGGAATTTCCTAAGGGATTGGTAAGTTTCACAATTTTAGTTAGAATACCAAACTTTTAAAAGTTCATTTCTTGGTTTTTGTTTTGAGTTGTTACATTTTTGTTATTTGCGGCTCTATTGAACGGAAAACGGATCATAACGTGGCTGTGCAGATAGGTAGAAATGGGAAATCCAGCTAGCATATTGTGTGTCTCATTAATGACTAGCTCATGCATTCAGTTGTTACAGTTAGTAAGTTGCATGATCAATCGAGAGGTGTGCGTCCATTTTTTCTATCACGTACTTTTCTTTTATGAGACCACCGATTTTTCCAAGAAAAAATGATTTATGAACATATTACTTAATGAGAAAATGAATCTCAGAAAAAATAAGAAAAAGGCCGGGCGAGTTAGAATACAATTGCAAAGTACTGTAGTTTGGAGAAATTGGCTTGGATGAGTCAAAAAAAGGTCATCGAAGTTAACGGTGTTGCAGAAACGTAACATGTCTTGGCTTTATCTACGTTATTGAGTCAACTATCTCTCTCACTTACCATATGGTCCCGCTACTGCTTCTGCTATTACCGCAGCCACCGCTGATGCATCTGATGTTTACAAAGGTTCCGTTTTCGATCGATGTTATTCTATTCTTTGAGAAGTTTCTGAAGAAATTGAACAATTAGGATGAAATACACACAAATGCACTCTCAGTCTTGCCCATTGAAGAACGAGCATATTTAAATCGTAACATTAATTTATTAACCATTTGAGAATTTTTGTGCTCCAAAAGCGAGTATTACGTCTAATCTACTTTGTTGATAGAAAAGAACATGCAATCCCCTTATTTGTAAATGCGAAAATTCTTCCTATTACCTTTTTATATAATGAAGCGGTATTAAATTAATGCTCGACGTTCATAACAATAGTGCACCTTCTAACATCACGAAACTTTTTACGAGAACTTCAAACATCCATACATATAATACTCGCTCATCAACGTCACAAATCTTTAGCGTTAAGTACTCTAGGCTTAAAATACAAAAAAAAAAAAGCCTTTTCACGTGTTGGTGTCAAAGTCTGGAATGAGATGCCTAATGAATACAAAAATTTGGCAAAGAAATCCTTCAAAAAAGAAACAAAAAGAGCTCTTCTCAATATTCTAGAAACTAAAGATCCTTATATGGAGCCTGATGAGATAATGCTAAAAGTCAAACACAGCAAAATTGAATCAAATTGAACCAGTTACACAATAATTTTCGTACACTTAGAAACGCTAGGACTTTTCCTCCTTTACAATGAATATCTGCCATTTTCCTTTTTTTTGCGTATCTTTTTGTCCTTTTATGTTATATTTCTTCATTTCCGTTTTATTTCCAGTGTAATTAAATTTATTCAGTAAAAAAAGAAAAAAAAAGAAAAATAATAATAAAAAAATTTGACCCGCCTCGATTAACATTTGCTATCTATCTTGCTATCTTGTAATATGTGAGAAAATAAAAAATAAAAGTGTAAAAGTGTGTGAAGAATCTATTTACTGAAGAAGAAAACGTCGAACAGGTATCATTTGATCAGCAAGGATGTGGTCACAAGATATGCGTAGAGCATTTTGTTAATGAGGGAAAAAATAATGTTACTTACATGTTATTCATCTGTTTGTTATGAAAGTCGCCACCATTTGGCAGAGAAGTGAGCTGGTTATCTTGGAGTTTTCTGGGAAAGAAGGAGAGTGATGTTCCAGTCACCTGTCCTCATATATTTTTTTTGGTTTTGCTAAGTTTGACAGTAGCTTCCCTTTACGAAGATTTTATCAATTGATTTGATGATGTAAATAGGCCTCTGTAAAGCGCTTAAAAAGTTGAGGTTTCGAGCATTAGCCCCTCTGCAGTTGACTAAGGCACGACCAGCGAAAGAAAAACATTCATGTAAACATCGAGCCACATACTGCCTATTTCAAAGTGGGTGTATACGATAAGCCGTAAAATGTAATGCACTTAGTTGAAGACTGAGAGATGTTTTTCAATTCTATAAACCGATATCTATCCTAATCCCCGCCATCCTTAACTATCATTATTACCTTTTTGGTTTATTCTCACATATCTCTAGTTTTTGTCTCCCTTAAAAATCGATTATTTCTCAGTTGAATGATATTTAGAGATAATAAATAAGACCAATCAAAAGAAATGATTATGTAATTAGGAGCCAATAGGAGCTCGATCTAGAAACCAGCCAACTGCCTGCGCGACTAAACCTCGATTAGTTTCAATTTTGCATTTGATTGGTTGAGAGACTGGCGCGAACTTTGTAAACCAGTCACAGAGCGTGGTGAAGCAAAGGCAATACATTCCGATTTTTTACGACACACAATTATATTGCTCTGGGAAATCCACCTACAGGCGACTGAACTTTTTTACTCCTGCAAAAGTTCCGTCTTCAATGAGTGCTATTTCGTTTTGATCCAAATCCAAAGTGGCCACATTGACAAGGTCCCGGAAGGAAATCTTCAGGATACGCCCGATTTGGTTTTCACCAAGATCACTGAAAAGAGAAATGCATCGAACAAGTACGCTTTGTAAACCATCTTGTGTCGAAACATCGCTATGTGGCACTTTGTGCAAACAGACGGAAGATTTCGATTACTGCAAGAACCAATTCCCAAATTGCGATAGAGTGCCCTTCTGTTAGGTGTATTATACCTTATGTGATTCGACATAACTCTGTCCATGCGATGTTGTAAACCAGCAAGGTAAAAGATAAAACACCAAATAACACAAATTATACAACGCGCACACACACACACACAAAAAAAGACAACAAAAGTAAAGAAGGGTCAAGGGTCATAGGGTCAAGTTCAGGAGTGGTGAACTTAGAGTCGCGTGTTTAAAGTAACTTGTTATACTTACAGCCAAGATAAACTCGTAAGTCCATGAAAGGCTGTGTCTGGGATAGCACTGATTTGGTTCCTCCTCAACCCCCTGGAACAAAAAATAATATTTATATGTTGGAAAAAAAAGTTAGGAATGTATTGATTCACGGTTCAATTATTCTAAATATACTAAATCTACCTTAGCACATCTTGAAACTTTTATTGTCCTTATGTCTTGTATTTCTAAGCAGTCAAGCTTTGTTTTGATTTAGTTAAAAATTTGTTTGTACTAAGATGACATGACACTTACAACTGAGTCAGTTTGGTCAGGTTTGTGAACTGATTCTCATGTTTAAAGTTAAAGCGATTTCCCGCCATGTGTCTAAAATGGAAGCAAATCAAACACGTAAAGAAACACTAGTTATTAAATTCATGGGATAAGAATACCATCATATAGTCCTACATCTACAATTTAATTAATATCTGGTTCATGATCTAATCTTCTTAGTTTTGGGACATGTCAATGCGTAATATCAACCTTGAATGGTGCAAAATTTTGTCCATACCACTTATGGACAATACAGCGTGGAAACACTGATCTGTGGCTCCCAAAAATATTTCCAGTCAATGGCTCCCTGTTACTGGATGGAAACATGGACGACGAGTTTTACGATTGTTCTTCACTGTTTATTCATCACCTAGCAGCTTTGCCTCATCACTTATATCCTTTAGGTCTCTCTAACTTCACCTTCATAAAAAAGAGTAATAGAAGACACTTACATCTGCTTGATATTCCCATTGAAGGCACCATTTTCTATGGTGACGATTTTGTTGTATTGCATTTGCCTGTCGATGGAAAAATTAATGGAGCTTAACTGTAAGGCTTAAGCGGTAAGTTAAGGGAATAAAACAAAATCGTAGAATTCAGTTCAGCAAACAGACAACACACTTCCTAAGAAAAAATAAACTCTCTATACTTACAGGTATCTGATGGTGTCCAGCTCGGAAAACGTCCCCTTCAGAATGTATGTGAAGCTGTTTCCCCTTAAATCTCTAATGAAAAGAAGGGTATACCGCCTTCGTTAATATTATGATATGCGGCAAAATTTCGCGTGATGAACGTTATTTTGTAAACTTACAAGCTATCAATCGATGGAAGTCGGCTTTTCCCTTGAATTGCAAAAGGAACATAATGAAACTTGTTCCAATCAAGATGCCTAAAAAGGGAGAAATGCATATGACTTGAGGTTTTGTACAGCAAACTCAAATATGGAAGGAATGAAGGTTGAATTTCGTATCAGTTTCACACTAAATATTTAAAATTTAGCCTGATATTCTCCTGCAATTTTTTTTTCTAAATGTTCTTACTACTTTTTACAGAGTTATTTGATTAAAGTCACAAATTACTCACAAAACTGTTAATCTTGTGAGATTCCTAAAAGCATTCGGATGTACACTCGAATTCACCAGTTTGTTAGCGCTCAAGAAACTAAATAAAAATTGAAAAAAATTGGTAATTAGATAAAGGAAATAGAGTAAATCAAAATCTAATTAACATACTCATAATCATCATTGTTTCAAAATTTCATCGATGAACCAGAATTCGCACTACATATGCAAAGAATGATAAGATTGAAGTTACTGGAAGATCCTAATGGATACGTCCCATCACGTCAACACTGAAAATATTCGGAAAATATTATTTGGCGGATTTGTACTAGTTTGAACTTTATCTCACATCATTAACTCACAGTTCATTCAGTTTGCTTAACATCCACAAGTCATCTTCTGCAATGCGCAGAATGCGATTTGAATGAAGAAACCTGGAAGAGGCAGTTATTTCAGCGTCTAAACAATTTAAACATAACGAAAACAATCGCAGCTCAACGACAACAACAAAGACAACAATTAAAGTGAAAAAGATGCAGACATCGCTATTTCCTTAGTTGTTTGTTTATTGGTTTTTAATACCAGTAACTTGTTAAATCGATACAGCAACTTCTGAACTGAGGCTTGTTCATCGTGTGTTTACTTCCGTTGCATTCGCCAGGATTCCCTTAGATTAATGAATGCCAAATAACCACTCGACATCGATACGTCCAGGCAGTTTTTTTCGCTGAAATCTACACACGAAGGTGCGCAAGTCTCAAAGAAGCATACTTACAGTTTTTCCAAGTTCGGCGTGTTCTCGAATGGTTTGTGTTTCGCTTTGAGAACACTAGAAAGCAATTGAAAACATCACTGATAGAGCAAGTGACGAGTCTAAAACTCAAAAAGTTACTTTTTAAAAGAGGTTATGATATGCTACTTACGCATGTAGATTTTCCAAGTCAGGCGGGAAGTCGTCTTTATCGTAACTTGGTAGCGACTCGATTTCGTTGTTTTCCATATGCCTAAGAATATGGTTAGTTCGGTGAAACCTAGTCGAGCTACAGAACTGACAGGCTTTGGAAAAAAGGCCTTTCGCCAATTAAAATGTGCAACGAAATATAACAAACTAATTTGGTTTTATCAACTGAGCTGATAACGTAAATTGGCCACTGCAAAAGAAACATCAGCTATAGAAACTCCTTGGGTGGCCAATTTACATTATCAACTCAGTTGATAAAATCAAATTATCTTGCTATACCGCCTTACATATGTAGAAACATAGTTTCCTTAGAAAAGTCCCCCCTTTATAAAATATAACAAAATTGGTCTTAAGCCTAGCTCCAAGGAATCAAAACGCGGTACTTTTTACGCCATGGAAATAATCGGTCCGGTGACAATTTATTGATCATTTTTCTCAACAGACTCCTTCGAAATGTTTTTTAATGACAACGTGAACACTTACAGAAACTTTAAAGCAGGTCTTAACTCGTAGGATAGTGATGGATGTGGAAATGTTCGAAATCCGTTGTTGTTCAGCCATCTACGAGAAAAAATAAACATTTTATTCACCTTTTTTACAACACTGACTTAAGACTTTGGTTTCCTGCTTTTCAGTTTTTGTTTCGTTTAGTGGCGTCCTAAGCAAACAAAAAGGGGCAACGATAAAACACGATTAAAGGTGAAGAAACAAAAGAGTAAAAAAAAAAATGAATGTGAACGAAAGGAAAATTAACCGGTATATCGTCGCTTTCCAGGTTTCGGAACACAGAATATTTCGAGAATTATCTACTTAATACTTGTAAAGATGCAAGATATACTTACAAGTCTTCCAACGTAGGTAGATTGACAAATGAGTTAAACATCACGTGACGTGTTTTGGGATCCTGTCCCATTAGCACCCTGGAAGAAAAAAAAGGGAAAAGAAACAATAAGCAACCTCACCAACATTAGTCATCGCCTTAAGACAATTTGGACAGCAACGTCGAATGAAATCAAATCTTCATTTAATGCAATATGAAGAAGATACACCTTTACGGTAATGATTAAACTGTTGGCTGTAAACTTAAACTTTGATAACCTCGTAAGGCTTGGCGTTTGAAAGGCTGTGGGTCAACTAAATTTGTTTTCAAATTAAGAACGTTATCAAGGGCTATCCTAGTCAGGTTACAAATCGGATGACAACTATCTCTGTGTCGAGTTTTCCTTGCGTGTTAAAGGATAGGGGTTCGTTAAACTCACAAGCATTTTAGTTTGGGAAGATCCTGGAACGCAGGGCTAAATCCTTGTCCAGCGATGGTCTCTAGCTTGTTGCCCAATAGGTCTCTGTAAGGCAAGCAAAATAGACATCAACTGTTTCGAAAAATGACCAACCAAAAAACAAAAACAAAGCAACTATAAAGCGTGTTCTTATTGTTGTATTTTAAGTCAATCTCTCCTCATGATTTATTGCTCTATTGCTTTACATACACATGTTTTAGTCTCAATAGAATAAATTGAACTCACAGATGCAGTAGCTCTGGTATATTGTAGAAAACCTTCGGACCAATAAGTTCCAAGTCATTATCATGTAATTCCCTGACAGACAAAAAAAGCAAATAGATCAAACTTGTAACTATTAACATTTGCATCAGATGCACGATCTTTTCTTTCAGTTTGGTTAATACAAAAAAGAGCTAACGGCAACTACTCAAAACGTTTTGTCGTATCTCAGAAGGTCTAACTTAATTGTATCTTCCACAAGCCTTCCTGTCCTATTCCGACTAGTACCTGCAGATTAATCAGATGCTGTAGAGCCTTTTCACAAACCTTTTCTCATTCCGCCTAATCTCAGGTAACTATTTACTTACAGAACTTGCAGATGAATCAGATGCTGTAGAGCCTCTGAGGCTATGCTGCTTATGGCATTATTGCTCAAGTTCCTGAAATAAATTAATGGCCTTTGATACTTTTCCGTCTGTAATATATTAGGAAATGCGCGTGCGCTTAGTCATGTATGTCTGAACTCGCAAAATTAGATAGATGGATAGATTGACAGAAAGACAGAGAAAAAATGGATGGGAAGATGAATAAATGGATAGATAGAAAGATAGATATGTAAATAGCTAGATAAAAAGATGGAAAGATAGAAATAAAGAGAGATATATAGATAGATAGATAAATAAATAAATAGAAAGATAGATGGATAGATAGATAAATAGGAAGATAAAAAGATAGAAAGATAGAGAAGAAGATAGTTAGAAAGATGGATAAATGGAAACAGAAATAAATAGATAGATAGAAAGATAGATAGACAGAAAGATAGATAGAAATATAGATAGATAGAAAGATAGATAGATATACTGATAGAAAGATAGAGGAAAATATTGATAGAAAGATGGAGAAATGAATAGATAAATAGATAGAAAGATAGATAGATAGTAAGCTAGAAGGATAGAAACATACATAGATAGATAAACAGATGGATATATAGATAGGTAGAAATATAGCTAGATAGATAGGCAGATAGATAGATAGATAGAAAGATAGATATATAGATGGATAAATAAGTAGATAGATAGATCGATGGAAAGATGGATAAATGGATAAATGGATAGATAAATAGATAGATAGAGAGATAGAAGGATAGAAATACAGATAGGTAGAAAGATGGATAGATAGGTAGACAGATAGATAGACAGAAAGATCGAAATATCGAAAGATAGAAAGGTAGAAAGATAGATGGATAGATAGATAAAAGATAGAATAGATGGATTAACGAAAACAAGCGTATAACATTTGACGGAAAAATTTTTTCAGTATATTACTTACAAATGTAGAAGCTGAGAATTATTTCCATAAAATGGTTGCAGATTGGGAGATGTGATTGACGTTATTTCGTTGAAGTCAACGGATCTTCAAGATAAAACAATAAAAATAGCATAACATTTGCCAGTCAGAAAACAAAAGTAGGGGAAAATGGTCTGCTCTCCTCACTTATTTTGTTTGTTGGACTCTTAATTTGGGTCAAAATTTGACACTTTTTCGCGCATGCAAGCTGGTGGTAAGTCCCTATACTACTTCTGTTACGAGGAAAGCAAAGAAAGAATCCAAGAGACAAACAAACGCACTTAAAATATGTCACCGGTTGTAGGAAAAGACTTTTCTTTCTTCTTGTTGCTATAAAGTTATAGGTTACACGTCCACACAATTTGCCACAACAGAAATGTTGAAATGTATAAATAGATCGTACTTTGATAGCGGTGGAAAAATAGTCAATAGAAATAATGTGTTTTAGAAACCTTACTCACAGGTATTCCAAAGATCTACAGTTGATAAAAGCAGCTCCTGGAAACCGTTTTAACTTGTTCTTACTCAGAGCTCTGAAACAGAATGAAGAAAGGACAGAAAATCAAGCAAACACATATCAATTGCGAGCTATTATCATTACACTCCAAATCATTGTGACTAGAACAATATCTTAACAGCATAGTATGTGGAATTCTGTTGCATAGTAACAGAAACAGAGGACAAAAATTCAGAAATGGCCATATCCTGCTGAAGGAGGACTAAACTACATGAAAAGACAATAAAGGCAACAGGAACATTATAAAGAATCGAGATCCATGCTGACGGAGAGGACAACTCAGCTTTCTCACATGTATTTCAAATTTGGCAGATCAAACCACTTTTCAGGGATCCAGTCAAACTCGTTGTCAATGAGAATTCTGCAAGATAAAGAAGTAAGGAAGTACAATTATATGGAATTAGAAAAAGTGCAGTGGATGTCTTTTCAAATTCAGCAAACTATGTAAACTTACATCTTCTCTAAATTCTTGGGCAAAGCAGTGTAATTGTGGCGCCAAAGCCTTATCTTGTTCTGATATACATCTCTGAATTGTAATTCATTTAAAATTAATTAGAATAATAAAACTCTGAATAGAATGAAAAAAAACAACAAAAAAAACAAAAACCAAAAAACACAAAAAAAACGTTCTCAGCATGACATCCAATTGATATCAGCAAACAAAACAAACGTTTAAGAATGGCTAACATATCAACAGGTTACTGAAGGAATGAATACATAAATGAGTAAAGAAATAGTTGAAAGAAAAATCATCCCATTAGATTACACGAAACAACCAAGGAATAAACAAGCATACGAATTTAATGACTGAAGAAAGACACGAGCCTCAATACAACATCCCACGTTTCAAATGAGTTACACTTACAACTCTTGCAAGGCTGTGTTGGTGGACAAGTCCGGAAAATCGTTGAGGTTATTCATGGCCAGATTTCTGTTACATACATATACAATGGAAAAGATATGAATTAAATTTTCATCTTCCCCCAGTCTGTACTCTACTAATTTCTCTTACCTCCTATGACTTTGCTAAGTTTCACGGATACAAACACTTACAATTCTTGAAGTTCCGTCAAGTTGTGAAATGCTTCTTCTTCGATGTCTTTCAGCTGAGAATTAAAAATTTTGCTACGCAAAAAAGAAATGATAAATTTTCTTTTTAGTATTTTGGCATATGTTTCTGTGAATAAAATGAGTCCGATATAAAGCTTGCGTACAATTTCCGAGAAAACGATTCGATAAATTTTTAAAAAATTTCCATGATAAGGATATTGCCTCAGAAATTTAAAACACAGAAATGTTTGTTAATCATACTTCCTATCCTTTGGTTAGATTAAATATGTTGGCAAAAAGGTTGGCAATAAGGCCAAATATTCCGTTTAAAATCTATAATTCAACCTTCTCCATATAGACTATTCGAACAAGGGAGGGCCATCCCTAAAACAAGCTAAGTGGCGCAAAGCGACTAAGATTATGGTCTCTCCCCCCCGATGGAACTCTAGACATTTGCAGGTTATTCTGCAGCATTTCGTCAGGCTTCCCTGAGAGTTGGCTGGTTATACTCCTACTGTAGGTGGTAAGAGACATGTGAAAGTATAGTGTCTACAAGAAAACAAAGGAATGACGCAGTAAGAACCACGACTTCTTAATCATCGCCTCATCATTGAAAATTCGTTTTGTGAAATTTATTCCAACATCTGAGCGTGCTTCCTAAATTTAATATGCCACTTTCGCATACTTAAGTTTTTTTCGTGTCTCTCTAAAAATACTTCTTACATTTCCTTCAATTTCCTTGGTAACTGACCATTCCTAACAACTCTTATGATTTTGTTTCGTACAGTCCTGTAACGAAACAGAAATTTAAGAACGTGTTAATGTAAGCTATAAATTTTCGTTCGCCTTACTATGGTAATTAACACTGAGACACGCCAGAGGTAATTTGAAATCTATAAATGAAACATGAAGGATCATCTTTAAATACGCATAGTTACCAAGCAAAAACTAATCTATAATTATCACTAAAGGTCAAAAATTAAATTTAGATGAAATCGTGTTTTAGAGCCTCCTGCCGGAGCAATAATGAACACGTGCATTCTGATATTAACTGAATGACTAACGAATGTTTCACAGAAATTCTTACAGGGTTATTTAATAATGTGATACGTTTCAGCCTAGATTTCAGAGCGATATCATAATATTACGTAGAAAATGACCTCTAGAAAAGTAGGGGAACGATATTTAATGCAGAAACAACGTATTTCATCGTAACGTTATAGCAACGTGAGTTTAAAATGCTGTAAACTTCTAGTTATAAATATTTTTGCAAATCATTAATTCATTTAATACTTTTCTATACTTCTTGAAATCAAATTTTCCAAATGCGTGCGTTTCGTAGACTCATGGCCACATGGCCTTAACTGGATACGTCAAAGGCATTGATACGTGATTACTGAGCGCCAGAACGCTGTATCATAAGAATGAGGAAAGGAAAAAAACTTTGAAAAAGATGATGACAGAATGGTCGACTCACAATTTTTCCGGTGACTCCGGACAATCAAGCTCTTCTGTTACTTCGTCGCAAAGACAATAATAACATTCTCCTGTACCTCTGGTTTCTGAATATTTTCGTTGATACCCTTTTCTCCCATCGTTATAATTATTCCAAAGTCCCTCCCAATCATCGGGAGTGTATCCCAACGAGGGATATCTTTGCGTCCAATATGAATAACCGAGAAATGTCTGTGTCCCATGACTGGGCACCGACACAACAAGATTAGGAAATAAAATGGGCAATAAAATGAATATTTTATGTAGCGATTTCATCGTTGGAGAACACGACATTGCGTCTAAAACAACTTGATGACAATTATCCCGTGTTGATAGCGACCTTCCAAGTGCTTTTTCTCGTCCAATGTCCAAGATTCCACAATCGCGTAGGTCAGTGACTTTTAGGGAAAGTTGGAATTCTTTTACAATTCATCGAAATGTCATGTCTTGAACAAACGAAAAGCACTCCGCAAATATTTCAGATGAGTAGACCTGAGGGTAAGTTAAAGAGTAGTGATCTGTTTGCTTAACCCGCCAGCATGTTTTGAAAGCGCACAAGAGCATTATTAATGAAAAAAAGAAATGATGAAGAAAAGAATAATTTCTAGTAAGTTGCTGAATTAACCAAGACGTCCAAGAACTCCAGCTGCAATATTTTGTCGCGATAAAGTCAGGTACGTCAGAATTGTTGTCTTCAACATTATTCATTAGATCAATTCATTAACTTAACTGATTAATAAACTTGAAATCAGGTACCTAGCGATCGTTTGAGAGGCAAGAGGGAAATAGGCAAAATGGTGCGAGGGAGGTCTCAAAAAACTGAATTTGTTGTCCCTACACTGACTTAAATTGCTCTGTTTTGCTATCGGATTTTCCTTTCCCTCGATCCACGATGCATGCTGAACAAATACCTAAGTAAGCACTGTCAACTTACATAATGTTTTTAAAATCAAATGTTCGATTTTTATTCACAACAGAAACTCAAATCTTTGTTTCTCTGAGGCCCGGGTTCGCAAAGAAGTAGAACACTGTCAGCAAACATGACCTTTAAAATTTCAACCCATAATTTTCCATTGATACTGTATGATTAAGGCTGGCGAGATCTTCATTAGATTTGCAAGTCCGAAATTTTCTTGCCGTCCAAGCTTTTAGGGCTCTGAGATTAACGTATGGTAATTTAACAAGTGTAGCCACAGTGTCCTAGTATGTCGGCAAACAACTGAAGTTAGAAATCTTGACGCGATTTCCTGCCATTCACTACAAAATGCTGTGCTATTCACGAGCATTTTATCTGTAAAAGGTTAGGGTTAATTAAGTAAACTCACCGAGTGGCTTAAAACAAAATAGAATAATAGACAACAAAGTGTACTTACAATTTACCAGGGCTACCAAAACACCTTAGCTCTTGCTTGAAATCATCACATTGACAGCCCGTGCATTCTTGTACCGCCGTCTCCGAGGAAGCTCGCTTATACTGAGTCCGACCACCGTAGTGATTATTCCAGAAGCCATTCCAATCTGAGTAATCCAAGGACGGATACCGGCGCGTCCAGTAATCGTAACCAAGAAATGTTTGCGAACCGTGGTACGGGATGAATTCGGTTGAATTAAAAAACAATACGATAACTGTGAATAAAATCAACTGGAACGTAAAAGCGCCGAACATCGTGGCAATGATAAAAATGTCCTTCAACGGAAATAGAAAAGCTTGATGTATATAGTAAACATACTGAGATTTTTTGGTTGCCAAAGATGTCCTCGGATCGTAGGCTTATAATAGACCTTTCATTTTTCTATTGTTGACCACAGGAGAGCTGTCAACATGAGCAAACAGAGGTAGCAGATTGGGAAATTTAGGTCAACACAAAATAAGTCAAATATTAACCATTCCAGCACAATTTAATTTCCTCTGCTCTCTTGCGGATTTCTAACCATATAATTACATGCCCGCCTCACTTACTTCTGTACTTATGAATCACAAGTGAAAGTATCACATAAACATAGTGGGGAATTTGGTGTAATCCCTTAAACATGAAATGGAACCATACAAAATGCAATTCACTCAATTTTATAACAAAAATTGGTAGCTGACATCCAACGTGTAAATATCAGAATGTTATCGGCAAAAACTGAAAACTGCGAAGGTAGACAATATAGTGTAATTCTCTACAAGTTTCCTAAATGGAATGATATATGGAAGTGATAGGAAAACTTCACTTAGCTTGCTTCCAACTGGTGAATAGTTAGACTGACGGATGCATTTTAGAACAAGTGACAATGTGGGCTCGTTCAGTGGTGATATTTCCGTTCGGGCGATTTAAACCTCCTTCTTCACTCAATTCGCATCAGGCTCTGTTTTTAGCCACTTTTCGAGAAATAGGTTCGTGATCGTCTCTCCCCTACCAAGAGAGTAGATGATACGCAATATAGAGGCAAACAAGCTACAGGAATGAACGAACAAACGATTACAGGAAAGAGCAAAATGAAAATTTAAACTTTAGCCTTGGTCAGTTCTTCACAAAGAAACTGTGTGAGTCTTTAAAAAAGTAATTTGCTGACTTTAAACGTTTTTTCCTTCAAAATTTGATCTCGAAACTACTGACACCTATCCAAAGATAACTTTCCATCATTGTATGCAAATCTTCTCATGTTTGGAATGTAAGATCACAGTGCTTTTTTCCTAGGTTAAACTAAAATCATGAATTTCAGTGCATCTTTGGCTTTAAAAGGCCAAAATGACATTGTTTATTTTGTGGACTCTAGAAATTCTGTGAATCTTCATGTCAAAATATCCACTTAATTAGTTCATTGAGAAATGTTTTTGTTCAATCCTAACCTTTTTTGGAATATTTTTACCCAACACTTTTAGAGGTAGAGTTGTTATAGTGTAAGTGGCCTCCCTTAGGGCACAATGTTCTTATGCAAACGCGACTGCGATGGTGAAATACAAATCAAAAATTGGAAAAATAAACTTGTCTCATTGTTTTGCATATGACACATATGAAAAATAAATTGAATGTTTTTACAGGATATGCCAAGTTTATTTTTTAAAAGTAGCAATAAGCCCCTAAAATCCAAAACTTCCGGTAAATTCAAGTGAATGAAAAATCGAATTGAAAATTGTTTGACGAACTCAGCCCGGTGAGAATCGGGATAATCCACATTTATTTTTGCAGGCTGAGTCCTCGTCAGTCTTCCCATTTCAATAATTATTTTCGCAGTTCCTCGGTCTATTTTTTCTGTGTCGGGTTCCAAAGATGATAAAAGGGGAAAACTTAGCCGTCTGTCCCCAGTAAAACTGCGTCTTATCGAACAGAAATTAATGTTGATTTCCTCTTAATCTACTCATATTAAAAGAGAGCCGCTCGTTTAAAAAAAAAAAATGAAAGAAATAATAGTAATAATAACAATAATAATAATAATAATAATAATCCTCATCATCATCATCATCATCATCATCATCATCATCATCATCATCATCATCATCAACTGCTGCCTTCCTTATTAAATGAATCGACTTTCCTACTGCACTTCACTGACTGATTTGATTTTCTGACACTCATACTCTATCAGTCGAGGACCTGCTATGTTGTGGGCCGAGAATATTTGTACTAACAGAGCTTCAGCACCTTGCAACTGTCACGTTTAGTAACCGAAATGACATATGACTAGCTAGACCCAAATACTTACAGTGCATAACTTGGCTTGCAAGTATTGACGCAATGTCATGAATGTTGGCTGAATAAGCCCATCGGTTGTCGTGTCAGATTAAATATGCTGTGCTCAATTTCAAAGGCAGTCGGATTAATTTATCTTGCCGCGGGAACTCAAAGTTTCTTCATCGTAAAATTAATAAATTTTTTTTGAGGTTTGCCTTGAGAGCCTTCTTTCACGGTCTATTAAACGACTTGCTCGTGATTTGTTAGCTTCAATCAAATGCGCGGTGGTTTGTGACGCGAAGCGACAAACAACAGTTGCGAGTTAAACCAAAAAAGGTCTTACGATAACACAATGTGGTGTGACATATGTTAGTTGTCACTGAAACAATCGAGTTATTGTTCTGCTTACGTCGTATCAAATTAGCACTTGAATATTCTACGCGCCACCTGCTTGAGCGACTGGCCGATGTCTCGGATGCATTGACTCTACTGCAGTTGCTATTCGTTGTCCTCTCTGCCATTCCATTCCACGAAAGATCTCATCGAAAAGGTAAACTTCAACTGCAGCATGCTTAACTTTTGGTCTCGACTGCGTCCTCTTCTGCTCAGCTTGATTCATCATCCAGCTTCATTCTGTATGGTGATTCGTAACGATATTGAACAACATAGTGAAACAGTGGCACTTAGCAAAAACATGAGCGACGGATTCCAACTGAAAGCTGTTGAAAGATTCATCTTTAAGGGTTCATAATGCACTAAATTCATTCTTGCATTCTATTTGTAACAAAGGCTCTTTTTAAGTTGCTAACATGGGAGAGAACTGTGCAGAATTCCTTAGTATTATTGTAGCTTTCTCATTCCTTGCCCTTTTCGAATGATATGATCGGTAATCGCATTAAACAAAAGAAAACACCAATAGGTTTATCCACATTCACACAGAGAAAAGAATACAAATTGGATACTAAGAGGGGCATGCCTTAAAAAATGACACAAGAATTGGATCGATATTTTAGAAAGATCACGTTTGCTTAGAAGAAAGACTAAATGAAGTTAAGATTTTACGTAGTGTTTTCCGATCATGGTTCCTCGCAAAAATCACTGACTGTCTATTCCAACTCAGTGAACTCAGTGCTCGACAAAATGGAAATTGTTGCAAACAAACGCTGGCTTAACTGTGATGTCGTTGCGACTGATGTAAAATTACAGTGATTTTTCAAATTTGCTTACACAGTCACGCAATCGTTGATGAATTAGTTATCAGCTTTCGGTTTCGTTGCTCGAACTCAGTTCGATTACTATTGAAAGACGCTAGGAAGTTTGATGCAGAACAGATCAACGACTTGAAATTTTTAAAACGCTTATCACAAACTCACTGAATTATTGTTTTAATCGGCCATTTGGATTGTTCACTTGTTTACCTCCTAAGTCACCTACAGCACCCTGCATAATTTTTATTAAGGTAGCAGACCGTAAATGCGTTCGGTGTTCGAGAGATATGTGATATAACTAAAGTTTGAGACGAGAATAAATTGTGCTATAGTGAAATGCAATTTTTGGGTCGGCTGTGCGTCGTCCTCCATGTGTAAAACATGTTTAAGCCTACCAGAAAGTAAACTTATATCCATGCAGAAGCTTCTAGATAAATTGGCCATTGTTTACAAATGATCTGTGAAGCAAATCTGCATAATCTATCTCCGTGAATGATTATCGTTTCCTTGTAATAAACCTTTATTATTGTTAATTTTTCACAGTTTTTGGTATAAAAGGAAAGCCAAACGAAATGATTCGAGTTAACAAGTTGATATTTAGAGTTGAATACATATTTGAATGTACCCAGCGAGACCCTTGAAATGCAATTTCCAGGCTTGTAATGAATTATTACCCCTTAAGAAGTAAATAAGCTTGAATTTGATGTTCCTTTTAAGTTTATACTGGTTTCTCCCGCTGGTGATGCATATATTTAATGCACGCCGCTCGGGAAATATCCAAACCGAATACAACCACGAGAGGGAACTTTTTTTGTTTTCATAGTTTACTTTTTGAAGGTGTCTATGGGTGGAAGCCTGCATGCAGAGTCAATTCATCAATTATCACAAATTATTTTCATTACCACGTTGTGTATTTTTATTTCACTCAGTGAGTTTCTTCAGTGTATCTCAACATCATTTGGCTAAGAGGTGTTCCGCTGTGCCAGACGATGCGTGTTGTCTACTTGTTGGTTTTAGCAGGATTTCTGGCCATTACTGGCCTTGCTTTTCTCATCGCTGGAATCGTACTCCTAAGCAAAGGTGATGCATCATGCTCCGAGGGCTCCAGCAATACATCGAATAGAAAATCTCTTAACTTAACAGAGAAATGTTCCTACTCGGAGGAGGCCATCACCAAGGGGTTGGACAAGTTCCTCCAGAAAGTACAAGACAGCTATTACAAGCTTCATCCAAATAAAATCTCTTCAAAGCCGAAAGTGTCTTCAGCAGAAATACAAGCAAAATATCGCTCTTATGACCCGTCCCCACAAAATATCAAGATTATTACAGATAAAGCACTGGCCCTTTTGGATGAAATAAATGCAATAACTTTTGAATCGCATAAATTGAAACCACGCGAAAGGAAGGCTTTGGCTCAGGTAAAGCACTATTTGCAACACATTTTTGGAACGCCGTACGATGTCAATTATTACGCGGGTGATTTTCTCCTTGGTCCAAATCTGTGGTGTTGGCAGCCCCTGTGTGATACTAGATCTGAAATGAAAAACAGTCTTTATCACTTCAAACCAAACAGCACCGAAGACTTGGAAAATTTACTGAAAAAATTCGGAGAAATCAAAGAAACATTTGTTCAATACAGGAAGAACATGGAGTATGGCGTTTTGGTCGGAATGGTACGTTCAATTGAACAATGCAAAGCTGGTATCAACGGATTAACGTCGGATTTCCGAGAAATATCGATTAAAGGGGCAAAGGGTAAGAATTTTTAATGTTAACCAAGCTTTTGATGTTATTGGGTCGTTCATTTACATATATTAAATTTCTTCCCACGTTAACTAGGTGTCTTAGAAGAAGATTTTGTCAAACGTCTGTTGCAATATGAGTTTCTTGAGGTCCTCACGAATAATTCAGAAGAAATAAGCACGTGGGAAAAGAAGCACGGAAAGAGTGTGAACCAGTCCCTTAGAGACTCTCTTGTGGAAAACATTGGTAAACCTATTGAAGATTTCTTCACGTAAGTGTATTCATGTGCTTGGCCATAAAATAAATCTTTAACCGAGTGAATTTTTTCTTCTATCTAGCTATCCCATGATACAATACCCACTCCTTCCAAACTATGAGCTACATCTCGCAAGAGAGAAAGGTCAAACTTCTATCTGGCTCAGAGTGTTTGTGTGTTTGTGTTTGTTTTTTGTTTTTTCACATAGGATGATGACATGGAAACTCTGACCTCTTCAGAGTTTTACAAATGTCAGTTTGGTATAAGATCTTTTTTACACCCAGAGAATACTGTAAAAAATGGTTGTGGTTAATATTCAAAAGGTAGACAAAGTGATCGAATTTCTGAAGTGTTGATATCTGATATGATCGCCTGGAAATATAACTAATATGTATATACAAGGGGTTACGTGCTGTGTGCTGTTTCCATGGACAGCTACTCTGTGTCATTCGTGAGGCTAAGTTGTGACTATTTGAAACACTGATCTCACCTCAAAAGGCGGGGGGACCAAATGGTGAGGTCGTTGGACTTGAAATCTGGTGGTCTCGGGTTCAAGTCCTCCACCCTGCTACCCACCGGATTTGTTCTTGGTCGCTCTGAGCTCAGCTCTTTCAAGCACTTTATATTCATTTGACGTATTTGTTTCTCTCTCTTTCCTGGCCCACAATGTAAACTACTTGGTCCACCAGTAATTGTGAAAGCCATTAAAGTCTATTTATTTTCATTTATTTACCTCAGTGTTTTGTCTCCGTTTTAGGTATCTTAGAAAAGATCATATGCAACATTGCGTCTCCAGTAACGTGTCCAGCGGTTTGGCCACGCTTCCTCTCTCCTACGTGTATGTCAACAATACCGCTGACAAGTCAAGACCAGCAAACGGGTCTCTTCCAACAGGAGAACGGCTCAGCGGTAACGATTCTTATAAGCTGCTCGTTTCATATTTTACAACAAACACCATGTCCCCAAAGGAAATTAATGATCTTGGATTCAAAATGTTAAAAGAACTTTATCCTCAGGTGGGTAGCGTAATATTATAGTTATGAAAATTATTGTAATGATTTGCAAACATTTTTTGCTTGGTTCAAATGTGTTAAATGCTCTCCTTTTCGTCGCAGATTGCGAAAGTCTCGCCACCATCACCCCACGTTAGGTGATGATACTGACACATTAATAAGATTTCGAAAGCGCCATCGGTAATCACGTGTGAAATTTTCCTGGAATTTTTCCCGGAAAATCATCATCCACAGTTAAATTTTAGTTGAATACAAACCTCCTACCAGCTCCTACTTGGCCCTAGAGTCCTCTGAGAGACTTCTGTGAAATTTCCATATGTTTTCTTGAAAAATTTTCTGGGACAGCTGTTGTTTTCATGTTTTCCTTTAAAAATTGCTGCGTGGCCGGTCAATATTGATTCCCTTACGCAAACCGCACGTTTGACCGTCGTGTTGGTTAGAAGAAACTAACGCGAGTTTGACAGCAAAATCCCTGTACGTGGAATTATGTTACATGTAAAAAATGAAAATGACAAAGGGGCCAGACAATCTCGGGCGCTCGTAAGTTTGCTTTCGAAAACACAAATACAAAACGTATCGGTGTTTCCGCATTTGCGTACGATAGAGTGAATTTGTTTATACCTCACTTTCCGTTTATCAGATGAGACCAATGTTAGTGAGAAGCTTGAAAAAGTAAAATATAAACGATGGGTGCAGCATCGAGGAGAGGGTGCTTGAGAACAAGAAAGGAGTGGAGGCATGGATAATATGCGATGTACTGATGAAGAATGATTGGGAAAGTCAGTGTCACTGGTGCATCACTGTTGAAGGGGGCAAGAATTAATCAAAATTTTGAGAGTGTTTCTGACGTAGCCTTTTAAATAAATGAACAAATATACAAATTAGAGCATTTACAATGAGACGTAGTGTCATCACTTACAGTTATTTCATTTATTTACTCGTAGGTCCTAGAAGTAGCACGGCTGGTAACACAACAAACTGATAACGATACAGCTAAAGAAGAGTTTAGAAAGAAGCTGAAATCGAGAGTTTCTGAGTTGAACTATCTAGAAGGGGAGTTTCCGAAGAATGAGTCTGATGAAAATGCTCATGTGTTGTGTGGTAACGTCGAAGGTGCGAAGAAATATTGTCCCACAAGATGGCGAGCGCTTCAAAACTGGTTTGATGAGGCCCACATGGTATGTGTAGAAACTCGACTATGAAATTTCACTTTTTTACCGGTCACGGTCACCTGTCTTTAGTTAAGCTCCTTCAAAGGAGGTAAGGAGGTAAGCTAACAGGGAAAAGTTAGTCTCAGCGTATTTACATTTCTTCATTCATAGTTTGTGAATTTTCTTTTTATTAGGCATTGGGACTGCTGGATCCAAAGACGATTAATATGTTTCATTTCAATGGTGCAAAACACACAACGCCAAATTGTCCAATACAGCTGTCTCCCGATTTCAATCCTTCTGGAGGAGCAAATTATAATAGGGCTGGTAAAGATTGTAAAAAGAACGCGCGGTACAATATACCTTTCTTCACATCTGAGCCTGCCAACAGGTACGAAGAATGGAGTATAAACGCACACGAGGGAAGGCCTGGACATCACACGCAAGTTAGTACTCGTAGCGATTATCGATATACTACTAATGTTAAAAAGTAAAAGCTAAGGCCCGTAGCCACCTCAGGCACCACCCCCACAGGAACAATAAACTCTTAGCACTGCAAGGCGTGAAAATGAGTCGATCTCAAAAACAAAGATCTAACAAAAACTCTATGACGCTTATATATGAAACAGACTACATAAATCACGAACCCGGACGACAAAAAGCACTTAAAATAGATATAGAGATAACATGTATGGAAGGGGGCGTATGAGAATGTTACATCTGAGCCAATCTTTTCTGTTTACTTTTATTTGACATCATCTGTGGTCCATAAATGAAAAGGCACTGGACAAAATAGAATTAAACCTTTTTTAAATAGAATAATTTTACCTTCTTCTAAGAATTCATCTAACCATCAAAAAGGAACAGTGAGATATCTGCTCTTGCAGTTGCTTTTTTTACTCCCTCTAAGTATGTACTACATTATCAAACTGCTGCTAAAATCATAGCTTAAACATCCCAGTTAGTCGTATTTGCAATAGCACGTTTTTTTTTCACCGGTGATTTTTTTTTCAAATAAACAATGTTCACTGCATATATAAGCTTGACAGAGTTGTAATCGACATTGGTCGGAAAACTTGTCGGATAAGACCTTCCATTTTCCTTGAAAAATTTTCTGAAAGACATTGGAAAATTTGTCCTCAGTAAGTCTTCAAATTTCAAATTAAACCTTCATTGTAGACGAGGAGACTTGACACTGGAAGAAAACACATTTTCCCTTTTTAGCCCTTTAGCTCCATCAGTGACTAAAAGAGAATTTCTCCTTACAATATCAATACAATATCAAACAGACAAGCCATGAGAATAAAGAACAATATCAATTAGGGGATTATTAGTTGATCTAGCACCAAATTCTCTGAACTAACATCACAAGAATTATATGGCAGATAGTAAGGGGAATTACTAATGAGATCTTAACTGAGATTTAAAGAGTTAAGCGCACACTGTTAGATGCCTCGGAGTAATGGCCAAAATTATCAAAGAAACGTGGAAGAGAAAATACAGTATAGGGGTCGAGATTATTTACCTAGTTACAAAGTCAGTAGGTTAATTTCTTCTTCCGTCACTTACTCAGGTGCAAGGTTTAGAGGAACACTTTCGGGATAGTTGTGGAGGAGTCATCAAATGGCTTGATCAAGAAACTTACTACACTGCCTTTACCGAGGGCTGGGGCCTGTACGCTGAGAACCCATTGATTGGCGAGGACACCGATGTCTATAAGGATGAGCCTTTGCAGAAATATGGAATGCTGAAATGGCAGGTTAGTATTAATAACAGATCGAGACAGATGTCATGAAATTGTCAACCGTACTCTTACTCAAATTAATCTTTTTGGGAAATTACCTCGGTTGAATGATTTTCAATCTCTGTAGACGAAAGCCACTCTGCTAAGGTGCCCATGCCTCGCTCTTTAAACTAAACTGGTGTCTTCTTAATTAGCTTGGCCAAGTCTGTGAAATTTTAAGCAACATATTTAATATGAAATTCAATGAGAAGAAAACTAGTTGTCTGTATAATGTGTGTTTAAAAATCCCGAGAAACGAAAGACCCTTTGACTGAAACAAAGAAACAAAGGAGAGGAAAAATGAGGTTGCTCTCTTTCCTTGTAAACTTACAAAAAATTGAAGTATCTAAACGTCACCCTGCTGGCTATTGCGATTTCTAATGACAATTTTCGCACCCTAAACAAGATAGGCTGAGCGAGTGGTTGAGGGAAAGTGGAGATTATTTACTAATAATTTTCCAAAATAAGGATCACTCTAAATTGCTAGAGTGCAGGCATCCTATTTAACAACCAGTCACTAAGAGGTTTTGAAATCAGGTTTAGATGACCACAGATGAAGAACCCAAGCATCTGTTACTCTTTCCTTAGTTTCCTTTCGAGGGTTTAATAAACTACCCAAATGAACTTTTTCGACGACATCTGGCTCTAGTATTGTCAACTAAATTGCTCCTCTACAGGTGTGGCGCGCCTTACGGTTAATTGTCGACTCGGGTCTGCACTACCAAGGATTTTCCCGCCAAAAAGCCCTAGATTTTTTCGCAGACTTCGCTTGGGATGAAAGTGGTGAGGCCTTAAGGGAGGTGACTCGTTACCAAAGCGCACCAGGCCAGGCTACTGCCTATATGATTGGCCAACAGCATATCAAGAAACTCAGAGAGTACGCGAAGGAAATGTTGGGAGATAAATTCAAACTTCGTGACTTTCACTACCATCTGCTATCCCAGGGTTCCGCGCCATTAAGTTACTTGGAGCAAAGTATCGAGACTTATGTGAAATGCGTGAAGAACGAAAATGCTTCCGGATGTTATGAAATTTTAAATCCTGCAGTGAACGACCCAGCTGCCGATGTCGATGACGATGTGGGGGATGACCTTTACGAGCCAATTAGAGGGCGTCATTATTTCTGATCAAATTCACTATCAATCATCATAGAGTATGTGAGCGTACCATAGCTTTCTTACGTGCTTAAGGACACTCAAAATAGATGTAATTCTCTGAGTAGAATTGCCTGGGTAAATATTTTTACCAGTGACGACGGGTAATTTAGAACGTTTAAGATAGCTAAACTTTACTACATACAACTACTATACATGATAATAACTGTCATTTTGAATAACCAGACTCAGCCTTAGTGTAATTGTCTTCTTGCATAGAATGTTGCGATGAACAGTTTTTTGCAAATTTGATCAAAGTTTACTTACATGTAGCATACAGTTCTTTAAAATGGTTGATAATACAGCCAATAGAGAATAAATGCCCGAAATCTACCACAGCACTCTTTAATTTTAGACTTTAGGTAGAAACCAATGCAATCTACAAACGTTATGCTCAGTTCTAATTTTTTTATATCTTGCATACTCGAGGCTTTTGTATACGAACTGACATAGTACGTTGTAATGTTCTTAGCAGCACTTTACATTATCTTCTGTTTCACTATCCTAACCTTGAAAGAGAGATGAATGATTATGGGTAGTTAGGCTAGGCTTGTGCACTAGAAAGTTGTATCATTATATTTTTCATAGTGACAGAACAATACTTACATCGGCAAAAATCCGCTCTAAAATCAAAATAAAGAAGCCATAACATCGGTTATTCTAGACGATGGAGTAATTGACGTGAAGATCTATCTTAGCAGTATTGGTACGCTATGATTAATTTTAAGCACTCCTCATTCATTTTTCTGCCCGTTTTTCGTTTGTATTTTCTGGAATGTTAAACTAAAGGAGATCTGTCACGAATAAAAATTATTATTTCTTTTACTCTTATAAAGCAGATGTAATCTCGTTGGTTTAAGTTTAATTATGTATGATAGGTGGATTGGTCAGTGAGATACAGTCCTTAAAGCGAATTAAGTATGAGAGCGATCTTGGCAGTAATGAACACTACTTGTGCAGTGGCGAAAGTAAGGCCGGAACCACATTTTTTCATCATTTATTCGTCACTACGCGGGTCTATCCCTAAGCAACGCCCTTCCGCCCCAATCTGCTGCTGTTATCCTGAGTGTTTTTTTTTTTCAAAAGTCATTGAGCTGAACATTTTTTAAAATTTTTATATTTTCTAAAATCATTGAAATCCTCAAGGCCTAACTAAGTCATTAAGGAAAGCTATAAAAATCATTACAATTACATTATTTTGTAGAATACGTAATAAAGAGAAGGCTACCCTGTGAATTAGCCTCAGTCATGAAGTACTTTGCAAAATAGTAAATTTTTTCACAAAAGGAAATTACTTCGTATTTATAAAATACCGTTATCGATCACAATTTTACTTCTTTCGCTGCGAAAAAAGTCAAAACAGGGCCGAGGGGACTCAAACCCGTATATTGCTTCTCATGAAGTTCCCTTTTTTTAAAAATGACCGTATTGATTTCCTCTTCATAATGTTAAACTTCGCATCTTGAGAGATGTTACCGCATCCTTTCGTTTCGTAGCCGCGACCTTCTGCTTAAAGAAGCTTAGTATGGACCTCGAATACACTTTTCCATCCTTTACTTGGAACAGAGGGGCATGATTTTTACCTTCTTCGTCAAGAATTGGGATGATGTCGGTGACTACAGCGGTATTAAGATCTCTACTCGGATAATTGTAAGCTTCAAACACTTGGTCAATTGACTTCCCAACAGCCTCGATCACAAACTTTAGGTTTTGTTTGTTTTCTTCATTGAGAAGCAGTCCATCTCCGAATGCTGCCCACCCATCTCCTCTTTTATTTGCCACACGGAGGCCCATTTTTCCATCTTCGTCGTGCATACACTTGCTCAAGTAATGACCAAGATTGCGTGGATTAATTTCCCTTGCCAAGACATCTCTCGGTGTCCTGAAAACAGAATTTCATTTAAGCAATACTTTCTTTTCCTTTCTTCTTGTACTTTATTCAAACAAAAATCTGAAGAGACTGTTGACAAAACCAAAACATGAACAATACCCATTACATACATAGATGACAACGAGAAATTCAATAAGAACAGCATAGCGATCACGATAATGATAATAAGAATGGTGATTTATACCGAATGTGTCCACTCGAGAAGCTGTCAGTCAGGAAATGGCAGGCAAACCCATCTAGTGATAAGGCTTCGTGTAGCAGATTCTCCTTTTCTTCAGCGTTCGTTTTATTACTCGCCTCTCTAGCTTTGTCCATTGCCAGCTTGTGACCCGTTAGATAGGCTTCTTTGGCGTAGGGAAGAAAATGGTCGTGATTAGTTTTAGCTAACTTCAACATGCGTCCGTGTTTCACCGGCAGAAACCAAATCCATTTACCCCCAGTGATTTTATCCCACAATTTATCTTTGAGGCTCTTGAGGTTACGGGTCTCGTGCTCCAGTGCAGCCAAAAGTTTGTTCAACTCTGGCTGCAACTTTTCCTTTGGCTCTCGTGCCAGCGAGTTGTAAGCGTCAATAAAGCGCCTATAACGATCATCGTTAGTCTGATTGGAGGGATCGATAATCGGCTGCGTGGGTACACCATAGAAATCTCCCGCTAGTGCTATAATTTGCCCTAAAGATAACACCAAACCATTGGGAAGCTTGAGGCTGTTTAGTCTGCCCATATTTTCGGATGTGATGCAGACTTTATCCCCTATGTGCTTGTGTTCAAATGGCGCAAAATCCACCACGTCTTTTCCATGACGATAAACATCAATTGGTTTCGTCTGCTCCATGTTGACGGTGTCGTTTCTGACTAATGAGAAACAGATTGGAATTGACATATGTTTACACAAATGTCCATTTCGTCTAAAAGGTCTTGAACTGTTAAAGATAGCACATTTAACAAGTGAGACAAAACTCAAAATAAGAATACCCTATGTGGCAAGCAGAACAGTAATGACGCTAAAATAAAAGTGATATTCGTAGAATCTTACCAGCTTTAGATGAATCTACTCGTGATTTTACTGATTGAAAAGTAAAGTACAAATAAAATTTTAATTTATATCTCAGTCTTATAGAGACGCAAGTGTTCGACTACCTGTATCAGTAAGTTCTTTAGGGGTTTCCCCGTATCTCTGAAACCGATCTGTTAATCCCTTTTTAGGCTTTAAATAACATCTCTTTTGACGTGCATGACCTACACTTGGACCAACGTTGTAAATACAAAGAGGAAAAAAATGTTCCAGACTCTTCTCATTTGGCGGAAGTTGATTTCATTCGTCTTCCTTTCAGCTAAATAAACTTTAATTAAGACGCAATACATGACAAAATTTCTTCAATACGGCCGGAATAAGGCTTCAAATGCATCATATGCGAGTTATGCGCTATTTTGAACACCTTGTCACTGAATCTGTGAGATGTTTCGATATTAAATCCCTTTCGATCATGTCACGCAAGAGCGGCTTGTACTTATGTATCGCAACTGGTGGCGGATTATCCCATTAAAATCACATGAATAGTCTATTAAGTTGGAACTGGTGATCGAGGGATAAAATAAAATAGAATTTGTAACGGCTGCCACGCCTTTGCTACCGGACATTGATTTGTTATAAGTTTGTTTCGTGTTAAACGTGTTAAACCGCAGTAGCGACGTTATTGTTTGTCCATTAGGGACGTGATCTTTAAGTTCCACCCAGAACCGCATTTTAGTTAGTTATCTCGTGTTTGGCTAACGATAAGACGTGTTTATCGAAAAGCGCCTTTTGCCCACCTTATCTGAAAGTTCGTTTTGGTCAAACCTTTACAAGTGGGACTGTTATTTTACGATAAGTACTTGGATACCTCGACTACGCTAATAAACGATTCAAGTCTTTTCCTTACAATACATCCTCGCTTCATAGCGCGTCTTCACTAGCGAAACTCATAGTTGTCGTTGAAATTTGCTTCGCTCGTGTCGGCCGCTACAGAATTATACTATGAGGGATTCCCATAGAATGTAAAAGGCTTCTTGTCAGCTTCAGCTTCTCTTCGTTTCAAAATAACGGTATTGTTTTCGGAGGCAACGCCAAAGGTCGCTTGAAGACCTCACTGAAGACATGGTCCGATAATCCGACATGTATTGCCGTATGTTTCTCAGAAAATGATGTAAACAAGAATTATTTTTCGACTGAACTCTTGATCATTATTCAAATAATACTTGTTTGATTTGTAGCACTGTTTAGGACCCACAGTTTTGCCGATTGTAATTGATGAGTCAATAACATACGTGATCACGAATTAATACAATTTAAAATTTTTTCGGTTTTTTGACGTTTAAATATCGAACCGGAAATTTTCAGTGACATCCTTACTGAAAACAAACGAAGGTGACGCTGACCTAAACTACGTCAGACTCGACACGTGGAAGGAAAGCGGCTCTCTATAGGTCTCCAGAAAAAGCAAGGTGCAGAAATATCAGACTAAATCTTGAGAACGAGTCTTTTTTTTGAGTCCGCAAGGAGATTTTAGAGCGTTTTAGGTTTGTTTTATTTGAGAAATTCTCTACCCCTAAAATCGGCAATAACATTTTATCGGTGTTCACTTGTATTTTGTCTATCATGGCGATAATAATTTTTCTTCCTGTGGACTTTACCTACTTGAGTATTAATGTTAAAATAACCTGCCTTTATGTGGGAAGTTTGTTATTAGTTCCCAAGATGAGGTGCTCGAATTCTCATCTTTTAACTGAAATGCTTTTGAGAGCTTCTGAGGAATTATCTAAAGTTATGATTCTTGTTATTTTATTTTTTTTAAATTGAGTCTCGCATATGTGATGCTCTACCACTGAGCTGTAAAGAACTCGAGCCTCTATCTCGGGGAGCCAGGAAATTTTTAGTTTTGTGTCTGACGAACACTCTGAGCATTGCTAAGATCAGTAATGTCTAAAGCAGCGAGTGAATTAATGAAACAAGAAAGACAGTTACTTCGTTCGATTTGGTCAACATTTATTAGCCTACTCGTTGCTTTCGACATTGCTCCTATGAAGACTGAGGTTTGCAAAAGACCATTATTATCATAGTTATGTTTATCAGTCGATGAATTTCTCTTGCGCAACATTTGGAACTGTAGAATATATGTGCTCAGGATAAATGTAGAGCTTAGTTCTACTGCAAAGGTTACGATTTTAAACGACTGATAGTTTACAGCTTAAAACTAGACAAGCAGATTCAAAATTCTTAAAAGGAACGCAAATTGAATAGTTTAATTATCACACTCGCCATCTTTTAAGGCCGGATGGCAGAAGACGGTGCTAAAAGAGCTCCTGTGCTCACTCTCTACCTTGGTATACTCCAGCCACTTTTAGTATAAATATCATAAACACCATGTCTCCAAAACACTTACCAAAATTACTGGTTAAATTGAACGGAATTCAATGTTATTCTCACACATATTTTATAAAATTTATTTAACCTAGTTAAGGATAATAAGGAAAAAAAAAACAATAAAAACGAAATAAAAGGAAAAACACACACACGCACTTAGTGCCCTCTGCACTGAAAAGTGTGCTGAAATAAGTCTTCATCAAGATTTTAGATATATGAAAATTCACATATTTGCACTGCGGTGGAGAGATGAAATTAGAAGATCCTCGCAGCTAAGAACACTACTGAAACGAGTAGTTGTAAATAGGACCTGAAAAAAATTTAGGCCCGTACGGGATTTGAACCCATGACCTCTGCGATACCGGTGCAGCGCTCTACCAATTGAGCTAACAAGCCAACTGGGAGCTGGTCAGTGAATTGTTTATATTGCTGAGTTTTTTGGTTTGTACTGGACTGATAGCTTCGTCACTGTCGAGAGCCCCCGCCAATTAGAGATTGTATTGGCATCTTGCAGATCATTTATGTTGGACCGCCTGTGTAGTTTTCCATCCGGCTTCACTTGGAACAAAGGATAGTTGTTTTTCTCTTCATTGTCAACAAATGGGATGATATTAGTAACCTCAGCGATGTTGATAACTTTATTAGGGTCTTGGTAGGCTTCATACACTTGGTTGACTGATTTCTGAATAGCCTCGACAACATGTTTAAAATTGTCTTCGCTTTTATGAAGCATTTCATCACCATAAGCAATCCACTTGTCTCCTCTGATATTAGTTACTCGCAGGCCAAACTTCCCGTCTTCATCGTGCATACACTTACTCAGGTAATGACCATCTACATGGAGATTGGTTGCTTTTCCTAATTCTGCTCTTGGTGTCCTGAGATGAAAAGAATATTATTCAATGAAAATGATACTTATGGAATATGGAAAAACGGGTTTTTAGAAAAAGCTTCTTTCTGCAGGAACTTTCCTTGCCATTTTTTTCCCTAGCTGACCTGCTTGAAAACATAAAACTATGATCTAGGCAAACCTGATGAGTCATTCGGAAGTATTAAACAGTTTCAGATTTATATGGATCACTCATAATCACGACAACCCAAAACATTCATTTGGTAATACATGGCGTTTTCTGGTAGATTGGGCCTCAGTAATTTCATTAACATTCGACAAAGGCTTTACTTCGGATGAGCTATTTAATTCTTCTCCTTCTTGTTGCTTTTTTTGTCACTTCCCTCTCCATATATTCTTTTAAAATAAATAATTGACAACCGACCTACGTCGTTATCTTACTTCACAGACTGCCAAAGTAATCAGCACGATTTGTCTGTAAATTAAACATTTATCAGGAGAAGATAATCTCCCAAAAAAAATACATCTGAAATTATAAATGCTTGCACATCACACAAAGGATACTAAAACATACTAAACTTTATACCACATATAAATCAATACAGATTATAAACTTCGAAAAAACAAGATCTTCTTTCATCTTTAGCATGGCGGCCGGATGCAAACTCAGGCTCTCTGCGAACATTTGTATATTTCTCTGCATTTATGTGTCTTTTGTAAACTACAAGTCCTTATATCTGCAGAAGAGCACTTTTCTAAACGACAGTGATGTGTATTTTGTCTCAAAAGTGAGCTGCAGAACTGAAATTGCGGGTAATTTACGTCAACAGAGATAAAGAGTTTAGTAATTCGTTCAAAGCTGTTATGCTTTGTAAGCTCTTTCATCGAGCCTGTTTCGCCCTAGCTTTAATTGCTCTGGCTGGCGATATCGAGTCTAACCCCGGCTACCAGACGCTAGACGACATAAGAAACACTCGTGGACTAAAAATTGCTCACTTAAACATACGAAGTCTCGTACACAAGACCGACTCTTTGCGCCTTGAGGGAATCGACAGTAAAACAGTGGACATTCTAACTCTATCCGAGACATGGTTGGATGGGAATATTTACGACACAGAAATTAATCTTCCTGGATTCGTGTGCGTTCGTCAGGATCGCACTGGCATTAAAGAGGGATATGGTGGTGTAGCTATCTATGTGAGAGAGGGTTTGGCTTTTCGCCAGCGGAATGATATTAATACTGGCGGTCAGGAGTGTCTATGGATTGAGTTGATTAGAAACAAATGCAAGCCAACACTCGTCTGCTGCGCTTATAGAGCACCGGATTCTGACTTTCAGACCTTTATTTCTTCGCTACATGAGAGTATCTCATCTGTGGATCTGGAAAAATCGGATGTGGTAATTCTAGGCGATTTAAACGCAGACATGATGGCGAGTTCTAAATTGCCCAAAAGAGATAAACAAGAACTTCTTAACTTTTCGCGGGCCTACAACTTCACTCAGTCAATAAAAGAACCGACGCGCATAACTGACACCTCGCGGACAATGATCGACTTGGTTTTTGCTAATAATGAACACCGCATTGTCAAATCTGGTGTTGTTCCGGTACCGCTTAGCAACCATTTTCTGGTATTTTGCATAATTAAAGCTGGTGTTACAACAAAGACTAAACCGAGAATACTCGAGTATCGCTCCTATAAGAATTTTAATCCGACTTTATTTAATGATGATCTTAGGAATATTCCCTGGCATATTGTTGAAAACGCGGACAACGTCGACGATGCCTTGTTTACGTGGAATAAAATGTTTTCGGAGGTTGCCGATCAACACGCGCCAGTAAAAAGTAGGCGTGTCAAGGGAACACCTCTTCCATGGATGAACAGTCAAATAAGTGATACTATGAAAGAATGTGACTGGGCGCATAGAAAGGCGCGAAAATCGAACTCGGCGCGTCATTGGTCAATGTATGCAAAGCTTAGGAACAAAGTTAATGGCTTAGTACGAACTGCCAAGTCTAAATATTACTGTGACATGATCGAGGAAGCCAAGGGTGACTCAGAAAAGGTGTGGAAAGCAGTGAACGAAGCATGCAATCGGAACTCATCTTTAGAGAGTATTCAGTGTATTATATCCGATGGTGTTCAGCATATAACATCCCAATCCATTGCTTCTTCAATGAATAGCTTCTTTGCTTCCATTGGCCGAATTCTAGCAAGTAGAATACAGACTTCCGTCTTAAATTTAAACTCCATTTCAAAACACCCGCTTTTCCAGTTCGAGTTGACTGAATTGGATCAATCTTTTGTGCTTGAGCAGCTTTTGTCATTGAAAGCAAACAAAGCGATTGGTCTTGACAAAATTAGCGCAAGACTTCTTAAAATCTCAGCTCACACAATTGCATCATCTGTTGTTAAACTTTTGAATCTCTCAATTCGCACTAGTCAATTTCCCAAATTGTGGAAATGCGCGAAAATCACGGCATTATTTAAGTCAGGTGACAGGACTAACGCTTCCAACTACCGCCCTATCTCAATCCTCCCTACACTAAGCAAGATTTTGGAGAGAGCGGTACACTTGCAGTTGTATCAGTACTTGATTACCAATAATTTATTGTCCAACAAGCAGTTTGGTTTCCGGAAGGGTTTCTCAACTACAACAGCTTTGACCTCATTTGCTGATGAAGTGCTCTTAAACATGGAACAAGGAAAGCTTTGCGGGGCTATGTTCATCGATCTAACCAAGGCATTTGACACGGTAGACCATCAAATAATGTTATGCAAGCTATCCGAGATCGGCCTTTCTGAAACAGCTCTTTATTGGTTCCGTTCTTACTTAACTGGTAGACAACAGTGCACCTCATGTGGAAATGAGTTATCTGAGGAACTTCCAGTCACGCATGGGGTGCCACAGGGTAGCATTTTAGGGCCTCTGTTGTTTGTAATTTACATAAATAACTTGCCAAATGTGCTTAACTCCTGCTACGCGTCACTTTATGCAGACGACACTGTGATTTATTGCTATGGTATATCCTCAAAGGAGTTGAGTGATTAGTTAAATAACGATTTACTGGGTGTGGCGAAATGGCTTCATGATCACAAACTGACTTTAAATTTGGACAAAACTAAATGCATGCTTATCGGTAGTAATAGGAAACGCGAAAGCAAAGTTGATTTGACTGTCTCAATTTTAGATCATAGTATAAGTAATGTTCGCAGCTTTAAATACCTCGGTATACATATATCTTCGGATTTCACATGGACTGATCATATTGAACACCTAACTGGGAAAATCAATCAGAGGCTTGGGCTTCTCAAGCGTATAAAGCATTTATTGCCTCTCAGGGCGCGTCTAATTTTCTATAAAAGTCTTGTTATTCCCCCTTTTTGAATATGCTGATCTTGTATGGGGCGATAAACATAATATTACCCATATGTCTAGCTTGCAAGTTTTGCAAAATACGGCCGCTAAAGTTATTTTAAATAAACCATTGTACTCATCCTCCATTGAGGCATTAGCCGTTCTCAAGTGGCTGCCTCTAGAGAAAAGGCGATTTCAAAGAAGGTGTGTACACGTATACAAATGCATCAATGGCTTAATTAATCACGATATAGACTTGATTAGACAAGACGTACTTCATAGGCATAATACACGTAACAAAGGCAATTTTAGATTACCACGTGTCAAAAGAAATTGGGGGAAGCAAATAACACAATATCATGCCGTTTCCGATTTTAACTCCCTCAGTCAGACGATCAAAGACTCAAGGAATGTAAATAGTTTTAAACGTAATGTTTTTAAGTTTTTAATATAGCTACTTACGTTTAATTTTTACTTATACTAATTTTTAAATGTTTTGCAATTTTATAGCTTTGTTGTTTTTACTACATATATCTAGTTTTGAGATCCTTTTTGAAAACCATATCTTTTATGAAAAAGTTTCCTCAATAAAGATGATTATGATTATGAAGAGAAAATGATTAGGGAATGACAAATAAGTAAAGTTATAGTTCTATGGAGTTTTATATATAGCTCTACTTGATGTTATTTCGCGTATTTTTGGCATACCTGATGTGTCCACTTGCAAAGCTGTCAGTAAGAAAGTGACAAGCAAACGCCTCCATGGCATATGCTTCATGAAGAAGTTTGGTCTTCTCTTCTTCTGTGTTTGCTTGGCTCGCTTCTCTTGCTTTCCCCAAGGCCAACTGATGACCAGTCAGATAAGCGCTTCTGGCGTGTGGTAGAAAATGGTCATGGTTGTTCATGGCCAACTTAAGCATTCGCCCTGGTTTCACCGGGACACCACCGATCCATTTACCACCTGTGATCTCATCTTGTTTTCTAGTCTCCGTGTCCTTATCTGCAATAGCTATGAGCATGCGCAACTCTTCTACTTCATCGTCAGGTGCACGCGCCATTGTGTTGAAGGCAGCCATGAAGCGCTTTTGACGGCCAGCGTCTTCTTCGTCAAATGGATCGATGATGGGTGCTTTCGGTATACCATAGAAATCCCCCGCCAGGGCTACAATGTGCTCAAATTTGATTCTAACCCCATTTGGAAGGATAAGTTGCCTGTCTTCTAGTTTCTCGGGTTGGGCTCGCTTTCCGATGTCTACGTGCTCAGGCGACGCAAATGGCATTTTGCGTAGAAGTCTTGCATGAGACAAAGAGACAGATACACATATGTTAAATCTCCAGCCGGAACATCCGTTTCAGGAAAAACTGTGATCAAGGTCTTAAATACCGCCCGAGGCTACAGGCCGAGGGTGTTAATCAAACAATAATTCGCGATCGCGAGCGGTTCCTCAAATACTGTCGACTGTTCCCAATTTTTGCAATAATCCTTGATTATTACTTTACATGGGAGATTCTCAGTAAGATGGGTTAAAAGTTATCTATCAGACATCTTTTTTATGGATTATTGAAAAGATTTTGAATTTTTTTTTCTCTTTACCTGGATAGTACTATCTGCCCACCGATTTTTGAATGCTTATCTATATTGAATTCAAACTCAACCTTTTTATTAGTATTCTCATCCAAGTTATCCGGCCTATTTAAAAGAGATATAAGTAAATGAGTTTAAGAATAAATAGATAAGTTAGTATAAATTTGTCTCAATATAGATGACCAGTCATTCACGCAATACCGAGTATACTCTCTGTAGTACATAATCTGTTCATAAAAAGAAAGAGCGAGTGAATTTGGCTGAATATATAGAAAGAAAGATGGTTTTTGTACGAACGTTACCTTGCTGTTCTAATAATTTCGTCTTGCTTTCTCTTGCTGAAAATTAGATTGATTTCCTTCCCGATCCCTGATCTTTGCTGGAGTGTTGCACAAGATGTGAGCCCATCAATTGATTTCTGTATACCCGAGTTCCACGTGGTGCCTGCGGGTCCTTCATCTTGTTCCTCAGCCAAGTTAAGAGACATGTTTTCATCAGATGTAGCTGGAAGAGTTGAAAGCCTATTTGATATATCGCCAGACATTAAAACATATAAAAAAGGAAATTAAAAAAACAGGCAGGCATAAAAATAAAAAATGTGGTCAGATTGATGGATGAATTAGTAGATGGATGGGTGGTTGGATACAATTCTTAGACAGCAATTTTTGTTTCTTTTCCGGTGGTAATTGAGGACTTGTTGGTTTTAGAGACTCATCATGTATAGTTGACCTAGGCTCCAGTGATTCATAGGATAGGAAACTACCTTTTTTATGCATTAAATTTGTTTGAAAATATGGAACCTAAAATTTACACCGAACGTTTGAAAACGAATTTCCTAAATATAGATATGACCAATTCTCGCTGATAAGGTAGGGAAATTAACTAAAGAGAAAAACTTCTTTACTTTACGAACCTATTTGGAAGAAAAGTAATTCGAATGTAAGTCTCAAGTCAAGCGTATTTCACCTGTGAGGCGGTAATGATGACAACTTCAGCAATAAAATAGCAAAACAACCGTTTCAAACTTGACAAAGATGTTTACGTTTTTGGAGTCACTACAATCAAAGATGCAAGCATTCTTCTGGATGGTGTGCAGAGGCCTATTTCTTCAGCCTACTGCAATTTCTTTTGCCAGCATTGTACTAGTACGTTGCCTCTTTACAGACATGTTTTATGGAATACTTTTATCTCTTGTGGGTTCCGAAATTATATAAATTTCTTCCTAGCTTTTTGTAGGTCTACGCCATCATATCATGGATCCAATAAAATCGTGGATTTGTGCAAACTTCTACCAAGTAATCAAAATTAATACATTAGCCTCGATCAAAACAATAATTAATATTTTTCTTATTGTGTTTACTTGATGAGGTGAAGTACGTGCTATGTTTCCGAAGCAGTGAACTGCAGTGGCCGAATTACTTACAATTCCTACTTCGTATGCTCTATTGTATTCCTGACTGGTGGACTCATTTTCAGGAAAGCAATATTTGTTTCCTTTCCCTTTATAGATAGCACATCTAACAAGTGAGACAAAACTCCAAATATGAATACCTATATGTGGCAAGCAGAATAACTACGCTAAAATAAAAGTGTTAATCGCAGAATCTTACCAGCTTTTAGATCAATCTACTCCTGATAGTACTAACTGAAAAATAATTTACAAATGAACTTCCGCAGGTGTTCGACTTCCCCTATCAGTTAGTTCTTTAGGGGTTTCCCCGTTTCTCGAAAACGGATCTGTTATCCCTTATTAGGTTATACAAAACATTTCATTTGACCTACCTTGGTCCTCCTTTGTAATTGGAAACGAGGAAAAAAATTCCCTGGATTCATCTAATTTCGTGGAATATGATTTTATCCATCTTCCTGTCCGCTAAATAACCTTAAATCATTGCGCAATACATCACAAAATATCTTCGATACGGTCGGAATGAGGCTTCAAATGCATCAGATGTGAGTTTAGCACTATTTTGGACACCATCTCACTGAATCTATGAGATGTTTAAATCCTTTTCGATTATGCCACGCAAGAGCGGTTTGTACTTATATATCGGAATTGGTTGTGGATTATCCAATTTAAATCACGTGAATTGTCTATAAAGTTGGAACTGGTTATCGAGCAATAAAATAAAATCGAATTATATGGCTCAGACTATGAAGGATTTCCATAGAATGTAAGAGGCTTCTTGTTTAGCTATATGTGGCAAGCAGAATAACTACGCTAAAATAAAAGTGTTAATCGCAGAATCTTACCAGCTTTTAGATCAATCTACTCCTGATAGTACTAACTGAAAAATAATTTACAAATGAACTTCCGCAGGTATTCGACTTCCTCTATCAGTTAGTTCTTTAGGGGTTTCCCCGTTTCTCGAAAATGGATCTGTTATCCCTTATTAGGTTATACAAAACATTTCATTTGACCTACCTTGGTCCTCCTTTGTAATTGGAAACGAGGAAAAAAATTCCCTGGATTCATATAATTTCGTGGAATATGATTTTATCCATCTTCCTGTCCGCTAAATAACCTTAAATCATTGCGCAATACATCACAAAATATCTTCGATACGGTCGGAATGAGGCTTCAAATACATCAGATGTGAGTTTAGCACTATTTTGGACACCATCTCACTGAATCTATGAGATGTTTAAATCCTTTTCGATTATGCCACGCAAGAGCGGTTAGTACTTATATATCGGAATTGGTTGTGGATTATCCAATTTAAATCACGCGAATTGCCTATAAAGTTGGAACTGGTTATCGAGCAATAAAATAATGTTTACAAAGGCACTGATTTTCTTTGTTTGCTTTTTTTTCCGTTGATATCACAAGTTTTCTACTTTTTGTGCACTTAAGGGATCTGTTGGACTCGAAGAGAAACAAATAAATATATTGAATAACAAATCGTGATTAACCCGGCTCTGTATCTTCATCGACACTCGACATGATTGTGGTTTCCTATATATCAGTTGGTAATAGCTTGCAAAGGTTTGTGGAGTTTTCGGCTTTTCCTTGCTGTTACCATCAACAATCATCTTCATTACATTTTACCTGTCAGCTCGTCGGTTTTTAGTAACAAGTTTCAATGATTCATTTCATATCCCTTGATGACTTTTGGTTCAGATTAAGTTTGGTTTGGACATATCGGGGTCGATAATTCGCTAGAGGGTGCTCACTGAAAACAAAAAAAGCCTCCTACTAAATGATCAACTACTCGTGGAAAAAAAGTACAAAATATATATTTGAAAGCTATTACGTACCTTCAGTCTCTTATCTAATGAAAGTTTCCCTTCGCCTGAATTGTTTATCCCCAGCCTGATGCAATCTCAGTTTAAATTTGATGTTGGATGCTCAATTGAATGAGTGCATTAAACATAAACCATACTTCACTCATTGCAGTGAAATTCTCCTTCAGCTCTCAGTTAAAACAGAAAGACTTTCGAATATTCAAACCTACATACTGTTTCTCTTAACCCTTTGACTCCCATGAATGACCGAGACAGAATTTCTGATCCCCTCACAATATCCTTCCGATATCAAGTACACAAGCGATGAGAATAAAGAAAAATAGCATTGAGAGGATTATTTAGCTGATCCAATACCAAATTCTCTGAACTAACATCATAAAAATTGTATGGCAGACAGGAAGGAGAATTAATGATAAGATCTTGGGATCTTATATTTATCCTACTTTCTTTTGTAGATTAAAGGTGAATGAGCGCACGCGGAGTATAAACGTTTGGGTGGCAGAATCCCTATCACGAGAGAACTTGAATTCGACACACGGAGTTTACTTAAAATAAGTTTGCTATGAAATGTAGTGCATGGCGCCTGACTATAGATGGTTTCGCCTATAAACGAATGTTGTTAAATCAAATCATTTCCTTATGGAGCTGATTAAAATTTTAATGAAATCTGAACGACGTTAATACTTAACCTTAAAATCATAAAAATAGCATTAATTATTGGCGAATGCCTCCGGTTTGATTATCTGAGCCTAGTAATACAATAACATGATTCTTCCGTTAATATCATTTAATTATTTTTTTATTTACTGTATTAGATAAATGTTTTGTTTTCATCACTGGCTTAGCAGCATTTCATGGCAACGCTACCAAGACACTCTTAGTAGCGAGGGTTAATTTCCTACATTTATCAAGCACCGCGAAATAACAGAAATTAAACCAGCACCGTGGATTTGCAGTTGGTTTCCAGCTTTTGTAATTCGTCCAACAAGATGGGAAAGATGGCGGATTTAACGTTAACTTAAACTGGATTTTTTCTGGTTTCCTTCTCAGAAAAGTTGCGCTTGCGCAACTCATCACTTTTAAGTTATTCCACTCTGCTAATTTAATGCATGGTTTTCATGGATTTAATGGCCGTCCCGAATCTTGGTTTTCTCTCGCTGTGTTTAGTATACTTCACTACTAAGATAAGTAAGACCTATCAATCGTATTTGCAATCATTTCTTTATTTATGTTCAAATTTCAAATTTTTTGTATTGATTTACCAAGTTTTCTATTTACGTAGTTAATAACTTATTCTAAGTATTTTTTTTCTTTTATTGAGTTATTTACTGTTTGCATGCTCAAGATATCTGTTAGGCAGGAATCAATTTCCGTTATGGAATTTAGTGCAGAGCGTTTTACAAACTTCTTTTCAGATAGTCAACTAACTATAATCAGTAATAGATTAATCAGTAATAGATCTGGAGTCAACTCTTAAGTCTTCTAGGAGTTACAATAAATCGTTCTATCAATCATCATCGGTACATTTCCTCGGTTAATACATAGATCTACTGCGGCGAACTGTTTGTAAAAGGAGTTTTGTCCTCTTGAACACTATGTAAGAAATAATTTTCCCCTTCATAAATTTTCGATTTAAGGCTTTGTAAATCATGGTAACTTTACATATCACATCAGATTTATCTATGCCAACACCTGTCCAATGTTTATTTAACGTACATCATCCCCACATAGTTATTGTATATTCCACGATTGCCGCCAAATGTGTAACCATACAGGGCACGTTTTCTGTTACCTGTTTGGGATGAAATTATTAACGGAAAAGTAATATGTCAAGCATCAAGGCTGTCTTAAATCAGATATTTTAAACCATTATCAACAAAAGTATGCTACACTCTTCGAGCTACCACTGAGAAAAAAGGAAAAGGTAAAGGAAAACTAGATTAAAAAGACAAAAACAAAAGAAAAAACAAACAAACTAACAAGCAAAAGCAAAACATAGAAAAGGTTGAGGAATAAATTGTAAAAATTCATATGGAGCTGTTCCCTGGATCCATCCAAAGAAAAAACGGTCTATCTGACTATTGAGGAATAAAACTTTATTTCGTTTGGTCAAGAGAAAGGAGTCAAAGATGCCAGTAAATTAGCTTTAAAAAATTTACAGTAATATTTGCTTATTATCATAAATAATAAATGATTGTGGAAATTTCATTACTCACCGTACTGGGACGAAGACCATTGCTGGCCGCCGCACTCGCTGTTATCATGTCCATCAAAAACTACAGTTATTTTTGAACAAATTCGCTCAGTAAGTCAAAGGGTGTTCAAATACTGAAAAGTGAAACTTAATCGCTTGCATTTCCTGGCGTTGCTCTGAATGGCTTCTGTTATTTATATGCTTTGCTCTGGTAAGCAATTGAGATTACTTGGCTTTTAGTTTCTGTCAGCCAAAATGCCTTGAAGATCCCCTTTGTCTTTGCAAGTACATGCTCCTTTGGATACTTCCAAGGGTTACTACGGTCTGTGCCATCGTTTCTTCCTTCGTAATGGAAGAGAGGGTTTTACTTACACGCCAGGGCGTTCCAGATGTTCAATAAGTAAAACAAAGCCCGATAGTAAATGGCGCAATAGTAACTGCGGAGCAAAAAGAAACGGGCCCGTGGCAGGCCCCGACTCAAGCCTTCTTTGTTTTTGGTTCCGCCTTTATCATCGTGCCGTTTAAAGATCGCGCTCCGCTTTGTCACATTGAACGCTTGAAACAGGCTATTACACACGCTGGGAATACGCAATCCGCAAAACTATTACATGTCCACGAACACATTTACCTTTTTACATATTTACTTACCCCAGTAGTCGCTCGGTGCGATGAGATATCCCTTTTCAATCCCTGTGCAGCTGCTACTCTCCCAACCGTTTGGATAGGAGTGGGATATGATAATACGTGGACAACTGAAATAAACGAAAGGTTTTTTTTCTTTTTTTTCAGAATAAGTAATCAAACAACAGCCCTATATCGCATTGGGAATTGAGGCGGTCAGCTAGTCTTTCATAGTTTTACACTAAGAAAGAACTTCAATGCGTTAAACTATAATAAATTGGGGAAGTGTCGAGAATTTGTGACGGTTTATGGGTATAGCTTGACATGTGGAACGATTTCCCTTATCGCCACGCTAATTGGTGTTCCAGCTCTGTGCTATATTGATGTCAACTTCATTCTTTCAACGAGAAGCACTTTTTGTTGTTTAAATAAACACCCAAATTCCATAGCACTGTTTTCGTGGTACATGCGCTTTCTAAGATTGCCTTTTGGTATTGCTGTTTGATATGCAACAATCAAGTAGGGCAAAAACGAGTAATGGAAAAAAAAAAAGTTAACTTACTTTCCCTGATGACATGTTGAGTTGAATTTGTTTTGCCCACTGGGTATCTTAAAAGTAAGAAAAAAACGAGATTAATTCATAGTATGATCGTGACGAGCTTAATTTTACTTTTTCATATTCTTAAACTAACCACTTAAAAATTCATGCTCTTTCTATCAACGACATGCTCTGATTCCATAAAAAAGGAAACGAGATTGAAGTAACAGCTTTAATTCATCTTAGAAACATTCTGTGTTCAATTATTCGCTCATCGTATTGGTTTTGAATAAATTTCGTTACCTTCCAGCTTCGATACATGTTCATGAAGTCGTCTTCCGTAAAATAAAGTATGGAATAAATGATCAAATAAATGAGTATCAGACATTTACCCGATAAAATACTGTATGCAAGAAAGTGCCATCACTTTGTAACACATCGACCCTAAAAGTTCCTGGAAGAACGCAAAAATACATTTGACTGCAATGCAAAGAAGTGTTTCGTTACCCATTATAAAGTGATTTAAGTGTATACCCTTACATTTTCAAGACAAAATTTTGATATATAGATGTAAGACCGATCGTGTCTGAATGTTGTTACCATAACAATAGTGAATAACTAATCTCGCTTTGTAAAGTCATAGCTGAATACACAGCCTTCTCCTTCACTTGACAAACCCACTCAGATAATAATTCCAAACCAATATTTCAGGAATAGAAAACCTTTATATGCATTGCTGTTAACCTGTTAGCTGTTTTAAGTAGTAAAGTAAATAAATAAATAAAAAATTATAAAAATAAATAAATAAAAACAGGAGACATTTTGTCATTTAGAGAAAATTTTCAATTGATTTATCAGATCGTTGAAAATACCAGTTATTTCTGCTTGTTTCACTGATCACTTTGTTAACTGACTAAGGTCTAGCTTGGATGAGTTTCGCGAAGCGCCGGCCGCTTTACGAATCGTAGAAGACTAATCTTTACAATCTGCAATTGATGATTGGTGATTCCCGTTATCGTTGAGCTGCAAAAATGCAACATTGAATAGGGAGGGGTCTTGACAATGATTTATAATGAGTTACAAATAAGAATGTTATAATGCACATGAAAAGAGCTATTCAAACACAATATGTCAACTCAGAATGTGGATTGATTAAATCCACAATATAGGCGCTCTTTATGTCATACTGTTATTACCATGTTTGTTATTATTATCATTATCGCTATTTGTCTTTTTTTCATATTCACCTTCTTCCTTTGCTACTTCATGTATATCACTGTCACTCAACTTTCTGCCCTGGTTCTTGTGCGTAAAAGGAACGCACAGTACGGAGTTGAGACAGTTGTTGGCTGCGTTTTGAAGATGATCGTTGTTCTTGGAGCTGATACTCACGGCTAAGGTCCATCCACCGCCTGCATAAAATCAAAATACAAAATGTAGCCGCATTTCAGTTTATAAACGTTGTCTTTGTTCGATAAATATAAACGCGAGCTGAGAAAACTGTAGATAGGACGCTTACTCGGTGATAAACTTTCCGATAGCATTAAAAGGGAATTTCACGATTTCACGCTTAAGAAATTTGATGTAGGTAGCCTTGCTGGTAACGTTTCTTAGAGCAAGAAGGGGGAAAAAAGAAAAACAGTAAATGAATAAATGTGTAAATGAGAAACAACTAAAACCTCAATATATACCTTTATTTGTTCATTTTTTAAATTGAAAAGGTACTCAAAGGCTCCATCTCTGACAAAAGTGACAATTCAACCTCAGTGCATTGGCCGAAATCTCAACTAAAGCAACACTGCCACTGAGCAAAAACAGTAACAGAACTTGTAACCTTTCTCTCTTACCAGAGGCAGATTTAAGGTTTTTTTTTTTTTTTTTTTAAGTACAATTTACTCTTTGCTTTTTATTTTATCCTTTTGTACATACCATGTTTTTCCATATCACAGTAAACTTGCGCGTCTCTATTTCCAATAATTATCCAATAGTAGCCGCTTTCAGCATAAGGCAATTCCTTTAGAATTTCTGAACAAGATTTGAATTCATCATCCTGTGGATTATAGATTATAGATGGTTATTGGCAGAAATAACCATCATAGATTATGGTCACGTACTCATAGCGGTCGGATTAGTGATGGGTCCTTCATCGTCAACATGCTATGCCTCTGTTTCTTACTTTGAAGCAATTTTTACTCTCTTAATACACGACTGACCCGGGCCTCTATCAACGGCCACCGTTTTGTGGAGGTTACCTATGCTAAGGAGGCTCTTTTCTATCAAAGTTCGCGACAACATATTATCCGACATGGCGCATGTACTACTCGCCCGAAAGGCTGCTTTGCCATGAGAATTACTCGCTACCCAAATTTTGACCTCCAGGCTACAGCGTCTCCTGTCCTGCGGTGATGTAAGCACAAATCCTGGACCGGTCGGTGCATTTTATTCAATATCAAATCCTTGAAAAATATTCTTAGCATTTTTCTGTATATTTTAGCGGGGACAACTCTGTAACTTTTAACTTTTAAATTTTAACTTTTGATAAATTTTAGATCTTTAGTGAATTATGAATTTGCCTTATAATACCCTGTATAAACTCATTTTATAATTGTTTTTTCCCATTATTTTTTAGTGTTCCCAAATAGCTCTCTCTAAGCTGAAGACATCGACACTTAATAAATAAGGTTGTTATGTTGTGTTTTGATATGTTATTGACTACATGGCTTCGTTTATTCAATCATTTATTTATTCACGCATTTGTTTATTTGTTTACTTATTTCTCTGTTGCTAATATTTGGGAGCCCCGCGTACCACGCCCTATTTTAACAAACAACCATCCAAGAAAGATGGTTCGTCAATAAACAAATGCATCTTATATAATAATTGCAAAATGTTTCGGTTATTCGGGAAAGGATGTATCGCAATCGTGAAACAACGAAGCCTAATACAAGAGTATTTTTTCTTCTCAAGTTTGGACAAAAGGCCGAACCAGAGGCAGAAATCTCACTTTTTAAACCGAAAAGGATAGAGATTTTATTAATCGAACCTGAAATTTTGAATCGTACGTGAGGAACACATTAAGATACTGCGAGGTCATTTTCTGATTCTATATGTGAGCCAATCACAGGCGGCAAAAGTGAGACGACAAATGTATGAAAACATTATCGTCTCTCAAGTCAGCATGACTGTGGGAGGATTACGGATTTAGAAATAAATAGCATAATTTTTCGATATGTACTGCCAGATAACCATTATTTCGTTTAATTTCTTTTTATAGAATTCGCCAATACCATACCTTGTTCATATAAACTGATCCTTCTTTCGTACCAAAATCCCTTGAATGAGTACGTTTGTTTGCAGAATTCAAGTCACATGACTTATCTTTTAAACGAAAGTTCAAACTCTTGCAGCGAGACTCGTTCAAGCAAAACATCACACACTCGGTAATGCTGAAAGTTTTACTTGTTGTAATAACGTGACCGGAAAGATGATGACCATACTCTGAATATGTGGGGCGAACGCACTGCGCAATGGCTTGGGTTAGCTGTGCATGGCACATGACGATGAACACACCAAAATAACGCAGATGCATGGTTTTCTACTGAAAAGATAAAAAAACAAAAATTTGATTGAAATAAACTAAATACTCAATACATAAATTGTGATTTATTTCATCATTGCCTAAGCGCGAGCGTGAATACATAGAATATTTTTGAGGAATTCTCGCCGGCTGGTGCAGCCAAACTCAGCGTACCATGACCGTTGGAAACTTTTCAAAATAATATAGTTCCTCATAGTGTACTTACCGTAGGCGTGGCACCTTTGAGGTCCTCCACAGGAGCTTGCAAGATTCGAGCACAGATTACGAGAAGTAATTGACAACGGATAGTGAAATCCAGTTAGAGTGTTTTTAATATACGGGAATTAATGCTTCAAGGGAAAAGTGCAAACAATTTTGCTCTTAACGTCTCAATAAAGTAAACAAGGCAAAGAACCTCTTCATGGGCACATGATACCTATCGCTCAAAACATATCATTAAAAATTAACAATGTCATATTATCCACCTACGTCCTGTGAAGACGCATTTTTCTAGAAGTGTGTCGGTTACTCTGTTAGTTTGGTTCTTTGTTTTTATTTTTATTTCATGTTTTTTTAAGGAAATCATTGCTGGCTATTGGAATCACCACGTATAGTGTGATAATACGGAGTGTTTTAATGAAAAATCTGCATTCGTCGCAGATTTTCCACACATTATTAATTATTTCTTTAGTAAATTAAATTAGAAGTTATATCATTTTTACTCTCCCGGTTTGAAAAGTTTATATCTATACCTTCACCAGTTCACAAAGAAAGTGAACAAAGGTTGTCAGATACGGTGAAACGAGATAGTTTTAAAGCAAATTTTACTGATACAAGAAAAAGTAGCACTAGGTATGGGTTCAGCCAGAATGAAAAACTTCAGCTCAAATGTTTGTTTTGCAGCAATACATATTTAAAGAAACAGGTACGAATTCTCAGAAAACAAAAGGATTGAAAAACGTTTTCAAATGAACACTTTCGACCAGTGTGCTTTGAATTCTCTCAAAGCACGGCTGCATGCAAGCTGAAAATTATCTCGAGACAATGAATCGCTTTTGTTACTGAAACTAGAAAGGAAGTTGCTAGTCATAAATAAATAATATGAAATAGTGTAGGTTCAAACCATTTACTGTAAATAATATGAATTTGCATTAAACCTAAAGCATACTCCAATCAGTACAGTTAATCCAACTCAAACCTTGTAATAAACCTAATTTATATACTTTTCATTACTCAAAACCACAGGCTATCTCCTCTAAAGTTTATGTTGTGAACTTGGCTAGCTTAAACACTGGAATTTTGCTGTGAACTTATTTCTAAGTTATGTATAATTGCCCTTTATTCATATGATTGCTATTTTTTGCTCTAGTATTTTCTACTCGTAGTCTGGTGGAATAAAAGATGGTAACACACAATATACACGGCGCCCGACCGTCAAAACGGTCTGTATAGTAAATATTTACTACTGAAGAAATAAATACGAGAAAAATATTTTATTTTATCTCCCACTGTCATTGTTATTTTCTTTTTCTTTTCTTTTCATTTTTTATTTTAAATTGGATTGAAATAAACTTAATACTCAGGGCTTAAATTGTGATTTATTACATCATTGCCTTAACGCGAGTGTGAATACGTAGAAGATTTTTAAGCAATTCGCCGGCTGGTGCAGCCAAATTCAGCGGACCGTAACCGTTGGAAACTTTTCAAAATAATATAGTTCCTCATAGTGTACTTACCGTGGGCGAGGCACTTCTCAGGTCCTCTACTGGAGCTTGCAAGATTCGAGCACAGATCACGAGAAGTAATTAACAACGGATAGTGAAATCCAGTTATATTGTGTTGTTAATGTTAATTATCAATATTAAATTATTAATTATAGTGAATATTGTTATTATTCTTCCTTCGAAGAGTGCAAGCAATTTTGCTCTTAACTTCTCAATAAAGTAAACAGACAAAGAACCTTCATCTAAAAATTGAACGTATGATAACTATTGCATAAAACACTTCATTAAAAATTAACAATGCCATTATCCACTTGACATTACATGAGTCTCTGAATTTTTGTATTTTCAACCTTAGCCAGTGAACATGAAAATTAAATTGTTAAAATTTGCGGAAAGTTACAGTCAATGTGATGATGCTGATAATCAGTTGGTGGGATGATGGATTAGTACATTGCATGTATGATAGGCTCATGGTCCAGTTTTCGATAACTTGATATGTTCAACGAATCGATAAAAATTTCAAGCAGGTCTCGTCAAGGAAATAGAACAATATTGCACTTTGACGATGAAGTTTTTCTTTTTCAAACCAGTAGTTTACTCCTTTTCAATAACGCATCAGAATAAATTTTTGGGAAGAGACCCAATATTTATTGGCCAGGCGTCTAACAGTCTATTTCGCAACATCTTACTGAATGCGAGCAACGTAAACATGTTTGCATATTTGTTCATGTCGGGGTCGAAATTCGGAGAAAAAAAAGCTCACCGAAGAGAGAAAATAACCATTTTCACTGAATGAGAAATCCATTTTGACTTAAGTATTAAACATATTTATGAAATCTATTGAGTGCCAGCAGCCATTTGCCCAATGGAAGCACCTATTTGCTTAATTTAGTCATCCTGAGCCAGAAAAACGTCAATGGCTTGACCTGCACATATATAATATAAATTTGCATGTATACTCCAATCAGTACAGTTAATCCAACTCAAACCCTGTAAAAACCTAATTTATATACTTTCTATTACTCAAAACCACAGGCTATCTCTTCTAAAGTTTATGCTGTGAACTTGGCCAGCTTAAACACTGGAATTTTGCTGTGAACTTGTCTCTAAGTTATGCATAATTGCCATTTATTTAATATATGATTGCATTTTTTTGTTCTAGTATTTTCTACTCGTAGTCTGGTGGAATAAAAGGTAGTAACACACAATATTCACGTCGCCCGACCGTCAAAAAGGTCTGTATGGTAAATATCTACCACTGAAGAAATAGATACGAGGAAAAGATTTCATATTTATACTTGGTCGCTTATGCGCTTTCTTTTTCTCTCACTGTCATTGTTATTTTCTTTTTTTTTTTTCTTTTTTTTTCATTTTTTATTTAAAGAATAATCGATATTCAAAAAAAGAAAATTATGTGGCGACGCAATCGAAAGTAATGACTATTAGTCGCGAATCTGCGTGGTGAAGATAAGCGTTAGAAAAAAAAGACAAAACACAAACACAAAGCCCACTAAAGGGGACATTTGCTTACGGTGATCGTTACATGAAGTACGCTGTCACTGCGCTTGCGTTGTGTTTAAACATGGCGGACCGGCCGAAACGAATGTCGAGTGCGCCGAAACGGTTTGTGGATGATTTCGATGAGATGGGCCCTGCTAATGTTGGTAGAGTGGGAAAGCGACGAAAGATAGACAAAAATTTGTATGAAGTCAATATTGTAGACGTGAATAATGAGTGAAAACAGATAAAAATTCACTTCGTGGGTTTCAGCGAGGAATTTGATGAGTGGTGCAACTATGACTGCGAGAGGGATTACTTTCCTTTTGTTAGATTAGAAAAGATGGAGGATCGATGGAAGACAGGAAAAATATTTTTCACGGTCAGTTGTATCGTGCTATCAAGCGAAAGCTATGGTCTGGTCGAAGGGATGACCCTGAGGTACGAATTGAAATGAATGTCGATCCAGATGTATTTTCCACAGGACTTGCAAGTCACTCTGAGCACTTCACAACGAGGAAAAGATGTTTACAGCGCAACTGACAATCGACTTTTAGATGGTGTTCTTGGTTCAAAGTGGGACGAGAGAATTATGAATTCTAGTGGCGATTTTGCATATGTGGAGAAAAATACTGTTAGATTCTGGATAACAAAGAAAACCCCGTGTAAATATACAAGAATACAAATATATTGGTGGCAAGTATGTCAAATGCGAGGTTGAGGATGCGTATATGCTTGTCTTTACTTTTGTTGGAGGTGATGGGAATAGAAGGCAGTGTATGGAAAGATGCTAAATGATTTATTATACAACATTATTGTCTTTTTGACAAAAAAAAATTGGTTTGCAAATATTTACATTGTAATCCATGTTAAAATAATTCTGTATGGGTTACCTAATAGATCATGATAATATATTTAAATATCGTGCTGATTATTGCAAATAACATTTGTTTTTCTAAGGCATGATTATAACTGGTCTCAGTTACTGATATGGATTGATATTTAAGAATTTAAAAACTATGAAAGTGAAACTGAAAGTGAGCCATCAGATCGTCCAGAAGGACAAGCATTGGTAGCTGTAATGTAAAATCACTTTACAGTGTGCATTTCTGCACCCACTTTCTGTCTACTTTCTCAAGGTGTCCAAAGCAGATAGCATAATCATAAAGTTTGCATTTCATTGTACATGTCTTGATAGTATGACCATGATCTTGGCAGTTGGAGCATTTGTTTGATTTCTTGACTCTTTCACAACCAGCAGCTTCCAGGAATTGAACTCTTTGTTTCTTCATAAACAGTTGCTCTAGTGCAGCAATTCCTCTGGTTTGAAGACCCAAAGTAGTCTTTAGAGGGGATGTTGCTATTTTTTTCCATGCCTTGCTGGTTGAAATGTGCTACATTGATATACAGTTTCAAATATTCTGGATTGTGATGGTAGAGAGCATGCATGTAGGGTGTCACATCTTTTGCTTGATATAGAGAGAGGAATTGTTGTAACCATGATTTTATTTTTGCGGTAAGGGATGCAATTGGCTCATCTGTAGGGAAGTCAAGTTTCAGATCCTCAATAATTTCCATAAAATCATTCCAAAGTTTTTCTAATTTCTTGTGATCTTCAAAATTTGGAAGGAGTGCCTGAATATTAATATTTTGGATGACATGGAGCTTTTCTGGTCCAGTGAGATCCCTGTATTCAAGCTTTTTTGTGTTTGACTCCACTCTCCATTCAAATGAAATTCCTGTCTGCCTAAGAAAATGTTCATAACCAGCCATGTGTTTATATTTTTCCCTGTTGAAGCCACAAGGAAACGTTTTCACCTTATCGATAGCATCCTGCCTTTTCAGTTCCCTAATGAGGAGCTCAAATAAATTGTCAAAAATCCTCAGGAATAAGTGTAGGGTTGCAATGATTACATGATCCATTGGAATAAAATCAAAGAGTGGGCATGATTTACAGTTATATTTCTTTGCTCTTGAATGGTTAGCAATTTCCTCACATGTCCTTGCCCCATAGTGCCTATCAATAAGAGACCAGGTTTTTGTTACATTATACCTTTCTTCCCTTGGACATTTGCTCCAAATTCAAGCGTAATCTTGGTTTGCAGCACCTAAGCTACAAATGCAAGCCTGGAATTTCCAGTCACCACCTATGAAGTACTCAATCTTGTACTTAACATTGTCAACCTCAATTTCATTTAACTGAGCCATTTCAGTTTTAATATCTGAAAGACTTTCTTTCAGATTGTCATAGGTCTCTTTTGTTTTGATAATTGCCAGCACATAGTTCCCCTTTTCACTCATGGCATTTTCCTTTTCATTTAAGATGGTATAAGTGAAGTTCACTATCTTGAGTCTCTTTCCAATGTTGGTGCCATCTTCACTCATATTAACCCTGACTGTTTCTTGTTCGCCCAGATCTCCTTTAATTTTAAGCCTTTGAATTTTTCCTTCAGGCTATCCTTCAGGGAAATTTGAACTCCTTCAGCTTTACCTGGGGTGGGTTTCAACTTCCATTTGACATTTAAATCTGTAATATTCTTTTTTATCTTGTATGCATTTGGCATATCAGTAGCCTTCATAACTAACTCTTTCCAAGCTTAGTCAGAAATGTTATACTTATCCTTTATGTAAATTCATAGATTAATATCATCAATTTCATCACTGTTCAGTGTTTTAGGGTTGCTTTCAGTAGATGGAAGTTCATTTTCATCAATGAAGTGAGTCATACTCTTGGGTTTCAGCATTAAATATCTCCACCTTGGTTGCTATAAAATCATACTCTCCCATAAAAGGGAGTGTTGAATAACATCTATCCTTAAGTTGTGTTTTAATTCTAGATTGGTGCCTTTGTGCATATTCACTGAAGCTCTTATTCTTTTGTGGGCCTCTTAAATTTTTCTTATTCATGCTGGCAACCTTTCTGGCCAAATCCTTAAATCTCTACTTGTAAAAACCACTAGACTTTTCTGATTTGGCAAGAGCTTGCTGGAATTTTTCCTCCATTTTGAGCCTTTTTGCCACTTCATTGACAACATTCTCCTCAAGGACTCTTTTCTGCCCCCGAACTTCCTTATTCTCTTGCAGTAAAGAGGCTTTGTCCAACTCTTGATAGTACACCGTGAAGGCATATGTTGTTGATTTCCACTAATCAAGCAGCCTACGGACGCTCGCACCTCCCTTCTTTTTCATGGAATCAAATTTGCTCTTTAGTAACCAATTTTTTTTTTCTCCTTTGAAATGGTATGAACTAAATAGCTGCGAGAATAAATACAAGAAGCAAGGCAAAATTATTCAATTTCAGAAATTTCTAGTGATTGACCGCCTCAAAATATAATTACATATTTAAATAATTTTACTTACTTGTTGATTTCGTAAATATACGAAGAACAAACCCGGCTGAACTTCACGTTTGAATCGCCATTTTCACCTTCAAAGTGGTCTCCTATTGCAGACACCGTCACGCAGCAAGCAAAAAGAAAGCAGGGAACAAGATAGAGTACATTCGAAGTCATTTTGCTATGCCACAATCGGCGCAAACTCCATCAAATTAAATATCAAAATGTGCTAAATTTATTCCCCTTTTAAATCTGGCGGTACATTTTCATTCAAAGCATGCGCTGTCAAGCTAACCCAGTTTTCCTCGATGAAATCCCGCGTTTCCGCATTTCTTAAATGTGACCGAAACATAGAGCTTCATGTTTCCGCCACACTTACGTTTTGCGGAAACGTGTTATACCAAGTCTTAGCGATTCTATCAAGTTTCCGTCATATTTCCGTAACGGAAATGTCAAGTCATGTTTCCGTCATATTTAATTCCGGACGTTCCCGCTGTTCTTCGTTTCCGTTATGTTTCTGCAACGGATTTTTAATATCCTTGTTGAATCTTTGCAATGAAAAAAAAATCAAACCAAAAAAATGAAGAATTAAAAACCGAAGCTTATACAAATTTACGAGCATGCTTTCTTAATATTTCTCATTTTTCTGTTCTTTTAATAGTGTAAAACAGCTACAGATTGTGGTCAGCTTGTGGTTTATGTACAGAAATATAGAGCCACACTACTGATTGTTACATAGTACATTTAACATGAAAAACACGAGAATAGAGATTGTATAAACTACACCGACAACCCACAATTCCTCTATTAGCTCTGAGCCCGTCTCCTACAGAAACTCTTTACAGTGGCCAATTTGCATTATTAACTAATTTCATAACACCAGATTATCTTGTTATACCCCCAACAGCGCAGCACCACTGTTAATAGCCCCTACCCCTCTCAAAACAGTCAAATTTCACTTTGTTGCCGAGTTAGATTAAATCTGCAAGTGGCGCCAAAGCGGAATAAGCACACCAGTTGCAATTACACATGCAGCCCTTGTTCCATTCTTTTCAGTTCTAAAACTTTACATTTTTACCTTAACGGACACGCGCAAATTTCATACAATAATTAAATTTTAGTTTGTAAATAGCTTAAAGTTTGATTACTTTTGTGTACCTCGCGTGTTTGGTTGCTGTCCGCCCTTTTAACCTCTTTGATTTTCAGTCCCTTCGTGTTTACTCTTATGACCTATGGGAATTCTAATCAACATTTAAATAACTATTATCAATCATTCTTTTGTAGTTGTCCGCGAATAATTGTTTCTCATTCTTATCCATATACTTGGGAGACGAATCACTGCAAGTATTGACGTGGGATATCACATTGCACACAGATGTCATAGTGGTTAGTAAAATCGCAAAGGGTTATTTTGTTTTTGGACATGCATATGTAATAATAATGGTAATAATAATAATCATTATAATAATAATTAAAACAATGATAATAATAATAATAAGCATAATTATCCCCTAATCCAAAAATAAACAAAAACAAAACAAAAAAAATGTAATTGAAAAAGAATTAAACAACAACGACAAAGCCATTGCAAAAGGTGGAGAGGTTGATTCAATTCGATGGCAAGTTTGGACTCTGAGGGTATTAGGAAAAGACTACTTGCTTATATGAATTATGCTGTTTACTTTCCCATACGATCGTTTCTTTTTCATTCCCTTCAACAAGCAAATCATTATTTTTACGGTGCTAAGCTTATACAACTGCTGTGTTTTTTTATTTTCTTCGAATGGCACGATTATTCTGCTGTAAATTTTCCAAAACCAAGATGTGGGCTGTCCTCGGTCTCAGGTTGTTTAATTTTGCTACCATTTGGCCAGTGTTTCCGTCATCTGTGTTCCAAACCGTCACTGAAATAGTACCAATAGCGAGATCAAACATGATTAGAGATGATCAAAAGAAAGGTTCAGGCTTAAAACGCCGACCCAATTTCTCTGCAAAGCACGAGGCGACAAGAGGGTCCCCTATAACCCTTTTCGGGAAGGGTATGTTATTCAATCTCTTTTCATATAGAGAAATTTCTGACTTGACATAGTTTTTGAAAATTATGTCTTTCCTTTTTCACTTTTTTGACTTATTCTAGTGTTGGATGGACACGACGATGGGGAGTGTGGCTATCGATGGTTGTCGTCTAGACTCCAGGAATACGGTGCGTGAGTAGATAATAAGATGACAAAATGTTCGACTGAGGGGAAGAATATCTGCTCAGCTAAGGCGTGATTTTCGATTTGTAGGAGGTGTGGTAGACTTCTAAGAATCTATGCACGGTGTTTATAAAATAATCAGACAAGCCTCCGTCATGCGTTTCCGCTCCGCTCTCTCTATATTTTGAATAATGTGGAAGCACTGGAGCTTTGATATAATAAGATAAAGTTAATAAATATCATTGACTTTACTATTCATGGTAGTCGATATATAAAGTCATATACATTGAAATTAATAATGGTAATAGGACCGAGTGGATTCCGATTCGGTCTGCAATCATAGGAGTGATAAACAAAATCGGACGACCGCGAAGCGGGAGTCCGATTTTTTTTGTCTGACTTGTTAATCACTTTGGATAGGTGGTTGTTGCTATGGTTATTTTGGTCAGATGTCCGATTACAGCCAACTGTCCGATTACATTGTCCGATTGCAACTGTACAGAATGATTAGTGAAAAATGAAGCAGCGAATGCATCAATAATACTTGAGGAATTTGTAATGGCTATGATTATGGTGGTAGTCAGTATCACATACATGAAATCCAATATGTCCCGAATATAATTCATCCCAGTGCGTGCACTGTATTCTTGTGGAAAGTAAACCCGGAGCAAGAGAAAGCTCTAATTAAAGTTGGATTGATATATCAGTCGGTAGATCATCCTAGCCGCTGTCATATTTCCTCATATTCATGCATTTAGGGTGTTAAGCAACTTAATTGAAATGGAGGCCGACTCGAAAACTTAACAGTTATTCAGCCTCTAGGCTCTTCACTTGTACTATTTCTTTAATATTTTCTGAGTATTTCCTTTATTAAATTTATAACGTACAAGAGTGAGTAATTATAAACTGACATACTATGCTGAGTATTAGTACCCGGGTTCAAGCCCTCCACCCTGTTATCACTAGATTTATTCTCAGTTGTTCACCTCCTTGGCCGCGCTTTGTATATCGCTGACTGGTCTGCAACCTGCCAATTACGGTTTTTAAACGACACTTCGTATTTTAAAGCCGTAAAAAAATAGAACCTGGAAAAATAAATTCTATCCGTTTTATTCATTCATTGGGTCAAGAGAGGATTAAATGAGGATCAAACGAAAAGAATGAGTAACTTATTACCTCTCGAGTAACTTGAATCATTATATTTATTTCTGTCATATTTACATTTATCAATGTATAAAAATTTATTAGAATCTCTTCATCTGGCTTTTGGATAAAAACAAGAAGATTCATTTATTTCGGGCGTTGCTTGAGCAATTTTCTATCTCAAACGATTCATTGTTGTCGTCTTTTTGTCAAAAGAAGGATGCGCACGCAATAAGGAGAACATGGACAAAATTTTCCCTAGTCACTATTCATTATATAGAACAAAATATTTAACATAAGATAATTCTCTTTAGTGAAATCAATGTCCAATTCAACTGAGTTAACAGATATCAAATAACAAAACTGTCTAATGCTGATGAACATGAAACGTTGACTATGATCACAATCAATGTTAATGTGTAAGCACTGAATGCGTTCACATTCGTCATAAACAGTGACTGTAATTCATTATACCCGAGGTGTCTCCTTTGAATAAGCAAAATAGTCTGACATTTGTCAGGGTAAAATTTGCAAAAAGTCACTATTGCGTATTCGACGTTAAACAAACAGTAACAGTAACAAAGAGTTATTACAAAATATGCCACTGGGAAGTAAGTTCCATTTAAACAAACATCAACAAATATATGACTGAGACTAAAATGAACACAAGACTTGGTGTCATCAGGAGAAATGTCACTGAGTGCATTCGCATTTGACATAAACGGCAACTTTTTACAGTAACGCCCACTAGATAGGTTTTTGTAGGCCTTCACTGAAAAAAAAAACTGTTATAACAGTTACAGGTATTTTTATTAACTCAAAGAGGGGCAACACCATGGAGGTGCTTCTTCTTCTGCCTTCACTGTTTAGCTCTTCTTGTACTGTGAAATAGAATCATAATTTGTATTACATGCAAATGAAGTTAGTAGTTTATCATGCCCCAGTGGTGTGGGAGTTTATTAACATTTGTGACAAGTCAAGTCAAATCTTCACCTTGTCTGGGTGTGTGTATGTTTGTGAGGGGGTGGGGAGATTGAGATATCAATATTATTGATCAGTGCACAACTTTGAAGTAGAAGGCTGATAAGAAATAGTAAGGGGTCGTGATGGTTTAAACAATGGTTTTCTGTTAATATGTTGTTGTTAATGGTAAAATGACACAAAGGTAGCCAGCTAAAGTTAATTGACGAGCCAGTGATTTTGGCTTGCTGTGACAACTCACAGGCATCTGCTTAGGAGTTAGTTTCAATGCACCCTCAAATACAGAACCTGGCCTGGAGGGGTGCTAGGTATGAAACAACCAAATGCTAACCTTTTCTTCCTCAAATTTCTCAACTACACTTTCCTCCACTCCTCGTTGTCGTAGAAAGTAAAACCTGTAAATGCATCAACAACAACATCATAAGATAAAAACTAAAAGTACAGGTTAGTATTGTTTAAAACAAACTGCATTTCATGATAATGTTATTTTTTATACAATCATTATTCATGTGCCCACCAGAAATCAACTGGTCCAAGGTTGAACATCTCACTAAGATCTTCCGAGATCTTATGACGTATACTACTTACAAGATTTTGCACTGATTAGGTAAGATCTTGAGCGATCTTCCTCCTGTTTTAGCCTTTTTCGCGTTTACAACTTGAAATGTTGAAACGATTTTTTGCTTAACTTTTGACCTAAATACAGGACTAGATATTTATTAAGAGTATTATTATACTTGAATTTTCTTGTCAGCGTAAAATAAAGTAAGAATCAAGCTTGTTCTACCTGTTGTGGTTTTCGAGCATAGCCTGGTTTTGTGTTTTCGACGGATAATTTACACTGTCAACGCAGAAAAAAAGCGAAACAATAAAACTAGCTGCCTTCCATCTATTAATTTTCTCAGTTCGTTAACGAATACGACAGTATTCAGAACTAAATTAAATACTACTTACTTTCTCTAGATCGGAGTCAGACGAGTCAGCCATCTTGCTTACAACTATACGTGCTCGTAGTTTGAGCCCACAATAAAACTAACAGCGTTCTACAAATGAGCGCTTGAGAAAAAAGTCGCGCCAGCGAAAAAAAGTCGTGCCAGCAAAAAAAAGTCGCGCTAGCAAAAAAAAAAGTCGCGCCAACAAAAATACAGTCGCGCCAGCGAAAAAAAGTCGCGCCAGCAAAAGAAAGTCGCACCAGCAAAGAAAAGTCGCGCCAGCAAAAAAAGTCGCGCCAGCAAAAAAGAAGTCTCGCCGCAGGTAAGAAAGTGTGCGCCAAAATATGACGCACACATGTATGATGCTGTACGCACACATGTATGGCACTTACAAGGCTCCGTATAAGTACCAGTCTTCATTTTGAGTCTGCAAGGAGGCTTTGGAGTGTTTTAGGGGTTTGCTTCATTTGAGAAATTCTCTTACCCCTAAAATCGGCAGATAGACCACCCCCACGGTTTTTCTTGGTTTTCACCAAGGAAATCGCCTCAAAATAATTAGTGAAATTAGTGAAACAAATAGTGATAGAAAAGTTTCAGTACTGGTCATTGACTTTTCATAGCCTACTTCCAAATCTGATGGAACGCGCTGAGGGAATTGCAGTCATAAAACAGGCAAATAAAATAACAGAAGGATCAAGAACTTTTTAGAAGTGTTTTCTCGTAAAGAAAATATAAACAATTTTTACTTCTCATGAAAGGTCACGCAGTCACGTTACAAGTTCTATTTCTGCGTGGACTTTCTTAATGGTGGAAAGTGGGAAAACCATTTTCCAGTCTTATTTTCTGGAAACATGGCGCAATTAACGAATTTTATGGGGCTATTGATATTTCCTTTCAAATGAATTGCATGGTGAAATGATCAGTGGCGTTAATGGATCACTTAGGGACCGATATTTTATTAACTTTATGAATAAAAGGACAAGTTTTGCATTTTGCCGCGAAATTTGAAAGTATCAGGTTGATTATTAGATTGTAGTAACTTCTGACCAAAAAGAAAGTTGCCTATGTTTTTGCTGCGTTTGAATGAAACAAGTGGAGTTTACAAATCTCTTGAAAGATTAGTGAAACAACCTCTCAATCGCCCATGTATTTAATGATTATTGATTTTTCATGTGTTCATTTACGTATATATTTAACATTTAATTAGTTTGTTAACAAAGGTACTGATTTTCTTTGTTTGCTTTTTTCCGTTGGTATCACAAGTTTTCTACTTTTTGTGCACTTAAGGGATCTGTTAGTATTACGTACCTTCAGTCATATCTAATGAAAGTTTCCCTTCGCCTGAATTGTTTATCCCCAGCCTGATGCAATCTCAGTTTAAATTTGATGTTGAATGCTCAATTGAACGAGGGCATTAAACATAAACCATACTTCACTCATTGCAGTGAAATTCTCCTTCAGCTCTCAGTTAAAACAGATAGACTTTCGAGTATTCAAACCTACATACTGCTTCTCTTAACCCTTTGACTCCCATGAATGACCGAGACAGAATTTCTGATCCCCTCACAATATCCTTCCGATATCAAGTACAAAAGCGATGAGAACAAAGAAAAATAGCATTGAGAGGATTATTTAGTTGATCCAATACCAAATCCTCTATACTAACATCATAAGAATTGTATGGCAGACAGGAAGGAGAATTAATGATAAGATCTTGGGATCTTATATTTATCCTACCTTCTTTTGTAGATTAAAGGTGAATGAGCGCACGCGGGGTATGAACGTTTGGGTGGAAACGGTCCGTATGGCAGAATCCCTATCACGAGAGAACTTAAATTCGACACACGGAGTTAACTTAAAATAAGTTTGCTATGAAATGTAGTGCATGGTGCCTGACTATAGATGTTTTCGCCTATAAACGACTGTTGTTAAATCAAATCATTTCCTAACGGAGCTGGTGGAAATTTTAATGAAATCTGAACGACGTTAAAACTTCGCCTTAAAATTATAAAAATAGCATTATTTATTGGCGAATGCCTCCGTTTTGATTTTCTGGGCCTAGTAATGTAATAACGCACTGCGAAATAACAGAAATTAAACCAGCACCGTGGATTTGCGGTTTGTTTCGAGCATTTGTAATTCGTCCAATAAGATGGGAAAGATGGCGGATTTAACGTTAACTTAAACTGGATTTTTTCTGGTTTCCTTCTCAGAAAAGTTGCGCTTGCGCAATTCATCACTTTTAAGTTATTCTACTCTGCTAATTTAATGCATGGTTTTCATGGATTTAATGGCCGTCCCGAATCTTGGTTTTCTCTCGCTGTGTTTAGTATACGTCACTACTAAGATAAGTAAGACCTATCAATTGTATTTGCAATCATTTCTTTATTTATGTTCAAATTTTAAATTTTTTGTATTGATTTACCATGTTTTCTATTTACGTAATTAATAACTTATTCTAAATATTTTTTTTTCTTTTATTAAGTTATTTAGGCAGGAATCAATTTCCGTTATGGCGTTTAGTGCAGAGCGTTTTACAAACTTCTAACTATAATCAGTCATAGATTAATCAGTAATAGATCTGAAGTCAACTCTTAAGTCTTATAGGAATTACAAATAAATTGTTCTATCAATCATCATCGGTACATTTCCTCGGTTAATCCATAGCTCTACCACGGCGAACTGTTTATGAAAGGAGTTTTGTCCCCTTGAACGCTATGTAAGAAATAATTTTCCCCTTGATAAATTTTCGATTTAAGGTTGTGTAAATCATGGTAACTTTACATATCACATCAGATTTATCTATGCCAACACCTGTCCAATGTTTATTTAACGTACATCATCCCCGCATAGTTATTGTATATTCCACGATTTCCGCCAATTGTGTAACCATACAGGGCACGTTTTCCGTTACCTGTTTGGGATGAAATTATTAACGGAAAAGTGATATGTTTTTAACATGCCAAGCATCAAGGCTCTCTTGAATCAGATATTTTAAACCATTATCAACGAAAGTATGCTACACTCTTCGAACTACCATTGGGAAAAAAGGAAAAGGTAAGGGAAAACTAGATTAAAAAAACAAAAACAAAAGAAAAAAACAAACAAACAAACAAGCAAGAGCAAAACATAGAAAAGGTTGAGGAATAAATTGTAAAAATTCATATGGAACTGTTTCCTAGATCCATCCAAAGAAACTCGGTCTATCTGACTATTGGGGAATAACGCTTTATTTCGTTTGGTCAAGAGGAAGAAGGCAAAGATGCTAATAAATTAGCTTTAAAAAATTTACCGTAATATTTGCTTATTAATAAATGATTGTGGAAATTACTATCTCATATCTATTATCTTATTATTATTACTCACCGTATTGGGACGAAGACCAAATCGAGCCGCCGCACTCTGCGTTATCATGTCCATCAAAAACTATAGTTATTTTTGAACAAATTCGCACAATAAGTCAAAGGGTGTTCAAATACTGAAAAGTGAAACTTAATCGCTTGCATTTCCTGGCGTTACTCTGAATGGCTTCTGTTATTTATATGCTTTGCTCTGGTAAGCAATTGAGATTACTTGGCTTTTAGTTTCTGTCAGCCAAAATGCCTGGAAGATCCCCTTTGTCTTTGCAAGTACTTGCTCCTTTGGATACTCCCAAGGGTTACTACAGTCTGTGTCATCGTTTCTTCCTTCGTAATGGAAGAGAGGGTTTTACTTAAACGCCAAGCTGTTCCAGATGTTCAATAAGTAAAACAAAGCGCGATAGTAAACGGCGCAATAGTAACTGCGGAGCAAAAAGAAACGGGTCCGTGGCGGGCCCCGACTCAAGCCTTCGTTGTTTTTGGTTCCGCCTTTATCATCGTGTCGTTTAAAGATCGCACTCCGCTTTGTCACATTGAACGCTTGGAACAGGCTTTTACACACGCTGGGAATACACAATCCGCAAAACTATGACATGTCCACGAACACATTTACTTTTTTACATATTTACTTACCCCAGTAGTTGTTCGACACGATAAGATATCCCTTTTCAATCCCTGTGCAGCTGCTACTCTCCCAACCATTTGGATAGGAGTGGGATATAATAATACGTGGACAACTGAAATAAACGAAAGGTTTTTTTTCTTCTTTTTTTTCAGAATAAGTAATCAAGCAACAGCCCTATATCGCATTGGGAATTGAAGCGGTCAGCCAGTTTTTCATAGTTTTACACTAAGAAAGAACTTCAAATGCGTTAAACTATAATACATTGGGGAAGTGTCGAGAATTTGTGACAGCTTATGGGTATAGCTTGACATGTGGAACGATTTCCCTTATCGCCACGCTAATTGGTGTTCCGGCTCTGTGCTATATTGATGTCAACTTCATTCTTTCAACGAGAAGCACTTTTTGTTGTTTAAATAAACACCCAAATTCCATAGCACCGTTTTCGTGGTGCATGCACTTTCTAAGATTGCCTTTTGGTATTGCTGTTTGAAATGCGACGATCAAGTTGGGCAAAAACGAGTAATGGAAATAGTTAACTTACTTTCCCTGATGACATGTTGAGTTGAATTTGTTTTGCCCACTGGGTATCTTAAAAGTAAGAAAAAAACGAGACTAATTCATAGTATAATCGTGACGAGCTTATTTTACTTTTTCATCTTCTTAAACTAACCACTTAAAAATTCATGCTCTTGCTATCAACGACATGCTCTGATTCCATAAAAAAGGAAACGAGATTGAAGTAACAGCTTTAATTCATCTTAGAAACATTCTGTGTTCAATTATTCGCTCATCGTATTGGTTTTGAATAAATTTCGTTACCTTCCAGCTTCGGTACATTTTTCATGAAGTCGTCTTCCGTAAAATAACGTATGGAATAAATGATCAAATAAATGAGTATCAGACATTTACCCGATAAAATACTGTATGCAAGAAAGTGCCATCACTTTGTAACACATCGACCCTAAAAGTTCCTGGAAGGACACAAAAATACGTTTGACTGCAATGCAAAGAAGTGTTTCGTTACCCATTATAAAGTGATTTAAGTGTATACCCTTACATTTACAAGACAACATTTTGATATATAGATGTAAGACCGATCGTGTCTGAATGTTGTTACCATAACAACAGTAAATAACTAATCTCGCTTCGTAAAGTCATAGTTGAATACACAGCCTTCACCTTCACTTGACAAACCCACTCAGATAATAATTCCAAACCAATATTTCAGGAATAGGAAACCTTTATATGCATCACTGTTAACCTGTTAGCTGTTTTAACTAGTAAAGTAAATAAATAGTTAAAAAATAAAAAAAATAAAAAATAACAACAGGAGACGTTTTGTTCTTTTAGAGAAAATTTTCAATTGATTTATCAGATCGTTGAAAATACCAATTATTTCTGCCTGTTTCACTGATCGGACCGGACCGGCCGCTTTACGAATCGCAGAAGACTAATCTTTACAATCTGCAATTGATGATTGGTGATTCCCGTTATCGTTGAGCTGCAAAAATGCAACATTGAATAGGGAGGGGTCTTGACAATGATTTATAATGAGTTACAAATAAGAATGTTATAACGCTCATAAAAAAGAGCTATTCAAACACAATATGTCAACTCAGAATGTGGATTGATCAAATCCTCAATATAGTCGCTCTTTATGTCATACTGTTATTACCATGTTTGTTATTATTATCATTATTGCTATTTGTCTTTTTTTCATATTCACCTTCTTCCTTTGCTACTTCATGTATATCACTGTCACTCAACTTTCTACCCTGGTTCTTGTCCGTAAAAGGAACGCACAGTACGGAGTTGAGACAGTTGTTGGCTGCGCTTTGAAGATGATCGTTGTTCTTGGAACTGATGCTCACGGCTAAGGTCCATCCACCGCCTGCATAAAATTAAAATACAAAATGTAGCCGCATTTCAGTTTATAAACGTTGTCTTTGTTCGATAAATATAAAAGTGAGCTGAGAAAACTGTAGATAGGACGCTTACTCGGTGATAAACTTTCCGATAGCATTAAAAGGGAATTTCACGATTTCATGCTTAAGAAATTTTCTTGGTAGCAATAAATGTGCAAATGCGAAACAACTAAAACCTCAATATATACCTTTATTTGTTCCTTTTTTACTCCCGCGATTGTTTCCTCGACAAAATGTACAGACCTACTTTTCCCAGGAAACGCTTATACATTTTTAGCATGGGATATATCGGATACTTGGGATTGAAAAGGTACTCAGAAGCTCTATCACTGGCAAAAGTGACAATTCAACCTCAGTGCATTGGCCGAAATTTCAACTAAAGCAAAACTGCCACTGGTCAAAAACAGTAACAGAACTTGTAACCTTTCTCTCTTACCATAGGCAGAATCTAAGGTTTTTTTAAAGTACAATTTACCCTTTGCTTTTTATTTTATCCTTTTGTACTTACCATGTTTTTCCATATCACAGTAAACTTGTACGTCTCTATTTCCAATAGTTATCCAGTAGTAGCCGCTTTCCGCATGGAGCAATTTCTTTAGAATTTCTGAACAAGACTTGAATTCATCATCCTGTAGATTATAGATTGTAGATGGTTATTGGCAGAAATAACCATCATAGATTATGGTTACGTGCTCATAGCGGTCGGATCAGTGATGGGTTGGTCCTACATCGTCAACATGCTATGCCTCTGTTTCTTACTTGGAAGCAATTTTTACTCTCTTAATACACGACTGACCCGGGCCTCTATCAACGGGCACCGTTTTGTGGAGGTTACCTATGCTAAGGAGGCTCTTTTCTATCAAAGTTCGCGACAACATATTATCCGACATGTCGCATGTACTACTCGCCCGAAAGGCTGCTTTGTCATTAGAATTACTCGCTGCCCAAATTCTGACTTAACCTCCAGGCTACAGCGTCTCCTGTCCTGCGGTGATGTATGCACAAATCCTGGACCGGTCGGTGTATTTCATTCAATATCAAATCCTTGAAAAATATTCTTAGCATTTTTCTGTATATTTTAGCGGGGACAACTCTGTAACTTTTAACTTTTAAATTTTAACTTTTGATAAATTTTAGATCTTTAGTGAATTATGAATTTGCCTTATAATACCCTGTATAAACTCATTTTATAATTGTTTTTTCCTATTATTTTTTAGTGTTCCCAAATAGCTCTCTCTAAGCTGAAGACATCAACACTTAATAAGTAAAGTTGTTATGTTGTGTTTTGATGTGTTATTGACTACATGGCTTCGTTTATTCAATCATTTATTTATTCACGCATTTGTTTATTTGTTTACTTATTTCTCTGTTGCTAATATTTGGGAGCCCCGTGTACCACGCGCTATTTTAACAAACAACCATCAGAGAAATATGGTTGGTCAATAACACAAATGCATCCTATATAATAATTGCAAAATGTTTTCGGTTATTCGGGAAAGGATGTATTCACTAGTTGATCGCAATCGTGAAACAACGAAGCCTAATACAAGAGTATTTTTCTTCTCGAGTTTGGACAAAAGGCCGAACCAGAGGCAGAAATCTCACTTTTTAAACCGAAAAGGATAGAGATTTTATTAATCGAACCTGAAATTTTGAATCGTACGTGAGGAACACATTAAGATACTGCGAGGTCATTTTCTGATTCTATATGTGAGCCAATCACAGGCGGCAAAAGTGAGACGACAAACGTATGAAAACATTATCGTCTCTCAAATCAGCATAACAGTGGGAGGATCACGGATTTAGAAATAAATAGCATAATTTTTCGATATGTACTGCCAGATAAACATTATTTCGTTTAATTTCTTCTTATAGAATTCGCCAATACCATACCTTGTTCATATAAACTGATCCTTCTTTCGGACCAAAATCCCTTGGATGAGTACGTTTGTTTGCAGAATTCAAGTCACATGACTTATCTTTTAAACGAAAGTTCAAACTCTTGCAGCGAGACTCGTTCAAGCAAAACATCACACACTCGGTAATGCTGAAAGTTTTACTCGTTGTAATAACGTGACCGGAAAGATGATGACCATACTCTGAATATGTGGGGCGAACGCACTGCGCAATGGCTTGGGTTAGCTGTGCATGGCACATGACGATGAACACACCAAAATAACGCAGATGCATGGTTTTCTACTGAAAAGATAAAAAACAAAAATTTGATTGAAATATACTTAGTACTCAATACATAAATTGTGATTTATTTCATCATTGCCTAAGCGCGAGTGTGAATACGTAGAATATTTTTAAGGAATTCTCGCCGGCTGGTGCAGCCAAACTCAGCGTACCATGACCGTTGGAAACTTTTCAAAATAATATAGTTCCTCATAGTGTACTTACCGTAGGCGTGGCACCTTTGAGGTTCGCCACAGGAGCTTGCAAGATTCGAGCACAGATCACGAGAAGTAATTGACAACGGATAGTGAAATCCAGTTAGAGTGTTTTTAATATACTGGAATTAATGCTTCAAGGGAAAAGTGCAAACAATTTTGCTCTTAACGTCTCAATAAAGTAAACAAGGCAAAGAACCTCTTCATGGGCACATGATACCTATCGCTCAAAACATATCATTAAAAATTAACAATGTCATATTATCCACTTACGTCCTGTGAAGACGCATTTTTCTAGAAGTGTGTCGGTTACTCTGTTAGTTTGGTTCTTTGTTTTTATTTTTATTTCATGTTTTTTTTAAGGAAATCATTGCTGGCTATTGGAATCACCACGTATAGTGTGATAATACGGAGTGTTTTAATGAAAAATCTGCATTCGTCGCAGATTTTCCACACATTATTAATTATTTATTTAGTAAATTAAATTATAAGTTATCATTTTTACTCTCCCGGTTTGAAAAGTTTATATCTACACCTTCACCAGTTCACAAAGAAAGTGAACAAAGGTTGTCAGATACGGTGAAACGAGATAGTTTTAAAGCAAATTTTACTGATACAAGAAAAAGTAGCACTAGGTATGGGTTCAGCCAGAATGAAAAACTTCAGCTCAAATGTTTGTTTTGCAGCAATGCATATTTAAAGAAACAGGTACGAATTCTCAGAAAACAAAAGGATTGAAAAACGTTTTCAAATGAACACTTTCGACCAGTGTGCTTTGAATTCTCTCAAAGCACGGCTGCATGCAAGCTGAAAATTATCTCGAGACAATGAATCGCTTTTGTTACTGAAACTAGAAAGGAAGTTGCTAGTCATAAATAAATAATATGAAATAGTGTAGGTTCAAACCATTTACTTTAAATAATATGAATTTGCATTAAACCTAAAGCATACTCCAATCAGTACAGTTAATCCAACTCAAACCTTGTAATAAACCTAATTTATATACTTTTCATTACTCAAAACCACAGGCTATCTCTTCTAAAGTTTATGTTGTGAACTTGGCTAGCTTAAACACTGGAATTTTGCAGTGAACTTATTTCTAAGTTATGTATAATTGCCATTTATTTATATGATTGCTATTTTTTACTCTAGTATTTTCTACTCGTAGTCTGGTGGAATAAAAGATGGTAACACACAATACACACGGCGCCCGACCGTCAAACGGTCTGTATAGTAAATATTTACTACTGAAGAAATAAATACGAGAAAAATATTTTATATTTATATTTGGTCTCCCACTGTCATTGTTATTTTCTTTTTCTTTTTTTTTTCATTTTTTATTTTAAATTGGATTGAAATAAACTTAATACTCAGGGCTTAAATTGTGATTTATTACATCATTGTCTTAACGCGAGTGTGAATACGTAGAAGATTTTTAAGGAATTCGCCGGCTGGTAAAGCCAAACTCAGCGGACCGTGACCGTTGAAAACTTTTCAAAATAATATAGTTCCTCATAGTGTACTTACCGTAGGCGAGGCACTTCTCAGGTCCTCTACTGGAGCTTGCAAGATTCGAGCACAGATCACGAGAAGTAATTAACAACGAATAGTGAAATCCAGATATATTGTGTTGTTAATGTTAATTATCAATATTAAATTATTAATTATAGTGAATATTGTTATTATTCTTCCTTCGAAGAGTGCAAGCAATTTTGCTCTTAACGTCTCAATAAAGTAAACAGTCAAAGAACCTTCATCTAAAAATTGAACGTATGATAACTATTGCATAAAACACTTCATTAAAAATTAACAATGCCATTATCCACTTGACATTGCACGAGTCTCTGAATTTTTGTATTTTCAACCTTAGCCAGTGAACATGAAAATTAAATTGTTAAAATTTGCGGAAAGTTACAGTCAATGTGATGATGCTGATAATCAGTTGGTGGGATGATGGATTAGTACATTGCATGTATGATAGGCTCATGGTCCAGTTTTCGATAACTTGATATGTTCAACGAATCGATAAAAATTTCAAGCAGGTCTCGTCAAGGAAATAGAACAATATTGCACCTTGACGATGAAGTTTTTCTTTTTCAAACCAGTAGTTTACTCCTTTTCAATAACGCATCGGAATAAATTTTTGGGAAGAGACCCAATATTTATTGGCCAGGCGTCTAACAGTCTATTTCGCAACATCTTACTGAATGCGAGCAACGTAAACATGTTTGCATATTTGTTCATGTCGGGGTCGAAATTCGGAGAAAAAAAAGCTCACCGAAGAGAGAAAATAACCATTTTCACTGAATGAGAAATCCATTTTGACTAAAGTATTAAACATATTTATGAAATCTATTGAGTGCCAGCAGCCATTTGCCCAATGGAAGCACCTATTTGCTTAATTTAGTCATCCTGAGCCAGAAAAACGTCAATGGCTTGACCTGCACATATATAATATAAATTTGCATGTATACTCCAATCAGTACAGTTAATCCAACTCAAACCCTGTAAAAACCTAATTTATATACTTTCTATTACTCGAAACCACAGGCTATCTCTTCTAAAGTTTATGTTGTGAACTTGGCCAGCTTAAACACTGGAATTTTGCTGTGAACTTGTCTCTAAGTTATGCATAATTGCCATTTATTTAATATATGATTGCATTTTTTTGTTCTAGTATTTTCTACTCGTAGTCTGGTGGAATAAAAGGTAGTAACACACAATATTCACGTCGCCCGACCGTCAAAAAGGTCTGTATAGTAAATATCTACCACTGAAGAAATACGAGGAAAATATTTCATATTTATACTTGGACGCTTATGCGCTTTCTTTTTCTCTCACTGTCGTTGTTATTTTCTTTTTTTTTTTCTTTTCTTTTCATTTTTTATTTAAAGAATAATCGATATTCAAAAAAAGAAAATTATGTGGCAACGCAATCGAAAGTAATGACAATTAGTCGCGAATCTGCGTGGTGAAGATACGCGTTAGATAAAAAAGACAAAACATAAACACAAAGCCCACTAAAGGGGACATTTGCTTACGGTGATCGTTACATGAAGTACACTGTCACTGCGCTTGCGTTGTGTTCAAACATGGCGGACCTGCCGAAACGAATGTCGCGTGCACCGAAACGGTTTGTGGATGATTTCGATGAGATGGGCCCTGCTAATGTTGGTAGAGTGGGAAAGCGACGAAAGAGAGACAAAAATTTGTATGAAGTCAATATTGTAGACGTGAATAATGAGTGAAAACAGATAAAAATTCACTTCGTGGGTTTCAGCGAGGAATTTGATGAGTGGTGCAACTATGACTGCGAGAGGGATTACTTTCCTTTTGTTAGATTAGAAAAGATGTTTCTGCCCAATGGAGGACCGATGGAAGACAGGAAAAATATTTTTCACGGTCAGTTGTATCGTGCTATCGAGCGAAAGCTATGGTCTGGTCGAAGGGATAACCCTGAGGTACGAATTGAAATGAATGTCGATCCAGATGTATTTTCCACGGGACTTGCTCAAGTCACTCTGAGCACTTCACAACGAGGAAAAGAAGTTTACAGCGCAACTGACAATCGACTTTTAGATGGTGTTCTTGGTTCAAAGTGGGACGAGAGAATTATGAATTCTAGTGGCGATTTTGCATATGTGGAGAAAAATACTGTTCGATTCTGGATAACAAAGAAAACCCCGTGTAAATATACAAGAATACAAATATATTGGTGGCAAGTATGTCAAATGCGAGGTTGAGGATGCGTATATGCTTGTCTTTACTTTTGTTGGAGGTGATGGGAATAGAAGGCAGTGTATGGAAAGATGCTAAATGATTTATTATACAACATTATTGTCTTTTTAAAAAAAAAAATGGTTTGCAAATATTTACATTGTAATCCATGTTAAAATAATTCTGTATGGGTTACCTAATAGATCATGATAATATATTTAAATATCGTGCTGATTATTGCGAATAACATTTGTTTTTCTAAGGCATGATTAAAACTGGTCTCAGTTACTGATATGGATTGATATTTAAGAATTTAAAAACTGTGAAAGTGAAACTGAAAGTGAACCATCAGACCGTCCAGAAGGACAAGCATTGGTAGCTGTAATGTAAAATCACTTTACAGTGTGCATTTCTGCACCCACTTTCTGTCTACTTTCTCAAGGTGTCCAAAGCAGATAGCATAATCATAAAGTTTGCATTTCATTGTACATGTCTTGATAGTATGACCATGATCTTGGCAGTTGGAGCATTTGTTTGATTTCTTGACTCTTTCACAACCAGCAGCTTCCAGGAATTGAACTCTTTGTTTCTTCATAAACAGCTGCTCTAGTGCAGCAATTCCTCTGTGGTTTGAAGACCTAAAGTAGTCTTTAGAGGGGATGTTGCTATATTTTTCCATGCCTTGCTGGTTGAAATGTGCTACATTGATATACAGTTTCAAATATTCTGGAATGTGATGGTAGAGAGCATGCATATAGGGTGTCACATCTTATATCTTGATATAGAGAGAGGAATTGTTGAAACCATGATTTTATTTTTGCGGTAAGGGATGCAATTGGCTCATCTGTAGGGAAGTCAAGTTTCAGATCCTCTAATAATTTCCATAAAATCATTCCAAAGTTTTTCTAATTTCTTGTGATCTTCAAAATTTGGAAGGAGTGCCTGAATATTAATATTTTGGATGACATGGAGCTTTTCTGGTCCAGTGAGATCCCTGTATTCAAGCTTTTTTGTGTTTGACTCCACTCTTCATTCAAATGAAACTCCTGTCTGCCTAAGAAAATGTTCATAACCAGCTATGTGTTTATATTTTTCCCTGTTGAAGCCACAAGGAAACGTTTTCACCTTATCGATAGCATCCTGCCTTTTCAGTTCCCTGATGAGGAGCTCAAATAAATTGTCAAAAATCCTCAGGAATAAGTGTAGGGTTGCAATGATTACATGATCCATTGGAATAAAATCAAAGAGTGGGCATGATTTACAGTTGTATTTCTTTGCTCTTGAATGGTTAGCA